ATCATAGAGTTGGAGGAGACCTCATGGGCCATCCAGTCCAACCCCATTCTGCCAAGAAGCTGGACATTCACATTCAAAGCACCCCTGACAGATGGCCACCCAGCCTCCGTTTCAAAGCCTCCAAAGAAGGAGCCTCCACCACACTCCAGGGCAGAGAGTTCCACTGCTGAACAGCTCTCACTGTCAGGAAGTTCTTCCTAATGTTCAGGTGGAATCTCCTTTCCTGTCATTTGAAGCCATCGTAATGTCGAAGGCTTTCATGGCTGGAATCACTGGGTTGTTGTAGGTTTTTTCAGGCTATATGGCCATGGCCTCTAGACCATGGCCATATAGCCCGAAAAAACCTACAACAACCCACTTTGAAGCCATTGTTTCTCCAGGGCAGCAGAAAACAAGCTTCTTCCCTCCTCCCTATAACTTCCCCTAACATCTTGATACATGGCCCTCATCTTGCCTCTTCTCAGCCTTTATTTATTTATGTATTTATTTATTTATGACATTTATATGCTGCCCTTCTCACCCCAAAGGGGACTCAGAGTGGCTTACAAGTCATATGTACATACAACATACTACATTATTACATACTACATTCATACTTCTTTAAGCCGCTCCTCATGGGACTTGTTCTCCAGACCCTTGATCCTTTGAGTCATCCTCCTCTGGACACATTCCAGCTTAGAGCCAACATCCCCCTAAAATTGTGGTGCTCAGAACTGGACACAGTGTGATTCCAGGTGTGGTCTGACCAAGGCAGAATAGAGCATGGGTAGCATGACTTCCTTGGATCTAGGGACTAGACTCCTATTGATGCAGGCCAAAATCCCACTGGCTTTTAAAGCCACTGGATGATATTGTTGGCTCATGTTTAACTTGTTGTTCATGAGGACTCCAAGATCACACGTACTGCTATCGAGCCAGTAATATTAATATTACTAATAATATTACGATATAATGGTATAGTACAATATAGTAATATATAATACTGATATTGTACTATTCTAATAATAAAAGATATTGTAAGCCACTCTGAATTCCCTTCGGGGTGAGAAGGCTGGCATATAAATATTGTAAATAATAAATTAATAATAATATCAATAATAAAAATAATAATTTATTTCTTACCTGCCTCTCCTCATGGCTTGAGATGGGTTACAGAATAATTAAAACACATTAATAGTGTAAAAATATCACAAATGCACATATTAAAATATAACCTGCCTCGAGCAGCAGGGAGAGGCGAGTAGGAAATAAAATTATTTATCTATTTATTTATAATATTTGTACCCCACCTTTCTCCGTGTGCAGACTCAAGGTGGCATACACATGAAAACATGCAAATTCCAACTGTTAGAATTTGTAAACAAAAGTAAAAACATGGTAAAAACATACATCAATTAGAACAAGGCCTGGCTTTAGCATAGCAGGTTCATCATGAGGCTTCAATAAATCTTGCCAACCAGAAAGTTAACAGTTCAAAGCCCAGGTCAGGGTGAGTGCTTGGCCTTTAGCCTAGCTTCTGCCAACCTAGCAGTTTGAAAACAAATGTGAGTAGATAAATAGGAATCACATTAATAGCGGGAAGGTATTTTAGGCATTTTGATCAGAAAAAAAGGAGGAAGTTTACAAACAAGGAAAGCTCTTCAGCAAGGAGATGGAGCGACAGCACCCCCTTGTGGTCAGAACTGAGCACAGCCTCCAAAGATGCCAAAAAATGGGAAAAGTCTATATATACTTCTATCTGTTCTCTGTCTTGTCATTGTATAATTGGCATTGAATGTTTGCCGTATATGTGTTCTGTGATCTGCCCTGGGTCCCTTTCATGGTGAGAAGGGTGGCAAATACATACTGAAAATGAATATAAATACTGTAAATAAACAATAAAATTTATAATCTGTCATATTTTATTATTATTATATGTATTAGGCTTGGGTAACCACGGAAAAATTCGGTTCTAAACTCGTTTTGTTTTTAGGGGGCCCTTGCGTTTCATTTTTTTTAATAATTCTGAAATTTTCCTTTAAATTTTTTTGAAATTTACGAAATTTCGTAAAATTACGAATCGATTCGTTAATGGCGGACGAGATTGCGCAATATGCTAAAAAAAACCTCCAAATGGGACAGGAGGAACTTCTGAAGCTTCCCTCTCCCTCTGTTGTTGACTGTTGGTGTGATAAAACAAACAACAACTATAAAACTTGCACCAGACGCGAAAATAATTACGAAATAATTACGAAATAATTTCGAAATAAAACGAAATAAATTGGAAAAATTGTTTCGAATCTTAATTACCGTATATACCGGCATATAAGACGACTGGGCATATAAGACGACCCCCAACTTTTCCAGTTAAAATATAGAGTTAAGACGACTCCCATGCATAAGACTACACCCGCGTATAAGACGCCCCCTGACTTTTGAGAAGATTTTCTTGGGTTAAAAAGTAGTCTTATACGCCAGAATATACTGTACTCCTCACACTATTCCTGCATGGCTCAATATTGGATCGTAAGCTAATTTAAATACGAATTAATAACGAATTACGAAATTAACGAACTAAACCGCCCAAGCCTAATATGTATTATATTAGTATATAATAATAATATTATTATTTCTATAAAAGATACATATTAAAACATATTTCTATAAAATATGTATTAAAATGCACAAAAAGATATTAAACAAAGGACAGACATTTAAAATTCATGCTTAAAAAGTGGCTGGGTAGGCCTGCCGAAAGTGATTTAGATGGTTTTTAAATTCCAACAGTTCTACATTATTATTATTATTATTATTATTATTATTATTATTAAGCAGAGCCTTAATGGCTTCTGTCAGGAGTGCTTGGATGGTGTTTTCCTTTATGGCAGAAGAGGGTTGGATTGGGTGACTTTTGGGATCTCTTCCAACATTAGGATTCTAAAATTGCACTATGTAACAAAATTTGAATTTTTTTCTGTTCCTGGTTTGAAAGTATTATTTCCTGTTTAATTGTGTAGTACTTACTTTGAAAGTCATCATTATACTCCATAAACTTTGTTTTAGTGCCTGCCACAAACTGTTTAATTGTGCAGTACTCACTTTGAAAATTGTTATTATACTGCCACAAACTAGGTTGAATTGGCTGAGACTCTACGAGATACTCATTGAAAAACTAGAGCAAAATGTGCAGCAGGATGTCCCTCCTGCAAAGACAAAGTTTGCGCAGTTTAATAAACTTTTCCATGTTTTTATGATAGATCCAATTAGGAAATGATATTTATAACCCAGGAACCAAAATCATGTTACATATTGTAATTGAACCGAAACCAATAGCAGAGTATATCCATAGATGTGGGTACAAAAGGGCCATCTCACTTGCCCCTGGAGCACCACCTCCAACTTCCTTCTAATGGGACTGGCCCTATGGCCACTTTGTTGGGACGCACTTTGAGGGTTTCTCTTCAATCAGATATGAGGAGCAAGGAGATCGTGCAACAGGTTTATTTGGCCAAATCTTCCTGTTGGATGGAGCAACAAAGAAGCAGTGTCTAAACTTTATTTTTGGCTGGTAATTTTCTATTTTCCCTAACTTGGTGGCGGTTTAGTTTGGGCAGGGGACTACCAGGAGGAGGTGGAGAAGGTCAAGGACAACAGTAATAACAGTAACTTTATGATTGGCCTTTCCTTGTAGTTGGAGGAGTACAAGCTCCCACTTTTCTCCCTCAGATGCCACCCCTGAGGAGGGGAAGGAGGAGGAATGGGGGTCCTGGAGCTTTGAGGAGGGGGCATCCAGTACTGCTTCTGTGACAGAGAGTTAACTGCAAAGCTCCCCTCCTTTGGGAGCCCCTTTGGCTGCTGAGAGCCCCAGGCCATGAACAGACAGTGAGGGAAAGGCTCCCCCCCCCCCCCCCCCCCCCCCCGCTTTCCCTCCTTGGAGAGCCCAAACCTCTTTTTGCTTGAGTGGACTCTGACAACAGCTGTACTATCCCCCAGAGATGTTAAGTAGATTGAGGAAAGGCAGGTGAGGGTTACCTGGGGTCTGGTCCCCCTTTAGTGGGAAGGAAGGAAGGAAGGAACGAGAGAAAGGAGAAGGGAGGGAGAGAAAGGAGAGGGTCACAAAAAGGAAGAAAGGGAAAGGAGAGGAGGAAGAAAGAGAAGAGAGAAAGGGACACGAAGAAGGAAGGAAGGAAGCAAAGGAGAGAAGGAAGAGGAAAGAAAGAAGGAAGAAGGGGAAAGAGAGAAGGAAGGAGGAAGGAGAAGGAAGGAAGGAAGGGAAGGAAGAGAGGAGGAAGGAAAAAGGAAGGAAGAAAGGAGAGGGAAGGAAAGAAGGAAGAAGGGAAGAAGGGAAGGAAGGAGAAGAAAGGAAAGGAAGGAAGGAAAAGGAGAAAGGAAAAAGAGGGAGAAGGAGGGGAAAGAAAGGGAAGGAAGAAAGGAGGAGGAAGGAGAGAGGAGAAGAAGGAAGGAAGGAAGAAGGGAAGGGGAGAAGGAGAAGGAAAGAAAGGGAGAAGAAAGGAAGGAAGAGAGAAGAAGGGAAGGAAAGAAGGAAAGAGGAAGGGAAGAAGGAAAGAAAGGAAGAAGAAGGAGAAGGGAAAGGAAGAAAGGGAGGGAAAGAGGAAGGAAGAAGGGAAGAAAGGAAAGAGGAAGAAAGGAAAAGGAGGGAAAAGGGAAGGAAAGGGAGAAGGAAGAAGGGAAAGAGAGAAAGAGAAGGAAAAAAGGAAGGGGAGAGAGAAGAAGAAGGAAAGGGAGGGGAAAGGAAGAAAAGGGGAAGAGGAAGAGAAGAAGGAGGGGGAGAGGAAGAAGAAAAAAGAGGGAAGAGGAAGGGAGGGAGAAGAATAAGAAAAGTGAAGGAAGGAAGGAAAAGAAGAAGAGAAAGAGAAGGGAAGAAGAGAGAAGGAAAGAAGGGAAGGGATGAAGGAGGAGGAGAGGAAGAAGGAGAGGAAGGAAGGAAAGAAGGAAGGAAAAAGCAGGGAAGGAGGGAAGGCAGGCTTCCCTGATTCGGCGGCGGCGGCGTGGGTTTGGCGTCATGACGCCGGTGGAACTGGCGGCGACGGAGAGGAGAGGAGAGGAGGGGGGTCTGCTTGTGCCTCTGCTGCTTCTTCCTCTTCCTCTCCTTCTTCCTCGTTGAGGAGGTCCACCGGCGTCCGCTTCGGGAGGGAACTGCGGAGAAGGGAGGGAGTGAGGAAGGAGGGGAGGAGGGAGCCTTGAGACCCGACGGAGCATCCCGTCCGCCAGTCCCCGAGGGAGCCCCGTCCGGCGCGGCTGGTGCTGAAGGCGTCCGGCCTCGCTCCCCCCTGGGGCCGGCTCTCCCCCCTCGGGGGCCCCATGGCCGAGGCGCCGGGCCTGTGAGGAGGAGGAGGAGGAGGAGGGGACCATGCAGAAGGCGCTGCGCCTGAACGAGGGCCACGCGGGGCAGCTGGGCCTGGTGGCCAAGAAGGAGGGCTCCCGCCGGGGCTTCCTGGCCAAGCGCAGCTCCGACAACACCAAATGGCAGCCCCGCTGGTTCGCCCTCCTCCACAACATGCTCTTCTACTTCGAGAGCGACGCCAGCGCCAGGCCCGCCGGACTCTACCTCCTGGAGGGCTGCCTCTGCGACCGCGCCCCGGGACCCAAGCCCAAGGACCCCCAGGACAAGCAGGTAGCGGGAAAGAGGCTGACCTCCCGGGCAGGACCCTCCCATCCCCCTCCCCATCCCCCCCGCCCCACGGGCAGGCAGGGAAAAGGGCTCTCCCGTGGAGCGGGGGCATCTTTGGGCTGGGGGGGGGGAGAAACATGATGCGAAATTAGGGATAACGGCGGCTAATGAGTCCGCAGGTCGGAGCGCGAGGGCGCCCCTGGCGGAAAGAACCTGACGCGGCTCCGCTGCAGCAAACACCGAAGACTTTCTTTTCCCTTCCTTTCCCATCCCATCCCCCTTCCCTTCCTTCTTCTCCTCTCCTCTCTCCTCTTCCTTTCCTTCCTTTCCTTTCCTCTCCCTTCCCTTCCTTTCCCCTTCCTTTCCTCCTTCTTCCCTTTTTTCTTCCTTTCCTTCTTCCTTTCCCTTCCTTTCCCCCTTTCCTTCTTTCTTTCCCTTCCTTCTTCCTTCCCTCCCTTCCCTTTTCTTCTTCCCTTCTTCTTTCCTTCCTTTCCCTTCCCTTTCTTCCTTTCCTTTCCTTTCCTTTCCCTTCCTTTCCCTTCCTTCCTTTCCTTTTCCTTCCTTTCCTTTCCTTTCCTTCCCTTTCTTTCTTTCCTTCCTTTCCTTTCCTTTCCCTTCCCTTCCTTTTCCTTTCCTTTCCTTTCCTTCCTTCCTTCCTTTCCTTCCCTTCTTTCCCTTCCTTCCTTTCCCTTCTCTTCCCTTCCCTCCTTCTTCCCTTCCTTCCTTCCCTTCCCTTCCCTTCCTTCCCTTCCCTTCCTTCCTTCCCTTCCCTTCCCTTCCTTCCTTTCCTTCCTTTCCTTCCTTCCCTTCCTTCCTTCCTTCCTTCCTTCCTTCCTTCCTTTCCTTTCCTTTTCCTTTCCTTTCCTTTCCTTTCCTTTTCCTTTCCTTCCTTTCCTTCCTTTCCTTCCTTTCCTTTCTTCCTTTTTCCTTCCTTCCTTCCTCCCTTCTTCCTTCCTTCCCTTCCTTCCTTCCCTTCCTCCCTCCTCCTTCCTTCCCTTCCTTCCTCCCTCCTCCCTTCCCTTCCTTCCCTTCCCTTCCTTCCCTTCCCTTCCCTTCCCTTCCTTCCTTCCCTTCCCTTCCCTTCCCTTCCCTTCCCTTCCCTCCCTCCCTTCCCTTCCCCTCCCTCCCCTCCCTCCCCTTCCCTCCCCCTCCCCTCCCCTCCCCTCCCCTCCCCTCCCCTCCCCTCCCCTCCCCTCCCCTCCCTTCCCTTCCCTTCCCTTCCTTCCCTTCCCCTTCCTTCCTTCCCTTCCCTTCCCTTCCCTTCCCTTCCCTCCCTTCCCTTCCCTCCCTTCCCCTCTTTCCTTTCCTTCTTCCCTTCCCTTCCCTTCTCCTTTCCTTTTCCTTCCTTCCCTTTCCTTCTTCTTTCCTTTCCCTTCCTCCCTGTAAGGGAAGGAAAGGGCGTCCTTACGGCAGTGAGTTCCTTCCCTTCCCCCTTCCCATTCGCTTCCCTTTCCTTGAGAACATCTGTAATGGCATTTTTGGGCACACCTGGAGATCCCAGCTGGGTTGTTTATTATTATTATTATTATCATCCTCATCATCATTATATGTAATTATATTATTATAATTATTGTATTTTATATTCGTGTTACATATAATAGGTATATAAAATAATAATAGAAATACAATATTAATAATAATATAATGACCTATAAAACAAGTGTATAAAATAATAAATTAATAATGATATAATTACATATATCATTAATAATATTGCGTATATATTATATTATTCATATTATATAAATATTATTCTCTCTATATTATTAATATACTGTTGATATATTAATATCATATATATATATATATATATATATATATATATATATATATTTCTATCCTGCTTTTCCTCTCTTAAAGGCAACTCAAAGGAGCTAACAATGCCAAGAAACAATACAATGTACAAATCTAAAGTGTAAAAAAAACCCCATTCAAATAGAATTGAGCATGGAATTATTAAAAAACGATAGGCATCTTTTGCAAGGAAAAGCAAAGGAACCCAACCAAGATGAAAAATAGAAAAGCCCAGGGCTTCCAAGTGTGAGTGTTGTTGGTGTTGCTGTGGTTCCAGTTGTAGTGCCAAGGCCCAGATTTGCAGAGAGTCCTATCCTGGTCTAAGCAAAGGCAAGGGCACTGGCTCTGAGCTACCCCATGGATTTCAATGCCACTGGATGGGAAATGTGGGCCTCAATATCCCCAACTGCAGAGACCCATCTTCGTTCTCCCTACAGCTCTCCATTTCTTCCATTCTCAGGGTGCAAAACTGATGTATTCCTGGCAGATTGGCAAGCTGTTCTCTCTTCAAGGTTTTGTCTGTTGATGTCGCTTGTAGTCAGCTCTTGAGCCAAAACCTTAGGAAGGGAAGCCTGTCCACATCTGGAAAACCATGAGGAGCATGGAGCATCCGGGGCCAGAAAGTCGCTTTTTTGGCTTCTCTTGTTTCGGACCCATAAGATTCCCACCCATTACATATTTTGGGTTCTTTGAGTTCCTCCAGACCTGCCTTTTTTCTGGGAGATTCACAAGTAGCAATTCAAACTGGGATTCAATCCACCCATTGATTCTTTTGGTGTGTTTTTATTTTTATTTGAGGGGTGGCACTCCAAAACGAGGCAAACATTTGATCATTCCTTTTTGTGTGAAAACTGTGCCCAGTTGTATTGGTTTCCTTCCTGTGACCCCGCAAAATACCCTAAACCTCCTCAAAACACAAATGTAAAGGCCCAATAACTCTGGATGTCATCCAGGGATGATGAGAAAAGGAGGGTCCTTCTGATCCCATGATGGTCTTCCTCAAATTTCAGTTTCCCAGTCCTTTACAGGCTGGGTGGAAAACACAGAACAGAATATAACTTTATTGACATTGGGTTGCTGTAAGTTTTCCGGGCTGTATAGTATCAATATTATGTCGGTAAACACAAATATCTGTGGGTCCAAGCTTTGAAACAGATTGTATGAGTCTCAGCCTGCTTGGGCCCTAATATATCCAAAGAAGAGGCTCTTGTTTCTCAGGCCCCTTCTACACTGCCATATAAAGTCCAGATTATCTGCTTTGAACTGGATTATATGGCAGTGTAGACTCATATAACCCAGTTCAAAGCAAATAATGTGGGCTATTTTATTTGATAGCCTGGATTATATGGCAGTGTAGACTCATATAATCCAGTTCAAAGGAAATAATGTGGGTTATCTGCTTTGATAACCTGGATTATATGGCAGTGTAGACTCATAATCAAGTTCAAAGCAAATAATGTAGGTTGTCTTATTTGATAACATGGATTATATGGCAGTGGAGACTCATATACTCCAGTTCAAAGCAAATAATGTGGGTTATCTGCTTTAATAAACTGGATCATATGGTAGTGGAGACTCATATAATCCAGTTCAAGGCAAATAATATGGGTTATTTTATTTGATAATCTGGATTATATGGCAGTGGAGACTCATATAATCCAGTTCAAAGCAAATCATGTGGGTTATCTGCTTTGATCATCTGGATTATATGGCAGTGTGGAAGAGACCTCGGTCTTGTCACATTAAGAGGAACCTTATGAGAGAAAGTGAGGTATAAATAGACACAACAACAACAACAACAACAACAACAACCACCATCACCACCTTTGGTTGGAACATGAGAGAGGGCCTTCTCAGTAGTTGCCCCTAGACTAGAGATGTTGGCATGCTTGCTTTCCTTCAGAACTCTATTGTCAGATCTGTACATCTCCTCCTTTCACATACATAAGAATTTTTATGGAGGGAACCATTTCTGTGTTTGTGTTTTGTTTTGTTTTTTAAGTTCCTCCACTCCGTCATTGGAGCTTCGCCGAACATGACTTGTTTCCTAGGAGACTGCAGAACGAGAGAACAAATGAACGGCACAGAGCCCTCTTCTGCTGGGCTACGAGCCTCCCTCCCTCCCTCCCTGATTGGAAATGAACACAAATGCCATAAATGCCAAGGGGAGCTAAAAATAGCCCTTGCCCAGCCTCCCTCCCCAAATGCCAACGCTGCCACGGATTCGAGAGGGAGCCTCGTTGCCTTGCGGCTTTCCTTGCGGATCCCGTCTCAGGGGGTGGCAGCGAAACCACACTGCGTTTGGGCCTGAACTTTGCTCTATCCAATATCTTTCAATACCTCCTTTGCACCCAGAGTATCACTCACTGGGATGCTCTGGAGCAGGGCTTCAGGTGAGCAATTCCTTGGTTTCAAAGGGAGCTGCCCAAGGTGCTGAATCCTGGGCACTGTATAGGTTCAGCACCTTGGACAGCTCTTATCTAAGCAGGAGGCTTTGTTGTGCAGCCAGGAAAGCTTGTCGTCCTGTGCAAAGGCGAATTGTAATGAAACAGGAGGTGCAACCATAAAATTCTAGAGTTGGAAGAGACTCATCTACCAACCCCTTTCTGACATTCAGGAAAAGCACAATAAAAGCACCCCCAACAGAGGGCCATTCAGCCTCCGTAATAATGATGATAATGATGATGATAGGAGCAAACCCAGGGTCCATTCCACAGTCCATCCAGTTCAACCTCTTTCTGCCATGAAGGAAAAACACAATCAAAGCACCCCCCAACAGATGGCCAGACTTTGTAACAACAACAACAACAACAACAACAACAGAGAGCAAACCCTAGGGCCATCAATAAAAGCACCCCCAACAAATGACGATTCAGCCTCTGTAATGATGATGATGATGATGATGATGATGATGATGATGATGATGATAATAGGAGCAAACCCAGGGTCCATCCCAGAGTCCCTCCAGTTCAGCCTCTTTCTGCCATGAAGGAAAAGCACTATCAAAGCACCCTCAACAGATGGCCAGACTTTATAATGATAACAATAATAATAACAATAGGGAGCAAACCCTAGGGCCATCAATAAAAGCACCCCCAACAAATGACCATTCAGCCTCTGTAATGAAGATGATGATGATGATGATGATGATGATGATGATGATGATGATAGGAGCAAACCCAGGGTCCATCCCAGAGTCCATCCAGTTCAATCTCTTTCTGCCATGAAGGAAAAGCATGATCAAAGCACCCTGAACAGATGGTCAGACTTTGTAATAATAACAATAATAATAACAATAGGGAGCAAACCCTAGGGCCATCAATAAAAGCATCCCCAACACATGACCATTCAGCCTCTGTAATGATGATGATGATTATGATGATGATGATGATAGGAGTAAACCCAGGGTCCATCCCAGAGTCCAGATGACCATTCAGCCTCTGTAATGATGATGATGATTATGATGATGATGATGATGATGACGATGATAGGAGTAAACCCAGGGTGCATCCCAGAGTCTATCCAGTTCAACCTCTTTCTGCCATGAAGGAAAAGCACAATCAAAGCACCTCCAACAGATGGCCAGACTTTGTAATAATAACAACAATAATAATAAAACCTGGGGCCATCTAGTTCAACCTCCTTTTGCCATGCAGGAGAAACACAATCAAAGCACCTCTGACAGATGGCCTTCCTGCCTCTGTTTAAAAGCTTCCAAGGACTTTGATTGTAGGTGAACTATAAATCCCAGCAACTACAACTCCCAAATTACAAAATCAATCCCCACCCAACCCCAACAGTATTCAAAGTTGGGCATATTGGATATTTGTTCCCAATTTGGTCCAGTGAATGAAAACACATCCTGCATAGCAGATATTTACATCATGATTCATAACAGTAGCAAAATGACAGTTATGAAGTAGCAACAAAAATAATTTTATAGTTGGGGGTCACCACAACATGAGGAACTGTATTAAGGGAATTAGGAGAGTTGAGAAACACTGACTTAGACAAACCCACCTCCATTTCCCCAGCTGATCTTTAGTCTCCAAACTGCAAAGAACTCACCTCTTTTTTATGTGTGTTTTTGTAGCACTACTTCACTGTCAACTTTAACCACGAGAACCAAAAGACGCTGGAGCTGCGGACCGAGGATTCAAAGGACTGTGATGAATGGGTGGCAGCCATCAGCCACGCAAGGTGAGAGGGCAGGGGTCCTTCCTCTTTTTGGGGGAAAGTGCCCCAGGGAAAGGTGGGCACTCATCTGTAGGAATCCCAGGGACTTGTCATGGACCACAAGCAAGAAACCAGATGTTTTCCAGATGTTAAGATACCTGAGGTCCATTCCTGGTGGGTGTGATAGTTCCAGTTCAATTTTCATGCCTTTGAAATCCTGGGATTTGTAGTTTAATATGGCACTGGTGCGGTCCAAAGATTAACGTATTTACTCGAATCTAATGCTCACCTTTTGTGCTAAATTAGAGAGAAAGAGAGAGAGAGAGAGGAAAGTGGGGCATAAATAAACATAAACACAAACATGTAAACCCGTAAACATATAAACATCATCATTAATAATAATAATAATAATAATAATAATAATAATAATAATATGAAATACCTCTAATATCCTCAGCCAGGCATGGGTAAACTTTGGCCCTCCAGGTGTTTTGGACTTCAACTCCCACAATTCCTAACAGCCTACTGGCTGTTAGGAATTGTGGGAGTTGAAGTCCAAAGCACCTGGAGGGCCAAAGTTTGCCCATGCCTGGTAGGCCCTTGGGAAGAGCCTGATATTCAGAGATGAATACCAGACACTTGGACCCAATTTGCATGTGTGCTGTGTTGTTATGTACATGTAAATAAACAAACAATGGTCTTCCCAAAATAAGGGTGTGCATTAGATTTGCATAATATGGTCATCTTAGTGCTAAGCCAAAGGGGAAGCTGCTTCAAGAGTGCCTCTTTGAGTGTCTTCATCTCTAATTTAATTGTCATGGCTCAATGCAATGCAATGCTGAGATTTGTAGTTTGGTGAGGTATCAAGACCTTGCAAAACTCCATAGCATTTGAACAAAGGCTATTAAAGTGGCTTCCCCCTATCGCAGTGTTTCTCAACCTTCCTAATGCCGTGACCCCTTAATACAGTTCCTCATGTTGTGGTGACCCCCAACCATTAAATTATTTTAGTTGCTACTTCATAACTATCATTTTGTGACTGTTATGAATCATAATGTAACTATCTGATGTACAGGATGTATTTTCATTCACTGGATCAAATTGACCACAAATATCCGATATGCCAAAATTTGAATACTAGTGGGGTTGGGTGGGGATTGATTTTGTCATTTGGGAGTTGTAGTTACTGGGATTTATAGTTCACTTACAATCAAAGAGCATTCAGAACTCCACCAATGATGGAATTGAACCAGACTTGGCATACAGAACTCCCCTGATCAACAGAAAATTTGGTGGGCATTGACCTTGAGTTTTGAAGTTGTAGTTCACCTACATCCAGAGAGCACTGTGGACTCAAACAATGATGGATCTGGACCAAACTTGGAATGAATACTCAGTATGACCAAATGTGAACACTGGTGGAGTTTGGGGAAAATAGACCTTGACATTTGGGAGTTGTAGTTGTTGGAATGTATAGTTCACCTATAATCAAATAGTGTTCTGTATGCCATCAACGATAGAATTGGACCAAACTTCCCACACAGAACCCCCTTGACTAACAGAAAATACTGTGTTTTCTGATGGTCTTTAGCGACCCCTCTGATACACCCTCGCGACCCTCTCCGGGGGGTCTTGACCCCCAGGTTGCGAAGCACTGTTCCATAGCATAGATGCACCCCAAGGTTTCTTTTTCATTAATAATAATAATAATAATAATAATAGGGGCAATAACAGTTTTGATTTTAAAGAAGGAATTATAAGTAATACACATTTGGTGTATTTTTTGCCATTGCACGTTACATTCACAACCCTGAAACACACTTTTTGGGTTTCAGGGTTTTGAAAATGGAGGTTCACATTAGATCCGATGGCACATGAGACTCAATACAGGGATTTAGATGGACAGCTCCAATGTTTCACCAGACTGCAAATCCCAGGATCCCCTCAACTACAAATCCCAGAATTCCAAAGGGTGCCAAATGGTACCAAAGTGGAAGCATAGCAGAAGGATAAAGATGTCAGAAAGTGGCATTTTGGTGATTTGCATAGATCTGTCTGCTTCCTGCAGACTATAGAAGCAAAGTAATGAATGCAAATGCCATGAGCCTTTGGCCCAACTTTCCTTGGGTGCATCTACACTTGGGAATGAATGTAGTTTGACTCTGTTTGGACTGCCATGGTTCTCTGCGATGGAATCCTGGGATCTGTAGTTTGGTGAGGCGCCAGCAGAGAAGGCTCAAGACCATGTCAAACCAGAATGCCTACCATACTGTTGCCTTGAGCCATGGCATCTGAAGTGGTGTCAGACTGCATTCATTCTACAGTATAGATCAGGCATGGGCAAACGTCACTCCTTCATGTGTTTTGGACTTCAACTCCCACAATCCCTAACAGCCTCAGGCCCCTTCCTTTCCCCCCTCAGCCGCTTAAGCAGCTGAGGGGGAAAAGGAAAGGGCATGAGGCTGTTAGGGATTGTGGGAGTTGAAGTCCAAAACACCTGGAGGGCAAACTTTGCCTGTACCTGGCATAGATACAGAGCTCTGTGTTCCTGAATGCAGTCACAGGAAGGCCTGCCTGCATCGCTCACATTTCCAAATGTGCGTTTGAGAGAGCTTCCCTGGTGCTGCGCTTTGCTAAAGCCGGAGATACGAATCCGTCCTTGACATTTACATATCAATTCCACCGTCTCTTCTGATTCATTTTTTCCTGGGAAGGAGCCATTTTGTCGGAAACTGAAACAGGGGATGGCTAGTTCCCCGCTCCTGACTCACTGGTGGTTTTTGTGCCTCCAACAAATTCTTCGATTCACAACATCCCTGCTTTGACAAATGCGTTGAGATGTTTAAACCCCTTCAGTCCATTAGATTAAAAGCATGGCTCCTTCCTACGCTGTTTGCTCAGGAGGAAGTTCAACAGGGCCTCCTTCTTCCCTGGATCTCTTCCTGCAGAGGAGGAGAAGGCGGAGGATCCACTCTCGGCTTTATGGTTCTAACCTAGCATTAATTCAATTTTAACATTTAATAATATTTAATTTAATTTATTAACATACATATGTCGCGAGCTGGTTTGAGTCTCAGTTAAGATAGGAAAACAGGGTATAACAGCCGCAACCATAACAACAAAAATAGTTCTAACAACAATAATAGTAATAGTAGTAAAATAGTAATAATAATAATAATAATAATAATAATAATAATAGTAATACTATTACTTGGAACTGTGCACATCATTTGAAAATACATCACACAGTCCTAGACGCTTGGGAAGTGTTCGACTTGTGATTTTGTGATACGAAATCCAGTGTATAGATTTCGTTTGCTGTGACATACTGTGTAGTTATAATAATAATAATAATAATAATAATAATAATAATAGGACTGGTAAAAATATCAATAGTAATAATAGTATTATTATTAATAATAGTAGTAGTAATAATAGCAATAGTAGTAATAATAGCAGTGGTATTAATAGTAACAGCAATAGTATTAATAATTGTAATAGTGAAAATAGTAATAATAATAGCAATAGTGTAATAATAATAGCAGTAATAATTATAATAGCAATAGTAGTAATAATAGTAACAATAGTATGATAGCAACAATAGTAATAGTAGTAATAATAACAGTAGTAGTGGTAATAATAATAGTAATAATAGTAGTGATAGTAATAATAATATTAGAAACAATAGCTATAATAATTAATAAGTAATAAATAAGTTCTGAGCATGCCTTGGACAGTAAGAAGATCCAACCAGTCCATACTTCAGATAATAAAGCCCGACTGCTCATTGGAGGGAAGAATAGTAGAGGCCAAGATGAAGTACTTTGGCCACATCATGAGAAGGAAGGAAAGCTTAGAGAAGACAATGATGCTGGGGAAAATGGAAGGAAAAAGAAAGAGGGGCCGACCAAGGGCAAGATGGATGGATGGCATCCTTGAAGTGACTGGATTGACCCTGAAGGAGCTGGGGGTGGTGATGGCCGACAGGGAGCTCTGGCATGGGCTGGTCCTTGAGGTCACGAAAAGTCGGAAACAACTGAACAAATGGACAACAACAAAAGTTGTAATAGTAGTAGTCATAATAATAGTAGTATTAATAGTAGTGATAATAATAGTATTAGTATTAATAATTGCAATAGTAGTAGTAATAATAATAATAGGAGTAATAATTGTAATAGCAATAGTAGTAGTAATAATAATAGTAACAGTAATAATTGTAGTAATAATGATAGTAATAATAGTAATAATAACCTTTCATGTCACGTATGGCTGCAACTAATGAGATCCTGGGGGTTTCCCTTTCAGGAAGCACTGGAATTCTCCACCTTTTAAACTACCTCTCCCCAGACTCCAAATGCAAATTTGGTGCCTTGGCAGTAAAAATGGGATAAAAGGGCAATAATTCTAAGGTGTGGAAGGCAGTTGGAAGAGGAATGCCCATAAAAACAATTGTCTCTTTCTTCCCCCTGAATGGGCCAGGGTGCAACTCCCAGTATCCTCCAATGTTGGCTGTGTTGCTGAGAGCTGTACTCCTTTTCAAGTCCCTAACTGGACTCAATTTTCTGTGGATTTATGGAGTCTGAGTAGCACATAGAAAAGACTGTAGGAATGTTGTGGAGTGAAGTGGATCTCTGACCACTCTGATTTGCGCCATATGCCAAACATTGATGTCACTGCAAGGTACAAACAAGCAAAAGGAAGGCTTGGCAATGTTGTCTGTCTCTGGCATGTGGTTCAAGGCCAATAGGGGTCTCCTTACAGATGTGGATAGATTGCAACATCTATTATTATTATTATTATTATTATTATTATTATTATTATTATTATTATTAGAAACACAACAAGATGAGTCCACAGCAAACAAGATCACTCTGCTGGCTGTTGTATTGGATCACACATTGGAAACTTCTCAAGTGTCTAGGACTGTGTGATGTATCAGCAAATAATGCGTGCAGATCCCAGTAGAGTGGCCTTTTGCAGCTGGCAGATGGTAATCTTGTCAGCGCCAATTGTGTTTAAGTGCAGGCCAAGGTCTTTAGGCACTGCACCCAGTGTGCCAATCACCATTGGGACCACCTTTACTATTATTATTATTATTATTATTATTATTATTATTATTATTATTATTTCACCACAAGGAGACTCAAAGCAGGTATGTGCAATGAAGGTTGCCGAGCAACATCTGGAAAGCCACTCTGGCTCTACAACATGGCCCAGGTGCAGGAGATATAAGAGTTTGGAGGCTGAATCCTTCCCTTAATGAGTTTTTAAAGTCATCTCTTCCCAACTGAATGGTCTCAAGCCATGTTCTCTTCATGCTGCACTATTATAGGGCTATGGTCATGACTGCATTCCTTGGACTCCTGGGATTTGTAGTCCAGTGGTGAGCTCTCTAAATACCCTTCCTCCTGTACTGCAAATCCCAGGCTTCCATCAGCAGTGAAGGTTGAAGCATCACACCATCATTGTGCAAGAGTGCTTTCTTGTAGACAATGGAAGCCACTAAAGGAGCGGGTGGTTCAAGTGGTGTCAAACTGGCTTAATATCACAGTGTAGGTGCAACCCTTGGGGTTCCTTTCGTTCCTTATGAGCCCCTCAAAAACGTCATTTCCAGCTGTTTGGGAAGGTAACGGCTGCCTCCGTCTGTCTGTCCTTCTGTTTGTCTGTCTGTCTGCCTGTCTCTCTTGCACACCAAACCAACGCACACACAGCTATAGGACTCTTGCGACGGAGCACGAAGCCTTAATGCAGAAGTATCTCCATTTACTCCAGATTGTGGAGACGGAGAAGACGGTTGCCAAGCAACTCAGGCAACAACTTGAAGATGGAGAAATAGAGACGGAGCGCCTGAAATCAGAGGTAAAGGGGGGAAACCAGCAGCTTGATAGGAGAGGAAGGATGCTGGTTGTTTCAGGGCAATTCACCCCCTTTCTCCCCAGTAGTAGTCCATATAAACCTGTGTGGTTGAGAAACAGGAGGTCTTCCTTGGAGCCGGTGCTGGTTTTGGTAGCAGAAGTCATTGTGTTGAATTGCAGACACCAAAAAGGAGGTCAACGTGTTGTGCAGACATGGGATTTGGGGCTGGATCTACATTGACATACAACCTAATGTCGGTTCCTAGATTATCTGCTTTGAACTGGATTATATGAATGTACTCTGCCATATAATCCAGTTCAAAGCAGGTCATCTGGGATCAGAAAGTGGACTTTATGGCAGTGTAGATACATCCTGGAAAAGGACCAAAAGGAACATAATCTTTACAGCCTTCAGTGGCAAGCCACAGGTCTGGTTTATTTATGTAGAGACCCAAAACTTGGCTGTATTTCTGCTGGGAGATGTCAGGGCCGCCCATCCAAAAAAGGAAGATCTTTGTGCATTGGGGGCAATATACACTGTTTTCTATGGGAAATATTGGCTGCAATGGGAAGGATATAATAAAAGTCCCATAATGGCAGCACTGTTGTTGTCCTTTTGGTCCCCAGGGACTTGCTATTAATGTAACGCTTGAAATGCTTTTCTTGTAAGCTGCTTTGATTCTACTTTGTGGGGGAGAAAAAGTGAGGTATAAATAAACATTAAGTCCAGTCATGTCTGACTCTGGGGTGTGGTGCTCATCTTCATTTCTAAGCCAAGAGCCGGCATTGTCCATAGACACCTCCAAGGTCATGTGGCTGGCATGACTGCATGGAGTGCCGTTACCTTCCCGCTGGAGCGGTACCTATTATCTACTCACATCACATTTGCATGTTTTCAAACTGCTAGGTTAGAAGAAGCTAGGGCTGACAGCGGAAGCTCATGCCGCTCCCTGGAATCGAACCTGCGACCTGCGACGCTGAGCTCAGCAGCTCAGTGCTTTAACCCACTTCACTACCGGGGGCTCCCTATAAATAAACATCATAATAATAATGGCCCTCTGGTGACGCAGTGGGTTAAACCGCTGAGCTGCTGAACTTGCTGACTGAAAGGTTGGCGGTTCGAATCTGGGGAGCAGAGTGAGCTCCTGCTGTTAGGCCCAGCTTCTGCCAACCTAGCACTCCAAAAACATCCAAGTGTGAGTAGATCAATAGGTACCACTTTGGCGGGGAGGTAACGGCACTCCATGCAGTCATGCAGCCACATAACCTTGGAGGTGTCTACGGACAACACTGGCTCTTCAACTTAGAAATGGAGATGAGCACGAACCCCTAGAGTTGGACATGACTAGCCTTAATGTCAGGGGAAACCTTTGCGCTGTAATAATCAAAACTTCCATGAAACTGCTGATGTGGAGCTCTTTTATGCTTTTTGCCTGATTTCCTTCTGCAGCTGGTTATCATCTGGGTTTATTCAAAGACTACTGTAACCCTCCTGGGTCCAACCAACTCCATCCAGCTCAATGTGAACTCAGAACACCCCCTTACAAATTCAGCGAGCCCACATTGTGATGCAGTTAAAATGCATGCTAATGTATATTTGTAAATACACAGGGCTTGATCAAGTTATTTCTTTACTTAGCCACAGGTTGCATTTTCTATGTGTAGATATGCTTGCAGTTCATTCAATTTGCAGGTATTATTTTCTATTGCTTTCTTGCTCTTTCAAATGCAAGGAAGGCATTTGATGCCTCCAAAAACCAAAGTACTATTTTCTGCAAGTGTATATTTGGGCAAAAAGTTTCCCCCCAAGTGTGAAGAATACTATGGCTCCCCTCTTTTTCTTCTCACAAAATGGGACATTGGGTGAGGGGCAGGTAAAGGGGAGGCAGCCTCTCCCTTCACCTGCGTTTCTTCTGCCTTTGCCCAGATCGCGGCCTTACTGAAGGACAACGAGCGCATCCAGTCCAGCCAGACCAGCCCTCCAAATGATGACGACGATGATAATGACATCAAGAAGATCAAAAAGGTAGGCTCCTCCACCCTTCTTCCCTTGTGGACAAGCAGAAGGACCCAGCAGCAGCGTGCCTGGACTGCAGCTCCCATCAGCCTTGAGCCGGTGGGAAGGGTAGTGATTTAGCTAGGCCCGCAATTAGACAGTCTGTGCCTAGTGAGCATATGCTAAACCAGACAGGCCATGACAGAGACATTGTTCACAACTGAAGACAAGCCACAGAGGTCTATTATTATTTGGCCAAAAATGATGCAGGGACAAACAATTCGCTTCAAAATGTACAAGCATAAACATACAGAGAAATACAAAGCATCTTATACAGTTCTGACAGCTATTCAGACTTCCCACTCCCTCCCCTGATTGGCTGGGAAAAAAGCAGGCTAGGATCTGTGCCAGGATTGGCTGGGAGGGAGAATGGCAGCCAGGGATTGGTCAGGGTAAAGGACCAATCAGCTGCAGAGATGGCTGGGGAGGGGTGCACAGTCTAGTGAAAACAAATGGTAATGATATGCTGATGAGCTTTTGATGATCTCAGATACCCAGTTCTATGCCAAACAAAGATGTGGATCTAAGGAAACAAAGATGCAAGACTCAAAGGTTAAATATGCTGATTTTGGGTAATCAAGAGTTTGGCTGTCAATAAAAGTGTTAATGAATGCTTCTATTTTAGTGAAGGAGCGACAGACTCTCAGCTTCATGTGACTTCAACCAACATTTGGGCTTGCCTGACTGGCAAAAGAAGTCACCTATCTTTACATACACACAATGAATCTGAGGATTACCTGGCTTGGGAAATAGCCAGAGGGATTTGCCCAATCTTTTCCACTCCCTTGAATTCCTGAAGCTCATTTGCTCTGTCCTGGGAAGCTTTGCCACTGCTCTGCTGAAACTGTTATACAGGTTGTCCCTGAGTTACAAACATCTGACTTTACAAATGACTCACAGTTAAGAATGGAGCTGAGACAATAGGAAGTCAGAGGAATCTATACCCAGGAAGAGAAATCCACTTCTGAAGAGTTATTATTACAGGGGAAAGGGCTCTCCACTGGAACTTTACTTCCAATCCTTGTTTCCACAACAAGCCAAATTTTCCAAAATCCAATTCTCACAGATGCAGAAAGTGAGGGGAAATCTCCTGAACAGGAGCACAGAGGGCAAAATGAACACCACAGGGGTATTCACCCTTCCCTATTCTATGCAAAGCTAAAACATATTTTTGACTAGAGGTGCACTTAAAAAATGTACCTGTTCCGACTTACATACAAATTCAACTTAAGAACAAATCTACAGAACTGATCTTATATGTAACTCATGGGCTGCCTGTATTTTGCTGCTGTTTTGTTTTGAGTGCTCTTTCCTTTTCAAAGTCCCAGCAGAAGGGGTGAGTGGAGGGTCTGGTCCTGCCTTCAATGCTCTTTGTCCCTCTGTGTCTGTCGGCAGGTCCAGAGCTTTCTGCGGGGCTGGCTCTGCCGTCGGAAGTGGAAGACCATCATCCAGGACTACATCCGCTCCCCGCATGCTGACAGCATGCGCAAGAGAAACCAGGTGGTCTTCAGCATGCTGGAGGCCGAGGCCGAGTACGTCCAGCAGCTCCACATCCTGGTCAACAACTTCCTGCGGCCCCTGAGGATGGCGGCCAGCTCCAAGAAGCCCCCCATCACCCACGATGACGTCAGCAGCATCTTCCTCAACAGGTCAGCGGCGGGCCGGGGCACCAAAGCCCCCTTTGTAGGGGCTGAACAAGTGATAGGGGGCTCCGGGGTCAGAGGGATGGGGATTGTGCTCCTTTCAGCTGAATTGCAAGGTGCCAAAGGAACTTTCCAAGGTGCTGAACCAGTGGGCTTTTAAAGGAGAGCTCGGTGCCTTGGAGAGATCTTCCAAAGTTTGAAGCGAAACCTAGAATGTGTTGACACCAGTCTGTGATGATTCAAGGTAAAAAAATGTTGTGATGCTTCAAAGTCAAAATGCTTGAGAATGTTCATTCTTCCTTAGAGATGCCTATATACTTACTTATTTTGGAAATACCTTATTTCCAAGGAAAAGGTAGGTAAATGTGATTTTTTAAAAAAATCTCAGGTATGACTTGAGAAACTGCAAGTTACTTCTGGTGTGCCTCTGGACATTGCCCAGGAGATGCCCAGATTTGTTACCATCCTGTGTGCAGCTTCTCTTATGTCCCCACATGGGAAGCTGGAGCTGACAGTCGGGAGCTCACCCTGCTCCCCAGATTTGAACCGCTGACCTTTTGGTCAGCATTCCTGCCAGCACAAGGGTTTAACCCATTGTGCCACCAGGGACTTGGTAAATGTGATGTCATGGATGAAACAGAGCCTAAGAGGGAATGACGCCTGTGAATGTTCTCCGTTGTCTGTCCAACTTGCTTTGTTGGCTTCTTTTGCAGCGAAACAATCATGTTTTTGCACCAGATCTTCTACCAGGGCCTGAAAGCACGCATCTCCAGCTGGCCCACCTTGGTGCTGGGTGAGTGTCTCTCCCTTCAGTTTCACAATACATACTTTCCTTTATTAAACAGGAATCCAATCAGAACAATCATCTGATGGAAAGTTCTTCCTCAAAGGTTTTCCTTGATGACCATCTCTCAGGGGTGCTTTGATGGTGCTTTTCCTGTATGGCACGGGGTTGGACTAGATGGCTCATGTGGTCTCTTCCATGGAATCATAGATTTGGAAGGGGGAAATGAGAGAAGCCTCCTCGCAGGATTGCAATGTCTTCGTAGATGGCTTTGTAGATGGTCAAGGAACATTTAATATAATGCCAAATTTTTAAACTTTGTGTTTTTTAAATACATTACAACTGTACTCTTGGTTCACTCCTGATATGATAAACAAACAATAGATTTGGAAGAGACTCCAGGAGCCATCTAGTCTAACTCCCTGCAATGCAGGAAAAGCCCAATCAAAGCACCTCTGGCAGATGTCCATCCTGTTTTAAAGCCTTCAAGGAAGGAGCTTCTACTGGACTCTGAGGCAGAGTTCCATTATTGAATAGCTTTTCTTACATTCGGGAAGTTCTTCCTGAAGGGACACCCAGCACCGGCAGGAAGATTTGGCCAAATAAACCTGTTGAACAGTTTCCTTGATTCTAGTGTCTGGATAAAAGGGCTCCAGAGATTCTTGGGCCACTTGGGAAAAGAGGGACACTGCAGTGAGTTCCAACATTGCTAATGTAATTCCAACTCAATTATTTTTTGAAGCAAATTGTTGCCCATTCCCCTTTTCATGCCTTCACCCATTCAGCTCCTCTCCCATCCCAAACTGGCCATGGCTCCTTGCCTTTTCTGTCACCCAAGGAGCCTCACCATTGCTTTCCTCCTTGTAGCCGACCTCTTTGACATCCTGCTGCCAATGCTGAACATCTATCAGGAGTTTGTCCGGAACCATCAGTACAGCCTCCAGATCCTGGCCCACTGCAAGCAGAACCGGGACTTTGACAAGCTCTTGAAGCACTATGAGGCGAAGCCTGACTGCGAGGAGCGGACGCTGGAGACCTTCCTGACATATCCCATGTTCCAGGTGAGAGTGGCTAGTGGCCATTTGGATGAGAAGGTTGACTGACATGGGGCAGGTGTGTGTTTGTGTGTTAATTCACTGCTGTAAACTGGAAACAGTGAAAGGCAGAGCAGTGAAATATAGGCATACCTCAGTTAACAAACCTCTGACAGTGATGTTCCTTTTTACAAAGTCCGTTTTGCACCCCAACATCCCCTTTTCCTCCTCTTTTGTCTGACTGACTTCTTTTTTATTGGGAGGATAGCAACACAGATGTTCAGTGTTGAGCTGCCCCTGTGAAATGGAAGTGACCACATTTTCTCTTAAGGAAGCCATGCCCAGAAACACATTGGCTTTGATAGCTGGTCACAGTGGTTCCCAAAGTTTGATCCAACTGATTTTTTTTTTGATTGCTGAAGGCTTTTATGACCAGAATAACTAGAGTTCCAATCTCCATGTGTCTTAGAACAATTTCTCCCCATGGAGATGTCAAATGTAAACATGATGATGATGATGATGATGATGATGATAGGATTTAAAGACAGAACTGCAAAGACTCTGGCACAAGCCAGTAAAGGTGTCCAATGTGTGATCGAATGCAAAAGCCAGCATAGTGATCTTGCTTGCTGTGTACTAATCTTGTTATCTATCAAATAATAATAATGTACTGTCAAAGGCTTTCATAGCCGAAATCACTGGAGATCACTGATTTCTTTGGACTTCAGCTCCCAGAATTCCTTGCCATTGGCTCAGCTTCATGCAGCTTCTGGGAGTTGAAATCCAAAACATTGGAAGGGCCAACGTTTGGGAACCACTGAGCTGAGGTATGCCTGCAGGAATGAAATAAAACCTTGTAGAAGATGCCAGAGGGTGCCTTTGACTCTTTACCAGCCTTTGTTGGCCTATCCATTGTAGCAAGCATGCCTAGCACTAAGGTTGCCTCTTTCCGTTGTGTCTTTTGCGACCCAGATTCCCAGGTACATCTTGACGCTGCACGAGCTCTTGGCCCACACGCCCCATGAACACGTCGAGAGGAACAGTCTGGATTATGCCAAGTCCAAGCTGGAAGAGCTTTCCAGGTGGGTCTGGGTGGGCAAATAGATGGGAGACCTCGTGTAGACCTCAGGACCATTGCCAAATTTGTTCTCAGCTGGAACTGTCAGACCTCCCCAGAACTGCCTTTGGAATATAGAACAACCAACAACACCATGTAATATGATTTTTGCTCCTGGGCTATAAATGTCATTTTCTAATTGGTTGTGTCATTAAAAAAGGGCCTCTTCCTTCTTTTGCACAGAGGTGCAAAATTCTGGAATGTCTTATTGGGTCGGACTGGGTTGTCTGTTAGCAATATGCTGTGCAGCCATTGTCACAATGAGGGATTGGAATTGACCCTTTCCTTCTCCCGCAGGATCATGCACGACGAAGTGAGTGAGACTGAAAACATCCGGAAGAACCTGGCAATCGAGCGGATGATTATCGAAGGCTGTGAAATCCTTCTGGACACCAGCCAGACATTTGTGAGACAAGGTAGCCCACATCTGTGGCACTTTCAGAAGGAGTTGACCGAGGCTCCTTTAAGCTTTCCAGAGAGTTGCGTAGGGACTGGGGGAAAGAGAGAAATGAAGAAAGGACAAAGAGAAATAGAGAAAATGGAAAATTACAAGCCAGCAAAAGGTTTAGACCAGGCATGAGCAAACTTTGGCCTTCCAGGTGTTTTGGATTTCAACTCTCACAATTCCTAACAGCCTCAGGCCCCTTCCTTATTTATTATTTATTTATTTACAGTATTTATATCCTGCTTTTCTCACCCCCTCAGCCTCTTAAGCTTATTTGTGTGTTTTTCACTGTGCTGTGATCTGCCTCGAACCGTGAGCAGAGGCGGGTAAGAAATAACAATAACAATAATAACTCTGTGGCCCAAATGATTCACTGGAACTTATGTCACAAATACCACCTACCAGCAGTAAAGAATTGGTGGGATCATAAACCTGCGAAGGTAGTGGAAAATGAACATGCAAAAATGCTGTGGGATTTTTGCATCCAGACTGACAAAGTTTTGGAACACAATACACCAGACTTCATGATTGTGGAAAAGAAAAAAGTCTGGATTATTGATGTCACCATAACAAGTGACAGCCGAATTGACAAAAAACAACAGGAAAAACTCAGTCGTTAACAAGACCTCAAAATCGAACTGCAAAGGCTCTGTCATAAACCAGTACAGGTAGTCCCAGTGGTCATCGGCACACTGGGTGCTGTGCCAAAAGACCTCAGCGGGCATTTGGAAACAATAAACATTGACAAAATCATGATCTGTCAACTGCAAAAGGCCACCTTATTTGGATCTGCATGCATAATTCAAAAATACATCACACAGTCCTAGACGCTAGGGAAGGGTTCTACTTGTGATTTTGTGATACAAAATCCAGCATATAGATCTCGTTTGCTGTGACATATGGTGTTTTTGTGTCAGTAAAATAATAATAATAATAATAATAATAATAATAATAATAATTTGATACACAATGCTGGCTTTTGTATTTGATCACACGTCAGACACTTTCTAAGTGTCTAAGGACTGTGTGATGATGATGATGATGATGATGATTATTATTATTATTTGATACATAACAAGATTGGTACACAGCAAACAAGATCACTCTGCTGGCTTTTGTATACGAACACATGTCAGACACTTCCCAAGTGTATCCTAGTAGGGTGGCCTTTTGCAGCTGACAGATAGTAATTTTGTCAGTGCTGATTGCCAAGGTCTTTCGGCACTGCACCCAGTGCGCCGATCACCACTGGGACCACCTTGACTGGCTTTTGCCAGAGTCTTTGCAGATCTATCTTTAAATCCTTGTATTGGATAAGCTTTTCCAGTTGCTTCTTGTCAATTCTGTTGTCACCTGGGATTACAACGTTGATGATCCATACTTGGTTTTTCCCACGATCATGAGGTCAGGAGTATTGTGCTCCAAAACTCTTGAAGTCTGAATTCGTAAATGTCAGAGTAGTTTGACATGATGGGGATGATAATTATAATGATGATGATGATGATTATTATTATTATTATTCATTATGTTCTGAGTCTCTCTCTCTAGTCTCTGTGTGAATGGGAAAATGTAGTTTGTAGAGATTTTTCCTTTTGTTTGAATGTAAAAGTCACATAGTTAGAGAGAAAGCTGAGACCCAATCCTTTTCTATCAAGACATGTAGCTCTTATGTTTTAAAACATTTAAGATTGAACTCTGCAGTGACTTCCTTAAGCTGAAGAATTCTAGACAGCCACACTATATTGCTTGCGTTTGCTCTGAGCAGAATTCTCTATGAAGTAAATAAACCTAACCTGCTGGCTCTGCCTTCCTTCCTTCCTTCCTTCCTTCCTTCCTTCCTTCCTTCCTTCCTTCCTTCCTTCCTTCTCCTGCCAGGTTCCCTGATCCAAGTGCCAATGTCCGAGAAGGGGAAGATCACCCGCGGGCGCCTGGGCTCCCTCTCTCTGCGCAAGGAGGGTGAGCGGCAGTGTTTCCTCTTCTCCAAGCACCTGATCATCTGCACCCGAGGCTCTGGGGGGAAGCTGCACCTGACCAAGGTGAGCCAAACAACACACTCCACTGTCATGGCGGCTGCCAATCTTCTACTGATGTTGGGTCAATCTTCCTGTCAAGTTCATTTTGGACACAGCTGAAGGAAGAGACGGACAACAGATTGGATTTCAATATTTTACTATTTGCAAAATAGTGGTGACAGTTTCTGCTTATGCTGAGTAAAGGACTGTCACACCCCTTATTGAGTTGGATGTCCATCCTGACATTGATAGGAGTCTTAGATGTTTTTATGTTGCAAAGCCGAGTTCTGTGAAGTAGCCAACTGGATGGAAGGATGGCATGCAGGGAAGCCTGTTCCCATCATATTCATGATCCACATCTTTACATTACATTTGCTGTAGGGCTTGTGTCCAACTTAGGGCACCTCTAGGGCGAACCTATCATGCAGTTTTCATTCCAAGCTTTGTTCAGAGGGTGTTTGCCCTTCCCTTCCTCTGAGCCTGAAAGAGTGTGGCTTGCCCAAGGGCATCCAATGGGTTTCTATGGGCAAAGAGAACCTTGAATCATGGTTTCCCAGTGTCCTAGTACAATATTTGAACCATCATGACGTACTGGCTCTCTTCTCATCCATAAATGCCAATTTGACTGGCCAAATGCTCTCAGTCAGCCATGATGCTTTGATGATTTACATTAAACATTTGAAATCTTAACCTGAGGGCTTTTCTGGTCCATTGCTAGGATGCGATCCCTGGCCAAGGAAAGTGTTGCCCTTTGTGAAACAAAGGGACTGCAGATCTGCCATAACAATCTGTCTTAGAATCATAGAATCATGGAGTTGGAAGAGACCTCATGGGCCATCCAGTCCAACTCCCTGCCAAGAAGCAGGAAAATTGCATTCAAAGTACCCCCGACAGATGGCCATCCAGCCTCTGTTTAAAAGCTTCCAAAGAAGGAGCCTCCACCACGCTCCGGGGCAGAGAGTTCCACTGCTGAACGGCTCTCACAGTCAGGAAGTTCTTCCTAATGTTCAGATGGAATCTCCTCTCTTGTAGTTTGAAGCCATTGCTCCGCGTTCTAGTCTCCAAGGCAGCAGCAAACAAGCTCGCTCGCTCCTCCCTATGACTTCCCCTCATATATTTATACATGGCTATCATGTCTCCTCTCAGCCTTCTCTTCTGCAGGCTAAACATGTCCAGCTCTTTAAGCTGCTCCTCATACAGCTTGTTCTCCAGACCCTTGATCATTTTAGTCTTATACCACATGAACCCATTTTTGAGGGGCATTGAGCATTTAATTTGCTAGATGCCCAGAGCACCAGCCTTTGGTCCTAGAAAAATTCACCTGTCCATTTAGGTACCAAGCAAGGCTCCGTTCTTGTCCATATAGGAAGATTGCTGCCTCAAACCAGACTGAAACTCTGTTAGCAGAGAGCTTCTCCTCCTCCTCCTCCTCCTCCTCCTCCTCCTCCTCCTTCTTTCCAGAGTGTACACATTATAACTAGTGGCATATAAAGCCGCCAATAAACAGTAGTATTCTACACCTTCTAATAATAGCAAAACACTTTGAAAGAGTCAAGGAACATGAAAGTCACTGCAGACTAATTCAGCCAGAAAAGTCAGCCATAGCAGAGCACCTGATGAACCCACCTGGACACAGGAAATTATTGGAGAACACAGGAATGCTGGACCACTCTCACAACCACCATGTCAGGCTACACAGAGAAGCCATTGAAATCCACAGACATGTGAACAATTTCAACAGAAAGGAGGAAACCATGAACATGAACAAAATCTGGCTGCCATTATTGAAAAAGTCTAAAATCTGGACCGTAAATAAAGAGCAACACTCAAAACAGAGAAATTCCTGACAGGAAATAATCATGGCCAGCTTACATCTCCCAACAAAAGATCCCCCCAGGCAGAAATCAGCCAGTCTTTGAAGCTGCAAGGCCATTCAATGCTACTCAACCTGGCTATTTACAACATTCACACTGGTCTCAAGCAGACATGAGTTCTTTCTCTCACCCTGGATATTCAGTGTATATACACACACACACACACATATATAAACAAACCACATTTTCCTAGTTTCCAACAGACCTCACAACCTCTGAGGATGCCTGCCATAGATGTGGGTGAAATGTCAGAAAAGAATGCTTCAGGAACATGGCCATACAGCCCAGAAAACTCACAGCAACCCAGTATCTAAACCCTATCAACTGCTCTATCCATTTCCATCAGGAGGGCGGCTTTCTCATGTAGGGCATCGTTGAATTCCAACACTCTCCAGGGAGGGAGGACTGGGCCAGCAAAGACACACACACATGAATATGCAAATAGTGTGCACACCATCCACTTCCAAGGACCCCTCTTTGCTTTCTTCCAGAATGGCGTGACCTCCCTCATCGACTGCACGCTGGTTGAAGACACAGAGAGCACGGACGAGGATGGTATGTGACCCCCACCAGCAGAACCCACCCCCCTAAACAAAAAACAGTACATGTGCTGGCTGGAATAATATAATTTTTACTAATTGTTAGAGCATGAAATCTGATGTTAAATTGCTATTGGTTCCGGAAGCATGTCAGGAGAAGGGAGGTGGGGATGTTGGTGAGTGAGAAAGTTGGTTTTCTATGCAACATTGAGCTAGCTCAAGGCTGCTTTGGCCTGCAGAAGCAGCCAGGAGATAAGATAATGGCAGTTACAAACTGAGAATGGACAAAGACTTCACTGAGAATCTCAGACAGGCTCCATGGGGAGGAGGGATGGAAGCAGGAGGTGGAGTTGAGAGGGTAGAATGAGGTGGGTTTAGGAAGGAATGTTAGTGTGGAATATGAACCTGTATAAAAGGCCATCCATTTTGTGAATCTGGTGTGGCACGTAGTTGGCTGTTATACAGACCCATTGCTGGTTTTCTTCTCCAGAAATAAAACTTCTATCATTTATCATCTCCTCTCTTCCTAGTTTTAATTGGGAACATAAGACTAGGAATATTAAAGCTCTTGAAGAGGTTGCCTAGCAGCTCTTGATGATCCCGGGCTCCTTCCATTCCCTGGCACTGTTGGCCTTGCCATGAGTTGCTTTTTCTTGCCTTGTCCATCCTTCTCGACCCCTTTACCAACCTACCTCTCTTTCTATCCATTGTGCAGCAAAAGGATCTGGTCAAGATATTGACCATCTCGACTTCAAGATTGTAGTGGAACCAAAAGACAGTCCTTCCTACACCTTGATCCTGGTGGCCTCCTCCAGGCAAGAAAAGGCTGCTTGGACCAGTGACATCAGCCAGGTGAGAAGAGGGGTTCAGCCCCAAATGCCTCTCCAGGACTGGGGGTGGTAGTTCCGAAGAGATGGCGGCAGTGGAAGTACCCAGTAACCCCCTGTCAGAGACTGAATGCCTCACACAATGCAGAACAACTGCATTTGAGTCAAGGCTACGGAAGTGGAAATGTGCATGCAAATGCACATTTGCTTGGACAGTAGGGCTGTGCAAAGTTTCAGAGGTCTCTTTTGCAATTTGGAGATTTGTATTATTCATTAATACGAATCTCTGAATTACTAACAAGAGTGGGACCACTCTGAAGAATTGCCAAACAAAACAGAAGCCTCTAAGACATTTCAGAGAAATTAGTAAAGAGTTGTTGTTTGGGAGTGTAACATACATCTGTTTCAAAATAAAAGGTAAAGTTTTCCCCTTGACATTAAGTCTAGTCGTGTCCATCTCTGGGGTGTGGTGCTCATTTCCATTTCTAAGCTGAAGAGCTGGTGTTGTCCGTAGACACCTCCAAGGTCATGTGGCCAGCATGACTACATGGAGTGCCGTTAACTCCACACGGAAGCAGGTCTACTTTGATCTACTCACATTTTTACATTTGCAATTATCAACTCACATTTGCATATTTTCGAACTGCTAGGTTGGCAGAAGCTAGGGCTAACAGTGGGAGCTCGCCCCACTCCCCGGATTCGAATCTCTGACCTTCTGGTCAGCAAGTTCAGCAGCTCAGTGGTTTAACCCGCTGCACCATCAGAGGCTCCGGTATACTTCTTGTAGTTTTTTAAAATAATAATGTAATTGAAAAAGCTTATTAAAATTCCTTAAAATCTGTAGATGAACAAATCTTTCTGAAACATTGCAGGAATGATGCCCTGCTTATTTTGTTGCATTGTGCAGAAATTCAAGGGGATACCTCTTGAGCTTTAAAACAATATTATTTGTAAAAACTTTAAAAATGGCATACAGTTGTACTTTGATTGCATATTTGGATGTTTGTTCAATCACACAATAGTGCTATTCTCTGCTTTCCTCTCTCTGCGTTGCAGTGCATAGACAATATCCGATGCAACGGCCTGATGATGAATGCCTTTGAGGAGAACTCCAAAGTCACTGTTCCCCAAATGATCAAGTGAGTGTGATGCAGGGAATGGGAAGGTTTTTAAAGGCAGGAGCAACTTTTCCATCAGCTCCTTTTGTTTCCTGGAGTCCCCTAACCCAAATTGTAACAATCCAAAGAGCAATTTTTAGAATCTGAGCTCAAATTTCCTTGGTGTTCAGTGACCCTGGGAACAATATCCTTGTTGTGTTGTTGAAGGCTTTCATGGTCGGAATCTCTGGGTTGCTGTGAGTTTTCCAGGCTGTCTGGCCATGTTCCAGAAGCATTCTCTCCTGACGTTTTGCCCACATCTATGACAGGCATCCTCAGAGGTTGTGAGGTCTGTTGAAAACTAGGCAAGTGAGGTTTAGATATATGTGGAATGTCCAGGGTGGGAGAAAGATCTCTTGTCTGTTTGAGGCAAGTGAGAATGTTGCAAATTGGCCACCTTGATTATTTATTTATTTACTGTATTTGTATACCACCTTTCTCAGCCAATTGGCAACTCAAGGCGGTTTCCAACAAATCAGTATACATAAAACATAATAGATAAAAAACATTAAACAGTATAAGACATCACAAAGGCAATAAAAGCAACATCAGCAGCGTCTCATTATTCTCAAGCATTGTCCAATTCCATTGTCAGGTCATTCGATTGCCTATATTAGCTACTCTGCATTTGTAAACGCTTGCTCAAATAGCCTCCAAAATGTCAAGAGAGAGGGAGCAGATCTGATCTCCCTAGGGAGGGCGTTCCATAGCCGAGGGGCCACCACTGAGAAAGCCCTGTCTCGTCCCCGCCAAACGTGCTTGTGACAAAGGCGGGACCGAGAGCAGGGCCTCCCCAGATGATCTTAAAGTCCTCAGTGGTTCGTAAAGGGAGATACGTTCAGACAGGTAAGTTGGGCCAGAACCGTTTAGGGCTTTATAGGCCAAAGCCAGCACTTTGAATTAGGCTTGGTAGCAAACTGGCAGCCAGTGGAGCTGGAGCAACCAGGGGGTTGTATGCTCCCTGAGTGCCGCTCAGGGATTAGTATTGAAGCCTTGCAGCTTGAAAGCCTGGCTGCTTCCTGTCTGGGTTAATCCTTTGTTGGGAGGTGTTAGCTAGCCCTGATTATTTCCTGTCAGGAATTCCTCTTTTTTGAGTGTTGCTCTTTATTTACTGCCCTGACTTTAGACAGGAGGAAACCATGAAAATGATCAAAATCTGGCCACCAGTAGAGTTAAAAAACCTCTAAAATCAGGTTTTATATATTGAAACACTAAATGTTACACCTATAACACTAAGTTAAATAAACAGAAGTGAAGCATGACATATACTAACCCAGTTAGTATACTAACTCTGTCTTCTCTTATTTAAAATAATGATTCTAAATTTGATTTTAAATACAGCGTTATGTTTACATATAATTCAACTCTACATATTGAGGATAAGGGTAAAGGATCACTGAGCTCCATTCTTTTTGTAATATAGCTGAATTTTGTTTTAATCTGTGTTGGGAACTGGCATTGGTCTGGTAGAAAGGCAGGGCCTGGCAACCCAGTCCCTGTATGCTGACCCATCTGCCCATCCATCCACTTGCCCATCGGTATCCAGCTTAGGACATAAACTGCGGAATGGTCTTCGTCTTATGGCATTGTTTCCTTTTATTCCCCTGACATCTTTCCAGGTCCGACACCAGCCTGTACTGCGATGATGTGGACATCCGCTTCAGCAAAACCATGAACTCCTGCAAAGTGCTGCAGATCCGCTATGCGAGCGTGGACCGGCTGCTGGAGAGGCTGACTGACTTGCGCTTCCTCAGCATTGATTTCCTCAACACTTTCCTCCATTCCTACCGGGTCTTCACCACGGCTGTGATCGTCTTGGACAAGCTTATCACCATCTACAAGAAGCCCATCAGTGCCATCCCGGCCAGGTGACCCTTTGATGGTCCCTTCTCTATGGGGAGAGGGTTAAATGGGGTATTGGGAAGGGTCCACTTTGCCTCGTCAGACTGTTGTTGTTCTTCTTATCCCTATAAATTTGATCTGACAAATTAATTATTAATTAATTAGAAAAGCAGAATACAAAATTTTAAAAAATAATAATTAAATAAATCATTGCGGGTTAAGATTAAACAACATATTAAAATATAATAAAGACACTTTAAACAGCCTTTAAAGCTCACAATTTTCTCACTAAAAATGCCTGAGCTTTTGGAAAATGGAAATCTCCAGAACCTTTTGGAGATTTTATGATCTTTGGAAAGGAATTACCTTGTTAGAAGTCACAACCTTTTGAAAAATGATGCCATAGCCTCTTGGTAAAAGCATGACCTGTTTGAGTCATAACCTTTTTTGGAAAGTGGCATTCACTAGCATGCATGCAAGGCAACTAGGTTTCTCAGTTGACATACTGATATACCTAGGTATGTCTTTGAACTGTTAGGGACAAAGATGTGTCAGTGCACAACTATATATTCAGCAGAAGTGGCCCCTTAGTTGCCCAAAAACATCTACTCTCTGTTAAAATATATTTGCCTTTAAATCACGCTCTCAAGAGACAAAAATAAGCAGACTTCTTTTAAAGTAACATCGTTGGTTTACTCACAAACTTCATGTATTCAGCATACAGGTACTTTGCTTATCAATCCAGTTACAAATAGATTTGAAGTAGTTTCTCTGGGTAGCTAACACAGGATATCCTTCGTAGAATCAATAGCCCATAGTCCAAAGCATCTATTTGTTCTGAGAGTCTAATAAGAGTCTCTGTCTAGTCTGAAAGTCCAATGGAGTCTCTAAGCACACTATTCCTACATTGAAGTCTGAAGCAAAACAGTTCCTACTGAATTCTCTAAGCATACTGTTCCTACACTGAAGTCTAAAGCAAACAGTTCCTGCTGGCATCTGAAAGCAAGCTGTTCCAAAATGGAGTCTGAGCCCTGAACAAGCCCAGTTCGGATTACATGGTCTGCAGCCCCTCCCACAACAAAGAGTTAAAGTAAAATTGCATACCAGTACACATATATACAATATAGTAAACAATTACATACATAACAAACAACTAGTGGAGGCTTGATAAGGTTACTATTTCCAACATGAGTGGATGGTGGGACAAATTAAATGAAGCATGTTCAAATGCACAACCCTGTAAATGTAAATTCAGGCATGCATTTCATTGCACAGTGCTGCCTCTCAACACAAGGACTGAGCAGTACAACCAGTGTGTGACTCCAATGTGGAATCTCACATGACATTTGAAACCAACACCTCCCTCCCAGTAGTTCTTATGGTCAACAGGACATCCTTGCTCCCCATCCCACCAGGTCCTTGGAGCTTCTGTTTGCTAACAGCCAGAACACTAAGCTCCTCTACGGTGAGCCCCCCAAGTCTCCACGGGCCAACCGGAAGTTCTCTTCCCCACCGCCGCTGTCCCTGACCAAGTCCTCTTCCCCAAGCCGCCGGAGGAAGCTCTCTCTGAACATTCCCATCATCACGGGGGGCAAGGCCCTGGACTTGGCTGCTCTTAGTTGCTCCTCCAACGGCTACGCCAGCATGTACTCCTCCTCCATGTCACCCTTCAGCAAAACCAGCCTTGACATCAACAAGCTCTACGTCTCTGGCAGTGGCAGTGGAAGCCCTGTCACCACCACCAGCAGCAGCAACTACTCCAGCAAGGCCCCACTGGACGAAGGGGAAGGCACGGCTGAGAGGCCTGAGGACCTTCTCCCCAGCAGCAGGCCAGGTATGTTCCTTCTGGAAGACCCAGCAGCGCCTCAGTCAGCAGGCAGCGAGTCTGGGCTTCAGAAGAGCTCTCCAAGGTTCTGAATCCATTGGAGGGGGAAAAGGTCAGCGCCATGGATGGCCCTCTGAAGATCAGATGAAAACACAGAGAGGATTCAATGCTTATAGTCCAATGCTTATAGTTCTAGTGCAGTAGCCAACAGTCCTGGCTGTCTGTCAATGCCAGCAAGATGGCAGATGATCTGATAGCCTTTGGAAGAAACTACCCTCCTGCTGTCCGTTTCTCCCTCTTTTTCATTTCCTTCTCCTCTTCCCTCATTTTGTCCTTCTCTCCTTTCCTTTCCTTTCCTTCCTTTCCTTTTTTCCTTTCCTTTTCTCCTCTCCTCTCCTCTCCTCTCCTCTCCTCTCCCTCCTCTCCTCTCCTCTCCTCTCCTCCCTCTCCTTCCTCTCCTCTCTCTCCTTCTCTTCTCTTCTCTTCTCCTCTCCTCCTTCCTTCCTCTTCCTCCCTTTCACATTCCTTCTCTCCTTCTCTTCTTGTCCTTCTTTCTTTCCTCTCCTTCTTCTCTCCTTCCTCTCCTTCTTTCTTCCTTCTTCTCTTCCTTCCTTCCTTCCTTCCTCCTCCTTCCTTCCTCCTTCCTTCCTTCTTCCTTCCCCCTTTCTTCTCTTTCCTTCTCTCCTTCTTCTCCTTCTTCTCCCTTCTTTCTCTCCTTCCTTCGCTCCTCCCTTTATCATTTCCTTCTCCCCTTCCCTCGTTATTTCATTCTCTCCTTTCCTTTCCTCTCCTTCTTTCTCTCCCTCCTTCCTTCCTTCCTTCTTCCTTACCCCCTTTCTCATTTCCTTTTCTCCTTCTCTCCTTCTCTCCTTTCCTCTTCTTCTTTCTCTCCTTACTTCCTTTCCTCCCCCCCCTTTCTCTTTCCTTCTCTCCTTCTCTCACTCCTTTCTCCCTCCCTTTCTCCCACCCTCTCTCACTTTCTCATTTTCATCTCTCCTCTCATTCCTTCCTTCTTTCCCCCTCCCTGCTTTTTCTCTTTCCTTTTCCCTTCTCTCTTTTCCCTCCCTCTTTTCTCCTTTACCTCCTCTCATCCCCCCCCCCCCCCTCCTTCCCTTCTTTTCCTCTTTCCTTCTCTCCTTCCTGTCAGGTGAAAACCAAAGGAAGAGGTGGGAAAAGGGAGTAGCCTGGACATCCTCCAAGTCAGGGAAAGGGTGCAGCAGAGTTCAGGGCCATCCCATCTCCCTCTTCTTGTGCTTGTGAAGCCTTTCTCTTTCTTCCATTCAGGTGCAGATATGTCCGTCCGGGAAGAATCTGACGGGGATCCCAACCAGAGTGACGACGGAGACACAGAGACATCTCCCATCAAGTCGCCCACAACTCCCAAACCAGTCAAGAGCAAGAGTTCCTCAGGTGAGGATGTAGCCCTGGGGAAGTGGAGGAGAGCTCTTCTGCACCTTGGCCAGAGAAGAGTTAATGCAAGGACTGGGGTGTTGTGTGGTCTTGGGCTGTATGGTCATGTTCTAGCAGCATTTTCTCCTGACATTTCACCTGAACTTGCAGGTGAAAATTTAGGAGAAAATGCTTCTAGAACATGGTCATACAGCCCAGAAACCATATCACAACACTCTAGTGATTCCAGCCATGAAAGCCTTTGACAATAATACAAGGATGTTTGCAAGGGTTGGAGGGCCAACTTGTAAACAAAAGCTTCCCCAGCATGAAAGCATCTTTACTGAATGCAACAGCAGACTTTGTTGCATAGCTGTTGGAAAACCCTTCCTTCCAAGATAGGCTTTATGTAGGGGGCTGCTCGTGATATTGCCATATGGGGAAGGAGTGCATCCCTTTGGTCATACAATGCTGTCCACCTTCTCCTCCTGGCACAGAGTTCCCCTTGTTTGCCTACAATAACGGGGTGGTCATGACCTCTTGCCGAGAGCTGGACAGCAGCCGCAGCGCCCTTTCCGCAGCTTCCGCCTTCGCCATCGCTACCGCAGGAGCCAACGAAGGCACCCCAACCAAAGAGAAGTATCGCAGGATGTCCTTGGCCAGTGCAGGTAACACAATTTGCAAAATGTTCTGTTCCTGATTTGAAAGTTTTATTTGTCTGTTTAATTGTGCGATCTTTTACTTTGAAAGTAGGGGCCCTCAGTGGTGCAGTGGGTTAAACCACTGAGCTGCTGAACTTGCTGACTGAAAGGTTGGCGGTTCGAATCTGGGGAGTGGAGTGAGCTCCTGCTGTTAGCCCCAGCTTCCGCCAAACTATCAGTTCGAAAACAAGCAAATGTGAGTAGATCAATAGGTTCCACTTTGGTAGAAAGATACTGGTGCTGGCCACATGACCTTGGAGGTGTCTATGGACAAGGCCAGCTCTTAAAAATGGAGATGGACACCATTCCCCAGAGTCGGACGCAACTAGACTTAATGACAGGGAAAACCTTTACCTTTACGTTTACTTTGAAAGTAATTGTTTTACTTCCGAAAACTCTTTTTTGTGGCTGCCACAAACTAGGTTGAATTGGTTGAGACTCTCTGAAATATTCATAGAAAACTACAACAAAACATAGTGCTTCAGGTTGTTCTCCTGCAAGAACAAAGTTCTTGCAGTTTAAGAAACTTTCCCCATATTTTGATGATAGAACTAATTAGGAAAAGACATTGAGAACCCAGAAACACAAATCATATTGTGACATATTGTAATTGCACTGTCTCTTGCCATCCATCCAGGTTTCCCTCCTGACCAAAGGAACGGCGACAAAGAGTTTGTGATCCGAAGGGCGGCCACCAACAGAGTGTTGAACGTCCTCCGGCACTGGGTCTCCAAGCACTCCCAGGTAGGCCCAACATTGGAAGATCATTGGCTTGTTTGCTTTATTACATCCAGCCTGGCTTTTTCCCAGCCTTGGGGCACAAGGCGATTTAGAGCCAGGACAGGGATCTTGAGGAGTAATGTAAAATAAACCCCGTAGCCAGGATTTTGTTTCGGGGGGAGCTGAGTTTGATTCGGGGGGGGGGGGCTGAGTCTGAGTGAAAGAGGGTCTACCCTAGCAAACCTTTTGTATTGTTACCCCAATACCCCATGCATATGGGATATATTGAGCATGGTGATCAGATCATGATATGAATAAACATAACAGTTTAAATAATGTACCAGTAAGGCCTTCTGGCAGACCACCATGAGAATTTGGGGGGGTGAGCCCCAGCCCCCCCCCCCCAGCTACATGCCTGCCACCTGTAGTTCACATTTGATTAGCACTTCCTTGTCAGAGAAAGAAAACATGCCATGCAAATGAACAGTAAAGAACAAGTAGTTCATTTTTTTTAGTTCAGAACAACATATATACAATGTGATCAGTTGCATCAACTCACATAATATCCTTTTAGAGATATTTAAAATGGTATTTCTTTGTCCATATGAGAGACCTTCTTTCAGCAGCCAAGAAGCAAATCAGTCTGTCTCTGCTTCTTACTTCTTCTTTTTGCACCTACATAGCTTGAGCCTGAACAAAAATGTAACAGTATCCAAAAGTTCCAGCTCAGCCATCACAGTGCATTGCCCCACCAATCAGCTTTATGCATGTTATTTTACAATTGACACACACACTCACTGATTCCTTGCATGCTCCAAAATATCTGAAAGAATATTTAAAAGATTATTATTTATTTTTTGTACATAACTACCACATGTCATAAAAGTGCCAACCTTTTCCCCACATTTCCAAGAATCACTAGAACTACTTCTATACATCTTTGCAATCCATTCTGGTGCCATGTACCATCTATGTATCATTTTATAATTATTTTGAGAAGGACAAACTGTTTTCTCCATTTCTTTGTAATGATACTTCCAAACACTCTCCGTCAATACTATTGCCTTTTTGCCATCTGAAAACAATAGTTACAGTCTAAACCTAGGACAATAACTGTAGGTGGCAGCTGCAAAGAAGGAAGAATTCATTTATATTTACTTCTAGAATAGCTACCCTTTCTACAAACATGGGACCAAAGGCAGATGTGTACACCTTTTTCTTTGGTAAACTGGTATAAATCAATCAGGTTCTTTTCTGCCAGGATTTTGAAACAAACGAAGAGCTGAAAAGCAAAGTGATCAGCTTTCTGGAGGAAGTGATCCATGACCCGGAGCTCCTGACGCAAGAGCGAAAAGCCGCCGCCAACATCATAAGGTAAGCTGAGTACAAGGGTGGGAATTAGAGATCTTTGTGTAATAATAATAATTATTATTATTATTATTTATTTATTTACATTATTTCTATTCCACCCTTCTCACCCCAAAGGGGGACGAAACACATACACAGAAAACATTCAATGCTGATTATACAACGACAAGAAAGAGAACAGATAGAGATATATATAGGCCTTTCAACGTCTTTCGGCATCTTTGGAGGCTGTGCTCGGTTCTGGCCACAGGGGGGCGCTGTTGCTCCATCTCCTTGCCAAAGAGCATTCTTTGTTCATAAACTTTCCTCCTTTTTCTGATCTAAATGCCGTGCCTAAAATACCTCCCTGCTAAATGTGATTCCTATTTTATCTACTCACATTGCTGTTTTTTGATCCGCTAGGTGGGTAGGGAGCTGGGCTGAAGGTCAGGAGCTCACCCTGACCCAGCTTCGAACTGTCAGTCTTTTGACTGGCGAGATTTACTGCAGCTGGTAATTAACCTGCTGTGCTAAAGTTGTTATTATTATTGACACAAAGTCACAGCAAATGAGATCTCTATGCTGGATTTCGTATCACAAAATCACAAGTCAAACACTTTCCAAGCGTCTAGGAATGTGTGATGTATCATTATTGTTGTTGTTGTTGTTATTATTATTATTATTATTATTATTATTATTAGAAACACAACAAGATGAGTCCACAGCAGACAAGATCACTCTGCTGGCTGTTGTATTGGATCACACATCGGACACTTCCCAAGTTTCTAGAACTGTGTGATGTATTGGCAAATAATTTGTGCAGATCCCAGTAGGGTGGCCATTTGCATCTGGCAGATGGTAATTTTGTCAGTGCCGATTGTGTTTAAATGCAGGCCAAGGTCTTTAGGCACTGCCCCCCAGTGTGCCGATCACCACTGGGACCACCTTTACTGGTATTATTATTATTATTTTATTATTACCCGTGTCACCTCGTGGCTTGAGGTGGGTCACAACACAATCAAAACACACAAACATTGTAAAAATTCTATAAACACACATATTAAAATGTAGTTTAATTTACTAGCAGGATGAGAGCTTGATGCAGCCAGCAGGCTCCATAATTCCCATCTCTGGACTAGACGGTTGCAGCTTTCGCTGTTGGTCTAATTCCCCTTGGAGCATGACTCCTTTAAACTAGATCGAAGGGATGCATACCTCTCCATTCAGAGAAGCAAAGGTCCTCTGGTTGACACTGATTCAATGAGCTGCTTACATAACTCAGTGCATGTATTTGAATCCCTGCAACAATCAGGATTCTGGCGCTGTCTTCAGAGCCATTCAGTGCAGCATAATGAAGGCAGGTCATTTTTTTTCTAAGATTGAGGAAGCATTGGAATTAATCATTCCAGGGCCGACAAATGGCCTTCAACTTGTCCAGTGATTTTCGAATGTTGCTCCCCCAGATGTTTCAGACTTCAGCTTGCAGAATCCCCAACTGGAAGATTCAAGTTTGGGAGTCAATGGACTAGATCAAAGTCCTCCTAACTACTCAACCCTTTATTTTTATTTGCATTGTGTGTTTACCATCGATGTATGGTAATTCTATGAATGAGAGACCTTCCAAGAACCCCCATCATCCATTCAAACCTTGCAGACTCCAAGCAGGGAAGGCTCTTATCTCATGGGCTGGGCTTGGAGTGAGGCCCACTTGCAGCATCCTTTGAAGCTTTGTGTAACAAACAGGGCAAACCATATACCCAAAGTCACCACTGAGTTCCCTTTCCAAGCACATTGAGTCCAATAACACTAGTCGTCTCTTCCTGTGACAGGAAGTCTCAACCTACAATCTAACCACACAAATCTTACTCTGTGGCCCATAATTTCCTCCCTTTTTCTCCCCAGGACTTTGACTCAGGATGACCCTGGGGACAACCAGATCACCTTAGAAGAGATTTGGCAGATGGTAAGTATGATTTAGAATCAGAGCTCACTTTCTATACTATTGTACAATGCAATCGGACGGAAACCGCAAAGACAGGAGAATGTATTTCATTTCTATATTGTCATAAGTCACAAGAACAAACCCTTTTGGAACATTCCACATTTTTGGTACCAAAGAACTGATTTCATTTATTTATCGTGTCAGGAGTGAACCAAAACAGTTGTATTGCATTAAAAAACATACAAACATACAAACAAAACACAGAGTTTTCAGGCTTCGTATTCTATTAGATGTCCTTTGATCAGTAGCTGGCCACTTGGAGTGCCTCTGGTGTTGCTGCAAGAAGGTCCTCCATTGTGCACGTGGCAGGGCTCAAGTTGCATTGCAGTAGGTGGTCTGTGGTTTGCTCTTCTCCACACTCACATGTTGTGGATTCCACTTTGTGGCCCCATTTCTWAAGGTTGGCTCTGCATCTCGTGGTGCCAGAGCACAGTCTGTTCAGCACCTTCCAAGTCACTCAGTTTTCTGTGTGCCCAGGAGGGAGACTTTCATTTGGTATCAGCCATTGATTAAGGCTKTGGGTTTTAGCTTGCCACTTTTGGACTCGCGCTTGCTGAGGTGTTCCAACAAGTATCTCTGTAGATCTTAGAAAACTATTTCTTTATTTAAGTCATTGGCGTGCTGGCTGATACCCAAACAGGGATGGACCAGAGGTGTCACTGCCTTGGTCCTGATGATGGCAACACATTACCTCTTGCAGTTGCCAAAACTCTCCTCTGGGTGGCATGAATCAAAATGCAGAGATAAGGGAAGAGAATGAGAARTGTGTTGTCGAAAGGCTTTCATGGCCGGAATGACTGGGTTGCGGTGAGTTTTCTGGGCTGTTTGGCCATGTCCCAGAAGCATTCTCTCCTGACATTTCACCCACATCTATGGCAGGCATCTTCAGAGGTTGTGAGGTCTATTGGAAACTAGGCAAATGAGGTTTATATATCTGTGGAATGGCCAGAGTGGAAGAAAGAACTCTTATTTGTTTGAGGCAAATGAGAATGTTGCAAACTGGTCACCTTGATTAGCACTGAATGGCCTTGCAGCTTCAAAGCCTGGCTGCTTCCTGCCTGGGGTAATCCTTTGTTGGGAGGTGTTAGCTGACCCTGATTGTTTCCTGTCTGGAATTCCCGTTCTCTGAGTGTTGCTCTTTATTTACTGTCCTGATTTTAGAAAGGAGGAAACCATGAAAACGAACAAAATCTGGACACCAGTAGAGTTAAAAAACTCTAAAATCAGGGTCAAAGTTGAATATATTGAAACACTAAATGCTACACCTATAACATAAACAGAAGTGAAACATGACTACCAATCAGTTTACTAACTCTGTCCTCTCTTTTTTAAAATAGTAATTCTAAATTTGACTTTAAGTACGGTATTATGTTTACATATAATCCAACTCTACATATTAAGGATAATGATGAAGTATCACTGAGCTCCATTCTTTTTGGAATATAGCTGAATTTTGTTTTATTTGTGTTGAGAGCTGGCACGGGTCCAGTAGAAAGGCAGGGCCTGGCAACCCATCCCCTGTATTTTGACCCATCTGCCCATCCATCCACTTGCCCATCGGTACCAGTTTAGGTAGCGGACATAGACTGCCGAGAGGTCTTTGTCCTATGGCATTGTTTCCTTTTATTAACTTATTAATATTAATAAAGTGTGAATGCTGCAATTGGCCACCTTGATTAGCCTTGCAGCATCAAAGCCTGGCTGCTTGCTGCTTGGGAGATCCTTTGTTGAGAGTTATTAGCTGGCCCTGATTAATTCTTGTCTGGAATTCCCCTGTTTTTTTAGTGTTCCTCTTTATTTATTGTTCTGATTTTAGAGGGTTTTTTTTAATACTGGTAGCCAGATTTTGTTCATTTTCATGGATTCCTCCTTTCTGTTGGAATAACCTACATGCTTGTGGATTTCAATGACTTTTCTCTGTAGTCTGACATGGTGGTTGTGAGAGCGGTCCAGCATTTCTGTGTTCTCAGATAATATGCTGTGTCCAGGTTGGTTCATCCAGTGCTCTGTTATGGTTGAATTAGTCTGCAGTGCTTTTCATGTTTCTTGATTCGGTGCCTGGGCATTGCTGCGTTTGGGAACGATTCCCTCTTTGTCTTGTATTGGAGAGCCCAGAGGCTCCCTGCCCAGGAATGGCAGCAAGGATTGCTCCAAAACAGCCCTTTTCATTCCAAAGACCCGCAAGAAATGTCAAGTGGAGTGGGTGGGCTTCAGAAATTCCAAGACCCCTTTTCAGGGGGGTTTCCTCCTAAGAGGAGAACAAGACATAACACACTGGCACAGACACCTATTTGAGAAAGCACTGATATGGCACAACAGGCATTCACTTGAAGAAGCCATGAAGGATGGCAACCTCAAGGGTCTTTGAGGGCCTCTTGCCCCAAATTCCTGCAACCATGGAGTGTGACCTTGTGACTTGGGCAAAGCTTTCCAGGCAGCCTTCTGATCAAGCAGGATCTTGGAGACACCCAAGTTTCCTGGAAACCTCCAATCAATGGTGCCTCTTCCTTCACCCCACTGCAGCAGAGAAACGGGGTGAATATGAGTTCTTAGAAGAATGGGAATGTGTTGCATCTTCCCACAAACATCCCAACTGGACTCCCAGTCATCCCAGTTCAGACTGGGAGGTGCGCCAGGTCACCACAGAGCGAGGACTGCTGAATTCATGCCAATGTTTGTGTATGCCAGGTGGCATTTCTGCACGCACAAATAATACTATGTAACTGGGTTGCTGTGAGTTTTCCGGGCTGTATGGCCATGTTCCAGAAGCATTCTCTCCTGATGTTTCACCCACATCTAAACAAGCATCCTCACAGGTTGTGAGGTCTATTGGAAACTAGGCAGGTTTATATATCTGTGGAATGATGTCCAGACTGGGAGAAATAACTCTTACCTGTTTGAGTCAAGTGTAAATGTTGCAATTGGCCACCTTGATTAGCATTTAATGGCTTTGCATCTTGAAAGCCTGGCTGCTTCCTGCCTGGGGGAGTCCTTTGTTGGAAGGTGTTAGCTGGCCTTGATTGTTTCAAGTCTGGAATTCCCCTGCTTTTGGAGTGTTGGTCTTTATTAACATTATTAATTGTGGACAATTTCAAGAGAAAGGAAGAAACCATGAAAATGAACAAAATCTGGCTACCTGTATTTTAAAAAATTGTATTAAAACTGTATTATTATTTATTGTTTTTGTGATGTCTTATGCTGTTAATGTTTTTTTATCTATTATGTTTTATGTATATTGATTTGTTGGGAACTGCCTTGAGTCGCCAATTGGCTGAGAAAGGCGGTATACAAATACAGTAAATAAACAAATAAATATTAAAAACTCTAAAATCACGACGGTTAATAAAGAGGATTTTATTGTGTGACTGTGTGTCTGTGGAGCAGAACAGACAACTCTGCATCTGTATGCTTGTCCATTAGGCCCTCATATACAGAGGAAGAATTGTTGGAGGCTACAGACAATGCCATTACTGTTGCCCATTTTTGGTCAAAAGATATTTAGCCGCCTGCACTCCTTCTATTTTTATCAGTTTTATACTAATTTATGCAATGCTTTTGATACGAAATAAATTAAAAAAATAAAAAATATAATAAAGAGCAACTATTCATAGTTTTTCAATTAATATCTCATCATTGAGTCTCAACCAATCCAACCTAGTTTGTGACAGCCACAAAAAAGACGTTTCTGAAGTATAACAACTACTTTCAAAGTAAGGACAGCACAGTTAAATGGGAAATTACACTTTTAAACCAGGAACAGAACATTTTTCCAAATTTTGTTACATAGGGGAAGGTGCATGCAGAGGCACACACGTCCCACTGCTCTTATGAGAACAGGCTGAGCCCTTCTTATTTGTCTTCCATCTTTTCAGGCTACAGGAGTCAAAGCAGAGCCCTTCGAAAGCCACTCGGCCTTAGAGATCGCGGAGCAGCTCACCTTGCTGGACCACTTGGTCTTCAAGAGCATCCCCTACGAGTGAGTGGCCAGGCAAGGTCAAAGGGGAAGGGGGAAGAAGTGGGGGGAAGAAGAAGCTGCAGCCCTGGCCTCTCTCCTTTTGCAGGGAGTTTTTCGGCCAAGGATGGATGAAGACGGAGAAGAACGAGCGGACCCCGTACATCATGAGGAACACCAAGCACTTCAACGACGTGAGTTCCTGGGCCTGGATTGGGCGGGGATGGAGAGGGGGATTCGGGAGGACTTGAACCCGGAGTGCCCACAGTGGTCCACGCTCTTGTCACATCCCGAATAGATTACTGCAATGCACTCTACATGGGATTGCCTTTGAAGATTGTTCAGAAACTTCAATTAGTCCAACGGGCGGCAGTTAGATTACTCACTGGAGCGTCATACAGGGAGCATACCACCTCCATGTTATGTCAGTTCCACTGGCTGCCAATCCAATTCTGAGCATAATTTTGACCTATAAAACCCTATACGACTCCGGTCCAGCGTACCTGTCCAAACGTATCTCCTTCTACGTCCCACCTCAGAGTTTAAGATCTTCTGGGGAGGCCCTGCTCTCGGCCCCACCTCTGTCTCAAACATCCTTGGCAGGGACGAGGGACAGGGCCTTCTCGGTGGTGGCCCCCCACCTGTGGCACTCACTCCCTGGGGAAATTAGGTCATCTTCCTCTCTCCTCACCTTTAGAAAAAAATTAGAAAAACATGGATGTGGGACCAGGCCTTTGGGTAATTAAGCGGACAATGACAATAACAATGTTGACAATGGCATGGAAATGGATTATGAATAAATTTGATGGAGCATCCAACCACAGTTTTTGGCTAATAATGGCTCCAGAGTGGTAATTCTTCAGAGATTTTAATTGTATTGTTTTAGATGTTTTTAACTATTTATAGTTATTGACTGTTTGTTTTTATTATGTATATATTGAGGCATCAAATTGCTCCTGATTGGAAGCCACCCTGAGTCCCTCCCAAGGGGCTGAGAAGGACGGGGTACAAATATTCTAAATAAATAAATAAATGGGTCTTGAACCTGTAACTTTCCTAGAGTGGCCTCTCCATCTCAGATGGAAGCCACTTAGCCGAAGGTGAGGCCTTCAAGGGCCCTCCTTACATGGAAATGGCTAAGGAGCTTCCATTGTTCTGTGGATTCCCAACCAGCCAAACCCGTTTCCGGCCAACTTTGCTCCTCCTGCCCTGTGAGTTTATATAATACCATTTTGTGTGATTAAAAAACAGAACTGAAAGGATAAGTTAGAAAAGCGTTTCACATCTGCTTCCTCCATTTGCTCAAAATGAAAGCGAGAGGCAACTGTTTAATACATTCTCCAGCCAACGTTCTCATGTGAATGTTAAGGCTTGTCCTTGAGTCTGAGGCTGTGTAGCAGAGGCATGGGCAAACTTCAGTCCTCCCTCCAGGTGTTTTGGACATCCAAAACACCTGAAGGGAGGGTCAAAGTTTTCCCATGCCTCTGCTATATAGCATCCATTAACCCTTGTATCCAAAAACTCAAAAGGAATGGCACTTCCAATTCCAAACTGTGCTCCAAGTCAGAAGAATGGAGCAGGGGTGGGAAACTAGGGCAAGTCCAGGAACTAATTACATTATGTACCACCATTTTTGTTCCTGGGTTATAAATGCCATTTCCTAATTGGTTCTATGTAGCCAATTAATTGGTTAAACCCTTGTGCCAGCAGGACTGCTGACCTGAAGGTTGGGTTGCTGACCTGAAGGTTGCCAGTTTGAATCCGGAGAGAGCATGGATGAGCTCCCTCTGTCAGCTCCAGCTCCCTGTACGGGGATATGAGAGAAGCCTCCCACAAGCATGGTAAAACAGCAAACATCCAGGTGTCTCCTGGGCAATGTCCTTGCAGATGGTCAATTCTCTCACACCAGAAGCTACTTGAAGTTTCTCAAGTCGCTCCTGACAGGGGAAAAATGTTTCTATCATAAAAACATGGAAAAGGTTTATTAAATTACTAAAACTTTGTTTTTTTTGCGGGAGGAACATCCTGCGGCGCATTTTGCTCTAGTTTTTCAATGAATTCCCATAATCGAGTCTCAACTAATTCAACACAGTTGGTGGCAGTCACCAAAATGAAGGTTCTGGAGTTGAGAGAGTGAGTAAAAGCAGAACAACAACAACAATAGCCCTCACTTAATTCTATCTAACTGCTCTTTGGACAATGACTTAAACTGGTGACTGTTGATTGTTTTTATACTGTTTTACACTGTTTTTACTGTTTTATTGCTATATTGTTATTTAAATTGTATATTTATGTTTTGGTTGTGAGTACCATGGGGTGCCGGTTTGTTAACCACCCTGAGTCCCTCTGAGAAGGTTGAGATAGGATGGGATACAAATGTCTGAAATAATAATAATATCTATCTGCTTCTCATTGAGGACTACAGACTTGAGCAGAGTGAGGTTAAATTCCTAGACATTGCCACTTCTTTCTGAAATGGAGAACTTCTCTCTCTCATGGCTCCTTCCCTTTTCCTGCAGGTCAGCAACCTGATTGCCTCCGAGATCCTCCGCAACGAGGAGGTCACAGTCCGGGTCAGCACCATAGAGAAGTGGGTGGCCGTGGCCGACATCTGCCGCTGCCTCCACAACTACAACGCAGTGCTGGAGATCACGTCCGCCTTCAACCGCAGCGCCCTTTTCCGCCTCAAGAAGACCTGGCTCAAGGTCTCCAAGCAGGTAAGTGCCAAGCACAAAAGGCCTGTAGCAACAATCTTTCTTGTCCCTTCGGCCACTCGTCCTCGTCTGTCATCTTGGGAGGGGCAGGGGGAATTTGAATCAATTGCACACCGTCCCTGAGTTACAAACATCTGACTTACAAATGACTCAGAATTAAGAATGGGGCTGAGACAACAATGTTGAGGCGTGGTGTTCCCTTATCTATCTCTAGTCCTTTAACTTCCTGATTAAAGACTAGGGATCGAGGAGATTAAAATACCATAGTTTAATTCATATGAAATATTATTTTTGACGCAGTTGATAATAATAATAATAATAATAATAATAATAATAATAATAATATAATAATAATAATAATGGGTTGTTATGTGTTTTCCGGGCTGTATGACCAAGTTCCAGAAGCGTTATCTCCTATATCTATGACAGGCATCCTTAGAGATTGTGACAATCTCTGAGGATGCCTGCCATAGATGCAAGTGAAACGTCAGGAGAGAATGCTTCTGGAACATAGCCATACAGTCTGGAAAACACACAATAGCCCAGTGATTCCGGCCATGAAAGCCTTCGGCAATACAACAACAACAACAACAACAACAATAATAACTCACTTTATTTATATTCTGTGCTATCTCCCCGAAGGGACTCAGAGCAGATCACAACATACACAGATAGGCAAACATTAAATGCCTTGAATACACTCTGTGTATTTGGGACACTTCATGTAGCTCTGCTGCCCAATGCAAAGTCCTGAGTCCCAGTCATTTGGAGGGGAGGGGACTTCCGAAATGGCCACCCCTGCTTCTTGGTTTTGGGGAGGGTGACCAGTTGACTGTCCTCTTCTTTGCAGACAAAGGCACTCATTGACAAGCTGCAGCGGCTGGTGTCTTCGGAAGGACGCTTCAAGAACCTACGGGAAGCCCTAAAAAAGTAAGTGGCTGTTGCACCCTAGCCCTGCGTCACTTTTTCATGCAGCACCACACCAGAGGCCAATAGTCCAATAATAAAGTGTTTATTGAATAAAGAATAATAAAAGGGGGGAAGGGGGTTATATCCAAAAGTAGCAGTCAGGATATAAACAGCAATAGGCAGAAGCAGACAAAAGCAGCCGAATTCAATAAAAGTCTTTAAGAAATCCATGGAAACTTCACAGGAACTAGAAATTCAAGAACATAGCAATCCAAGGTAAAATGCAGGAACATGAACACAGGAAACATAATAAGGGGGAAAGGGGGTTATATCCAAAAGTACCAGTCAGGATATAAACAGCAATAGACAAAAGCAGTCAGAGTTCAATAAAAGTCTTTAAGAAATCCATGGAAACTTCACAGGAACTAGAAATCCAAGAACATAGCTATAAAAGGTAAAATGCAGAAACATGAACACAGGAAACATAATCCTGGCAAACTTCTTCCAAGGTACATAGGCAAAGGTTGTTGTTGTTGTTTATTTGTTTAGTCGCTTCCGACTCTTCATGACCTCCTGGACCAGCCCACTCCAGAGCTCCCTGTCAGCCGTCACCACCCCCAGTTCCTTCAAAGTCAAGCCAGTCACTTCAAGGATACTATCTATCTATCTTGCCGTTGGTTGGCCCCTCTTCCTTTTTCCTTCCTTTTCCCCCAGCATCTTTCTCTTCTGCAAGCTTTCCTGTCTTCTCATTATGTGGCCAAAGACCTTCATCTTTGCCTTTAATATCCTTCCCTCCAATGAGCAGTCGGACTGGTTGGATCTTCTTGCGGTCCAAGGCACTCTCAAATTTTTCCTCCAACAGCACAGTTCAAAAGGGTCTCTCTTCCTTCACTCAGCCTTCCTTATGGTCCAGCTCTCACATCCATAGGTGACTACAGGGAATACCATTGCTTTAACTATGCGGATCTTCATTGCCAGTGTGATGTCTCTACTCTTGACTATTTTATCGAGATTGGTCATTGCTCTCCTCCCAAGAAGCAAGCGTCTCCTGATTTCCTGGCTGCACTCTGCGTCTGCAGACATCTTTGCACCTAGAAATACAAAGTCTGTCACTGTCTCCACCTTTTCTCCCTCTATTTCCCAGTTGTCAATCATTCTTGTTGCCATCATCTTGGTTTTTTTGATGTTTAACTGCAACCCAGCTATTGCCTTTCTTCTTTCACCATGGTTAGAAGGCTCCTCAGCTCCTCCTCGCTTTCAGCCATCAAAGTGGTATCATCTGCATATCTAAGGTTGTTAAAGTTTCTTCCAGCAATTTTAACTCCAGCCTTGGATTCATCAAGCCCTACATGCATGTTGCATGATGCGTTCTGCATACAAGTTGTATAGGTCGGGTGAGGATAGACAGCCTTGCCATACTCCTTTCTCAATCTTGAAACAGTTGGTTGTTCTGTAGTCTGTTCTCACTGTTGCTCTTGGTTGTTATACAGATTCCTCAGGAGACAGACAAGGAGATTTGGTGATAGGTGATAGGCAAAGGTATGAACATGAAAAAAAGATATTGACTGACAAGAAACAAAAACTTGTCTACATTAACAGAAGACTGTCCTACATGGCAAAGTTGCCTTCTCTGAAATGCTGAACATCAAACACCTAATTTAAATTTCCTAAGGCACTCATAACATCATCCTTGCCACATCTGGACCTAAAACTCTTATCTCTAATTCTCCGGGAATGTCTTAATTGCCTGCTTTTCATGCCTTGAGTCCCGAGATCTAATCTACACTTCCCCAAGACCTCAGTACCCTCTGCGTCTTCCCAAGGCCTATTCTTCTGGGAAAATTCCGTTTCACTTTCCTCAGTATGTACAGCATTTGCTGATTCAGGGTCAGGCTAACCTGTCTCAGACTGGTCTGTCTGCAAATCTCCATGAATGCTCTCACACACTTCATTGTGAAACCCATCATCCTCATCAGAATTGTCTGGCCCTTCCCAGGCTACAACAGTGGCTCCTCCATTACCTGGCAAAGACCTTTGTTGTTGTTCATTCGTTCAGTCGTCTCCGACTCTTCGTGACCTCATGGACCAGCCTACGCCAGAGCTCCCTGTCGGCCGTTACCACCCCCAGCTCCCTCAAGGTCAGTCCAGTCACTTCAAGGATGCCATCCATCCATCTTGCCCTTGGTCGGCCCCTCTTCCTTTTGCCTTCCACTTCCCCCAGCATAATTGTCTTCTCTAGGCTTTCTTGTCTCCTCATGATGTGGCCAAAGTACTTCAACTTTGTCTCTAGTATCTTTCCCTCCAGTGAGCAGTCAGGCTTTATTTCCTGGAGGATGGACTGGTTGGATCTTCTCGCAGTCCAAGGCAAAGACCTTTAGGAAAGACTATTCTAACAGGCAAAGGGTTTCTCTGTTTAAATTGTATGTTCCTCAAGGTTTTTGCTCAGTAGTACAATTCCGTTTCCATGCTGACCTTTTGTATATTTCAACTATAGAGCAATCTAACTTGGAAGCCACCTTGACTCCCAGCTTTTAGGGGAAAGCAAGATTGAATAAAGATGATGATAGTGGTGATGATCATAAAAAGTTTTGAGTTACATTCACAGCTCGACTGCTTTCCCCCCTTTCCCGCACCCCAAATACATATACATATATATATAGCTTTGAGTATATGTATATGTATATGTAGGAAAGGGTGGAAAGCAGTCAAGCTGTGAATGTAACTCAAAACATTTTGAAGGAGCTGGGGGTGGTGACAGCCGACAGGGAGCTCTGGCGTGGGCTGGTCCATGAGGTCACGAAGTCGGAGACGACTGAACGAACGAACAACAACATAGCTTTGAGTAATTCAAGTGACGACTGATGGTCATGATATGATAGGGACCATTTGATCACTCTTCTAGATTGCAGGGATTCCTCTAGTAAAGGCATGGGCAAACTTCAGCCCTCCAGGTGTTGTGGACTACAACTCCCACAATTCCTAAAAGCCTGGTAGGCTGTTGGGAAATTATGGGAGTTGTAGTCCACAACACCTGGAGGGCTGAAGTTTGCCCATGCCTGATGTAGTACTTACTGGTTGACCCACGATTAGTCTTTCTCCTGCTATCCTACCTACTGTCCAGTACTGTGCAATATTGCTATACATTTTGTATTGACTACTACTTCTTCCTTTCAGCTGCGACCCACCCTGTGTCCCTTACCTGGGCATGTACCTGACGGACCTGGCCTTCATTGAAGAGGGCACCCCAAATTACACAGAGGATGGTCTGGTCAACTTCTCCAAGATGAGGATGGTGAGCTGTCCTTCTGGTTTGGGAAAGGAGAATTCCTTGGAAGAACCTGGGAGCCCAATGAGGTGCAAAGAATCCCAGGTGGAGGAGAGCATTTGTGGCACTTGCCCTGAGCAAATGCCCTTCCAATGGGGAGAGAGCAGAGGAGCTGCCTCATTTCTAAGGTCTCCATCCTGGGGTTTCAACCTCTCTATGACCCTTTCCACACAGCTGAATAACATCCCAGATTATCTGCTTTGAACTGGAATATATGGCAGTGTGGACTCAGATATCCTAGTTCAAAGCAGATATTGTGAGATTTTCTGCCTTGATATTCTGGGTTATATGGCTGTGTGGAAGGGCCCAATAATAATAATAATAATAATAATAATAATTATTATTATTATTATTATTATTATTATTATTATTATTATTAGAAACACAACAAGATGAGTCCACAGCAGACACTGTTGTATTGGATTACATGTTGGACACTTCCCAAGTGTCTGGGACTGTGTGATGTATCGGCGAATGATGCGTGCAGATCCCAGTAAGGTGTCCTTCTGCAGCTGGCAGATAGTAATTTTGTCAGCGCTGATAGTGTTTAAGTGCAGGCCAAGGTCTTTAGGCACTGCACCCAGTGTGCCGATCACCACTGGTTTACTGGTTGGTGCCAGAGTCTTTGCAGTTTGATTTTTAAATCCTCATATCATGTCAGCTTTTCCAGTTGTTTCTCTGCAATCCATACTTTGTTTTTTAACATGATCGTGAGGTCAGGAGTATTATGCTCCAAAACTCTGTTGTGTTTAAGTGCAGGCCAAGGTCTTTAGGCACTGCACCCAGTGTGCCAATCACCACTGGGACCACCTTTACTCAGTTGTGCCAGAGTCTTTGCAGTTCGATCTTTAAATCCTCATATCGTGTCAGCTTTTCCAGTTGTTTCTCTTCAATCCTGCTGTCACCTGGGACTGCAACATCGACAATCCATACTTTATTTAATCCATTATTATTATTGAATATATTATTATTATTATTATTTAATTTATTATTATTATTATTATTATTATTATTATTATTATTGATAATAATAAAAATAACAATAATGTATTTTAACAGCGGTCCATGCAGTCATGCCGGCCACGTGACCTTGGAGGTGTCTACGGACAACACCGGCTCTTTGGCTTAGAAATGGAGATGAGCACCACACCCCAGACTCAGACATGACTGGACTTAATGTCAGGGGGAAAACTTTACCCATTAACCTATTTTTACCCACCTCTCCTTTTGGCTAGAGGAGGGGCACAACATAGTGAAATACATCTATAAAATCACATATTAAAACATAGTTAAATATTTCCAGAGCTTGGAAAGTTATTTTGTAATTTGTCCCTATTAGTCATTAGAGAGTTGGAAAACAATCTACTTTTTGGCATGCTTTCTAATGCTTTCTGGGAATGCAGGGGGTGGAACCCAGGATTGATGAGATAATGGCTTAATAATTGAGAAATGCCGGTCAAAATGTCTTTGATCAATGCCACTTAGTAGAGCAGTGGTTCTCAACCTTCCTAATGCTGTGACCCCTTAATACAGTCCCTCATGTTGTGGTGACCCCCAACCATAACATAGTTTTCATTACTACTTCATAACTGTAATTTTGCGACTGTTATGAATTGTAATGTAAATATCTGATATGCAGGATGTATTTTCATTCACTGGACACAAATACCCAATACACCCAAATTTGTGGAGTTGGGGGAGGAATTGATTTTGTCATTTGGGAGCTGTAATTGCTGGGATTTATAGTTCACCTACAATCAAAGAGCATTCTGAACTCCACCATTGAGGGAATTGAATCAAACTTAGCACACAGAACTCCCAAGACCAACAGAAAATACTAGAAGGGTTTGGTCAGCATTGACCTTTCATTTGGGAGTTGTAGTTCACCTACATCCAGAGAGCACTGTGGATTCAAACAATAATGGATCTGGACCAAACTTGGCACTAATATTCAACAGGCCAAAATGTGAACACTGTTGGAGTTTTGGGGAAATATACCTTGACATTTGGGAGTTGTAGTTGCTGGGATTTATTGTTCACCTACAATCAAAGAGCATTCTGAACTCCACCAATGAGGGAATTGAATCAAACTTGGCACACAGAACTCCCAAGACTAACAGAAAATACTAGAAGGGTTTGGTGGACATTGACCTTGAGTTTGGGAGTTGTAGTTCACCTACATCCAGAGAGCACTGTGGACTCAAACAATGATGGATCTGGACCAAATTTGGCATGAATATTCAATAGGCCGAAATGTGAACACTGGTGGAATTTGGGGAAAATATACCTTGACATTTGGGAGTTGTAGTTGCTGGGATTTATAGTTCAACTACAATCAAAGAGCATTCTGAATCCCACCAACGATAGAATTTGGCCAAACTTCCCACACAGAACCCCCATGACCAATAGAAAATAATGTATTTTCTGATGGTCTTGGTGACCCCTCTGACATCCCATTGTGGGTCCCGACCCCCAGGTTGAGAAACGCTGTTGTAGAGGAAGGAAACATCTTTCACTATGGCACTAATAGATTCACTTTGGAAATGTGCTTCTGCAACCCCTGCTTCTGCCCTCTAAATAATAGCTAGTTTAGTGTGGCTGCGCTTGTCTCATCCTTTCTTCTCAAGCAGTACATTTGTGAATTTCTCCCCTTTCTCTTGGCACAGATTTCCCACATCATCCGAGAGATCAGGCAGTTTCAGCAGACAGCCTACAAAATCGAGCACCAAGCAAAGGTCAGTGTCTCACAATGTTGGGGTCAAGAAAGAGGTGGCCATAGCCAAAGGTTTCCAAACGCCACCTAGTGACTGTTTTAGGCATTGATGTTAATTTGTTGTGCTGTGTTTCCAGTGATCTCTGCAGAAGAGATTTCATTAAGTGCTATCTCAGATCCTTTCACACTGCCCCTATATCCGAGGATCTGATCCCAGATTATCTGGCAGTGGAGACTCCTATAATCCAGTTCAAAGCAGATAATCTTTGATCAGATTTTTCCAGCCTTGCCAATGCTGATTTGGTATCAGGAAATGTTTTGATTTCCAAAGCTATTTTATATACAGGCCGTCCTCAAGTTACAGACAAGAGAGGTTCTATAGGTTTGTTCTTGAGCTGAATGTGCATGTAAGTTGGAACAAGGGACATCTAACTTCATATATATATATATATATATATATATATATATATATATATACACACACACACACACATACATATACATACACACACACACACATATATATATTGCAATGTTGAGCCTCCTTGTGGCAAGAAAAAGTGGGATATAAATAAATATAATAATCATAATCCTAGAATCATAGAGTTGGAAGAGAGCACATGGGCCATCTAATCCAACTCCCTGTCATGCAGGAAAAGCACCATCAAAGCACCCTGACAGATGGCTATACAGCCTCTTTTTAAAAGGCTCTACTAGACTCCAAGGTAGAGAGTTCCACCAATAATAATAATAATAATAATAATAATAGCTTTGGATAGCCTAGGGATATCCAAAGGGATAACCGCCCTGTGGCTGTACTTCTGTTCAGAAGATTCCACCTGTGATTATTGGATTTTGAAGAATGTGTTGTGGAAACAAGGATTGGGGCTAAAGCTTCAATGGAGACCCCTTTTCCCCATCATAATAACTCTTCCAGAAGTGGGTTTCCCTTTCTATATGTAGATTCCTCTCATTTCCTGTTATCTCACCCCTGTTCTTAACTAGAAGTTGTTTGTAAGTCGAATGTTTGTAACTAGGGATACACACACACACACACACATATATACACGTATATATGTATATATATGTGAGATAGATATAGTATCATAGATTTGGAAGGGACCCCCAAAGGCCATCCAGTCCAGCCCCATTCTTAACTATGAGTTGTTTGTAAGTTGGATGTTTGTAACTCGAGGAGGGCCTGTATAAATATATAAATATATCTATGTATGCGAAATAGATATAGTGTCATAGATTTGGAAGGGACCCCCGAAGGCCATCCAGTCCAGCCCCATTATTAACTAGGAGTTGTTTGTAAGTTGGATGTTTGGAACTCGAGGAGGGCCTGTATCAATATATCTATTTATGTGAGATAGATATGGTGTCATCAATTTGGAAGTGACCCCCAAAGGCCATCCAGCCCAGCCCCATTCTAAAGTGGGAGTTGTTTATAAGTTGGATGTTTGCAACTCGTGGAGGGTCTGTATCAATATATCTATATATGTGAGATAGATATAGTGTCATAGATTTGGAAGGGACCCCCAAAGGCCATCCAATCTAGCCCCATTCTTAACTATGAGTTGTTTGTAAGTTGTATGTTTGTAACTCAAGGAGGGCCTGCATAAATATATAAATATCTCTATATATGTGAGATAGATAGTGTCATAGATTTGGAAGGGACCCCCAAAGGCCATCCAGTCCAGCCCCATTATTAACTAGGAGTTGTTTGTAAGTTGGATGTTTGGAACTCAAGGAGGGCCTGTATCAAGATATCGATATATCTATATATGCGAGATAGATATGGTGTCATCAGTTTCTCATTACTTTATTTTCTAGATCACCAGACTGGGCCACAGCAGCGTTTGGCAGGCGATGGCTAGTATATAAATATATCTATATATGCGAGATATAATGTCATAGATTTGGAAGAGACCCCCAACGGCCAATCAGTAGCCCCATTCTATATATGTGAGATAGATATAAACAGAGAGCTCTGGTGTGGGCTGGTCCATGACATCACGAAGAGTCGGAAGTGACTGAACAACATATATGTAAGATAGATATAGTGTCATTGATTTGGAAGGAACCCCCAAAGGCTATCTAGTCCAGCCCCATTCTTAACTAGGAGTTGTTTGTAGCTCGAGGACTGGCTGTACTTATATATCCCAGGCCACATCAAAATTTATTACGCCAAAATGGGTGGCAACTCAAAAAGACCCTCGGAGATGCCTCTTTCTGTCTTGCTCTCTACCCAAATGGCCTCTCTTTCTCTCCAGGTGACCCAGTACCTCCTGGACCAGTCTTTTGTGATGGACGAGGAAAGCCTCTACGAAGCATCCCTGCAGGTTGAGCCCAAGCTGCCCACCTGAGTCCTCGACGCAGCAGCGCATCTGCGGCCAGACAGCCCTGTGGTGTACACACCTTGTAGCATATTGTACATAATAGCGGCTCTGTTCTGTTTCTTTCGGGGGTGGGAGGGAGTCCTTGGCTGAGTCTCTACTTCATCTGTGCTTCTGTAAGATCTGCCGCCCCATCGGCCCCCCATTTGCGACATCCGCTCCCCAGCCGTTTGTCCTTGGAGACACGTAACACTATGTAACACTATGATTTCCGTTCCTGGGTAATCAAATGTCATTTCCTAATTGGTTCTATCATAAAAACATGGGGAAAGTTTATTCAACTGCACAAACTTTGTTTTTGTGGGTGATACATTCTGCGACCCATCTGGCTATAGTTTCCCAATCAACATCTCCTAGTCCAGGCCTGGGCAAACTTTGGCTTTCCCTCCAGGCCAGTTTGGGCCCTCTGGGTGTTTTGGACTCCAACTCCCATCATTCCTAACAGCCTCAGGCCCCTTCCTTTTCCCCCTCAGCTGCTTAAGCGGCTGAGGGGGAAAAGGAAAGGGCCTGAGCTGTTAGGAATGATAGGAGTTGAAGTCCAAAACACTTGGAGCAAGGGCCAAAGTTTGCCCATGCCTGAACTAGAGTCTCAACCAATTGCAATATCACGGCAGCCACAAAAACAAAGTTTCTGGAGTATAGCAATTCCTTTCAAAGTCAAGACTGCACAGAGAAACAGGAAATAAGACTTTCAAATCAGGAACAGAATTTTGCAAATGTTACATAGTGTTATGGAAGCCGATTCCAGTTCTCTTTGTTGTGAGGAAAACAAGAGAGGAGGGCAAAGAGGGAGAGCAGACCTGGGTCCAGAGGGCCTTTTTCCTCCTCCTTTCGCCCAAAGAGCTTCGTTCCTCCAGGACTCAGCAATGGGAAACTGGAGGGCGCAAAGTCCATTTGCAGAGGCAAGCAAAGAAGCAGACATAACACACAAATCCCCAAATGCAGGCCCCCTTTGCAACAGTCAGGGCTCACTCGGAACTTCCCTTGGATGTTTCTGCAGATTCAAAAGCCACCCATTGGAAGAAACCATGGTCATCCCAATCCTTTGCATGAAAGAGGTCCAAATCTATTACAGAAGGAGACCCCAATGCCAGCTGGAGTTGCATTGAGCCAATCTGCCCCCAACTCAATTGGGGGGACATAATTCCCACCTCTTGCTGAGTGTCCTTCCTCTTCCTTGTAGTTGTCCAAGATCCATAGGGCAATAGGGGAGGTATTGGCTTGAATCCCGTTGGATTGTATCTTTCTATATGGCAGAAGGGATTGGACTGGATGACCTTTGGGGATCCCTTTCAACCCTGCTGGAATACAAACTGTCTGCATGTCTGTTAGAATCTCTCTCTGGGGATTGTTAAGCAGAGGCTAGATGGGCATCTGTCGGGAGGGCTTTGATAGTTTGCATTCTTTATGGCAAAAGGGGTTGGACTGGATAACCTTTGAGGATCCCTGAAATATAAACTGCCATGGAGTCCAGTGGAGTCTCTTTCCCTGGAGGTATCTAAGTAGAGGTTGCATGGCCATCTGTTGGGAGGGCTTGAATTGTGTCTTTATGGCAGATGAGGATTGGACTGGATGACCTTTGGGGATCCCTTTCAATTCTGTTAGAGTATAAACTGCCTGGGAGTCTGGTGGAATCTCTCTCTGGGGTTTTTTAGGCTGAGTCCGGATGGCCATCTGTCGGGAAGGTTCAGATGGTGTCTTTGTGGCAGATGAGGATTGGACTGGATGACTCCCAGGCAGTTTATATTCTAACAGACCTCCCAAAGGTCATAAAGTCCAATCCTTACCTGCCATAAAGACACCATTCAAGCCCTCCCAACAGATGGCCATGCAGCCTCTACTTTTGGGGATCCCTTTCAACACTATGGGAATATAAAACTACCCGAGAGTCCAGTGGAAACTCTTTCTCTGGATTTTAACAGGCTAGATGGCCATCTGCCTAGAGGGCTCAAATGGTGTCTTTATGGCAGAAGGGGTTGGACTGGATGACCTTTGGGGGTCCTTTTCAATTCTGTTAGAATATAAACTGCCTGGGAAGTCTGGTGGAATCTCTCTCTAGAGTTTTTAAGCCACATCTGGATAGCCATCTGTCGGGATGGCTTGGATGGTGTCTTTGTGACAGATGTGGGTTGGACTGGATAACCTTTGGGGATCCCTTTCAAAACTATGGGAGTATAAACTACCTGAGAGTCTGGTGGAGTCTCTTTCTCTGGATTTTTTAGCAGGCTGGATAGCCATCTGTCTAGAGTGCTTAGATGGTGTCTTTATGGCAGAAGGGGTTGGGCTGGATGACCTTTGGGGTTCCCTTTCAACAATATTGGAATATAAACTACCTGAGAGTCTGGTGGAGTCTTTCTCTGGATTTTTAAAAAACAGGCTGGATGACCATCTGTCGAGAGGGCTTAGATGATGTCTTTATGACAGAAGGGGTTGGACTGGATGACTTTTGGGGGTCTCTTCCAACTCTTTGTCCCTTTTTGGCCACTATCCATCCCTGCAGCAGTTGGTCCTAAAAGGGGGTCACAATTTGGGGAAAATCAAGTGATCTTTGGGGGGGGGGGCTAAAGAACTCCCTTGTCTTTTGACTCCTTTCGTTGTGGGGAGGGGGCTTTTGTCCACGCGCTCTTGTCTGTCGCCCCGCTTGTGAGACTTCTTTGTGACCTAGACTTAGAAAGGGATGAGGATGATGAGGATGCCGATGACAACCGCGACCAAGTGTTCCTCTTACATCGACTGTAATCCCGGCTCACCACTTTGCTGCTGGCCGGAGTATAGTGATGCAGTGCTTCTTCTGTGAATATTATTATTATTATTATTTTCCCATATTTTTAAAACACTGTACAGTATAGAAGCCCCGGTGACTCTCTGCGTGGCAGGCATGCTCCACACGGCCATGGAAATCCAGAAACCCCTCTTTATTTTTCGCTGTAAGCAATACTCATCGGTACCAGAAGAAACAGAAAAATATATATTTCAACTTACAGCTTGTTTGGGGGAAGAGAGAAAAATAGGGTTTGGGGTGGGAAGGGGAGGGAAAGACGAGGAGAATTTCCATTTTTGTACAAATATATGTTTCCTGATTACCTCTTGCTAATAAATCTATTCTATCTCAGGGTAACGAGGCCTTGGCAAATGTGTATCAATAATAAATCAGATCAATAAATAAGTCCAGACACCGACCGGGATGGTTCACATAAACACTTCAATATGGTTTTTTAAGTTCCTATTTAATTCCGCTTTAATGTCCATATATATGTGTGTGTGTGTGTGTTCTCAAATAATATCCTGTGTCCAGGTTGGTTCATCAAGTGCTCTACTATGGCTGACTTCTCTGATTGAATTAGTCTGCAATGCCTTTGAGGGACCCTCTCAGCTCTATAGGAGTCTACCGTATACCATGCAGCTGTGGACAACCCTATATAGCAGTGGTTCTCAACCTTGCTAATGCCGTGACCCCTTAATGCAGTTCCCTATGTTGTGGTGACCCCAACCATACTATTGTTTTCGTTGCTACTTGATACTTGTCATTTTACTACTGTCATAAATCATAATGTAAATATCCAATATGCAGGATGGATTTTCATTCACTGGACTAAATTGAGCACAAATACCCAATATGCCCAAATGTGAATGCTAGTGGGGTTGGGGGAGAGGATTGATTTTGTAATTTGGGAGTTGTAGTTGCTGGGATTTATAGTTCACCTATAATCAAAGTGCATTCTGAACTCCACCAGCAATGGATTTAAACCGAACTTGGCACACAGGACTCCCATGACCAACAGAAAACACTGGAAGGGTTTCGTGGGCATTGACCTTGAGTTTGGGAGTTGTAGTTCACCTATATCCAGGGGAGTGCTGTGATCCAATGATGGATCTGGACCAAACTTGGCACGAATACTCAATATGCCCAAATGTGAACTCCAGTGGAGTCGGGAAAATAGACCTTGACATTTGGGAGTTGTAATTATTGGGATTTATAGTTCACCTACAATCAAAGAGCATTCTGTACTCAACCAACAATAGAATTGGGTCAAACTTCCCACACAGAATCCCAATGACCAACAGAAAATACTATGTTTTCTGATGGTCTTTGGCGACCTCTTTGACACCCCCTCACGACCCCCTCAGGGGGTCCCGTCCCCCAGGTTGAGAAACACTGCTATATAGGGACCCCCAAATGCAGCATTGCCTAGACATGAATCAAGGAACATGAAAAGTACTGCAGACTAATTCAACCAGAGAAGTCAACAATAGAAGAGCACCTGATGAATCAACCTGGACACAGCATATTATTTGAGAACACAGAAATGCTGGACCACTCACACCACTATAGACTACACAGAGAAGCATGTGGACAATTTCAACAGAAAGAAGGAAACCATGAAAATGAACAAAATCTGGCTACCAGTATTAAAAAAAACACTCTAGAATCAGGAAAATAAGTAAAAGGGAAACACTCAGAAAATAAAGGAATTCTAGACAGGAAACAATCTGTGCTAGCTAACACCTCCCAATAAAGGATCCCCCCAGGTAGGAAGCATCCAAGCTTTGAAGCTGTATGGCCATTCAATTATAATCAAAGTGGCCAATTGCAACACTCACACTTGCCTCAAGCAAACAGGAGGAGTACTTTCTCCCACTCTGGACATTCCACAGATATATAAACGTCACTTGCCTAGTTTCCAACAGACCTCACAACCGATGCCTGGCACAGGGTATTTAGTATTTAATTATTACAGTAGTAGGAGCCCCTGGTGGCACAATGGGTTAAACCCTTGTGCCGGCAGGACTGCTAACAGACAGGTCGGAGGTTTGAATCCAGGTAGTGGGTGAGCTCCCGTTTGTCAGTTCTAGCTTCCCATGTCGGGACATGAGAGAAGCCTCCCACAGGATGATAAAACATCAAATCATCCGGGCATCCCCTGGGCAACGTCCTTGCAGACGGCCAATTCTCTCACACCAGAAGCGACTTGCAGTTTCTCAAGTCGCTCCTGACACGACAAAAAAAAAACAAAACAAGGGGGCTCCAGGAAACTGATGAGGGCCATGGATCAAGAGGTGAGGGGAAATCATTGGGAGGAGGGAGCAAGCTTGTTTTCTCCTACCCTGGAGACTAAGACGTGAAATGATGGCTTCAAATTACAGGAAAGAAAGGAGATTAGCACCACACCCCAGAGTCAGACATGACTGGACTTAATGTCAGGGGACAACCTTTACCTTACAACATACTATATCAGGGGTCCACAATGTGCTGTCGCACGCTGGGCCTGTGCATAAGACTGTAGACAGGACATAAATTCTGTGTGCCCAACGGGACGCCGGGGCTGCCTCAGATTAAAGGCTCTTGGACCTCCCCAAAACAAAGTCTTTAGATTGCTTAAAGGTTCAACAAAGTTCTTTATTAATGAAGACAAACAGGTACTTTAAGGCTTTCTTAATAGTCTATTGGCTCTCTCTCAATCTTGTTCACTGGGAACAGGCACTTTCTTCATGACTGGTATTTTAACTAATGGGGAAATCCTTAACTTCTAATCTGGGCAGTCTTTCTTTGCCTCTGATGGCGTGGAGCCCCTACACCCGGTACCAACTGCGTCTGGCTTCTGCGAGTGACCCTTACCAAGCAGAGCTTTGTAGACTTCCAGGGAAAAAGGAGTTCAGGTCTCGGTGATGGCTGGCTGAAGTCCCTCAGCAAAGGACTGTATGATCCTCGGCCAAGCTGTGGGGCTGTATCTCTCCGGCCAAGCCATAGAAGACGAAGCTTTCTACAGGAGCTCTTGGTATTATGTCCTGCATGGAAGCTTCTCTGTGTGGACTGAACTCAAAATTCCCTCCAAAAACCCAAAGGGGGCGGGACCAGGAAACCTAACTATAATTGACAGGTGGCTTGCCCTATGATTGAGGCCAAAAGAAGCCACCCATCTGCAAAGTCCCTGAAACTCAGGACTACAACAAATATTCAGTGCAAAGCAAACAAAATTGGAGCTTTTGGTACAGTTGTACCTGCACACACAAACTTTTAAAACAGAGGGCCAGGTCAAAGCCCCTCAAACTGTTGGAGGGCCAAATTATACTTTGAAAAAAAAGAATGAATTTCTATGCACACTGCAGATAATTTATTTGAAGTGCAAGAAACACTTAAAAACAATACAATAATTAAAATGAAGAACAAATTTAATAAATATAAACTTATTAGTATTTCGATGGGAAGTGTGGGCCTGCTTTTGGCCGATAGGATTGTTGTTGTGAGCTTTCAAGTCGTTTCAGACTTAGGTCAACCCTGAGTGAGGGCCAGGAAAATGACCTTGGAGTGACATATCCGGCCCCCGGGCCTTAGTTTGAGGACCCCTGTACTATATTATAAACATACATACACATAGAGGATGGGGAAAGGGCAAAGGAACATACAAGGAATTCATAGGAAGAGAGGGGGAATCATGCAGGATCTAAGAGAAAGCCATGTCAGCCCCCCAAAGTCCATAAATGTTCATAAAGTTTGGCAAGAATTTATAAAAGTTCTTATAAAGTTCAAGGAAAGTCCATAAGAGTTGGGCCATGGAAAAAGCTTTAGGTTCTCACATGAGGGAGAGATAGGGGATTATGGGATCATTCCAGCCTGGTGTCCTTGGCAAAACTATGAATTCCCTGATTTTGGACCATCTTTTACAGAGTCCTTGGGGGGGGGGGGTTATTTTCGATCTCAGACCCAAGGACTGAAAACTGGCGAGGAAGCAGCGAGAGAAGCCTCTCCCAAAGGGAGATGCAAGGAGATGGGACGGCCTCTGGGCATGGGCAGAGGACTCCTCCTCTTTCCGCGGGGCGAGGCTTGCAGGCAGGGAGGGAAGGGCCTCCCTCTCCTCCTCCTTTTCTTCCTCCTCCTCCTCCTCCTCCTGGTTTTGAGTCTCCAGCAGCGATGCACCTTCCTGGCTTCTCCTTTGGGCTCCTTCTTTTCCTCCTCTCAACCTTGGGCTTCTCTTTGGCCCGACTCCATGGCGACGGCGACGGTGGCCCCTCAGGTAAGACCCCTCTTTGAGACCCCTTGAAGCCCATAATGGTGAAGGAAGTCAAGGTCGGCTTTCTCCTCTCCCTTCTATCTATCAGCTATGCCCAGGTGTTTGGGACTCCACCCTCCCTGGAGCCATCCTTCTGGGATCCAAAGTCAGCAAACCCCTGGAGAGCTGAGTTTGCAAAACACTGAATTCTAATAACACTATGTAACCTGATTTGAAGCAATGTTCTGTTCCTGCTTTGGAAGTGTTCTTTCCTGTTTCATTGTGCGTCCAGACAATGTCGTTGTTCTACTCCAGAAACTTGGTTTTTGTGGCTGCCACAACATATGTTGAGACTCTATCACTGGAAAACTAGACCAAAATATGCCCTATCAGGATGTCCCTCCCTCAAAGACGAAGTTTTGGCAGTTTAATAAACTTTTCCCATGTTTTAATGATGAAACCAATTAGGAAATGACATTTCTAACCCAGGAACAAAAATCATCATGTTACACAGTTTATTTTTATTTTATTTATCGTGTCAAGCAACCGAACAGTTGTATTACATTTTTGACAGACAAACAAACAAACATACAAAAGACACAAGAGTTTGCAAGCTTGGTAGTTGATTAAATGTCCTTTGACCAGTATCTGGCCACTTGGAGTGCTTCTGGTGTTGCCGCAAGAAGGTCCTCCATTGTGCATGTAGCAGGGCTCAGGTTGCATTGCAGCAGGTGGTCTGTAGTTTGTTCTTCTTCACACTCGCATGTTGTGGATTTCAATTTGTGGCCCCATTTCTGAAGGTTGGCTCTGCATCTCGTGGTGCCAGAGCACAGTCTGTTCAGCACCTTCCAAGTCGTCCAGTTTTCTGTGTGCCCGGGGGGAGTCTCTCATTGGGTATCAGCCATTGATTGAGGTTCTGGGTTTGAGCCTGCCACTTTTGGACTCTCGCTTGCTGAGGTGTTCCAGCGAGTGTCTCTGTAGATCTTAGAAAACTATTTCTTGATTTAAGTCGTTGACGTGCTGGCTGATACCCGAACAGGGGATGAGCTGGAGATGTCTCTGCCTTGGTCCTTTCACTATTGGCTGCTACTTCCCGGCGGATGTCAGGTGGTGCAATACCGGCTAAGCAGTGTAATTTCTCCAGTGGTGTAGGGCGCAGACACCCCGTGATAATGCGGCAGGTCTCATTAAGAGCCACATCCACTGTTTTAGTGTGGTGAGATGTGTTCCACACTGGGCATGCATACTCAGCAGCAGAGTAGCATAGCGCAAGGGCAGATGTCTTCACTGTATCTGGTTGTGATCCCCAGGTTGTGCCAGTCAGCTTTCGTATGATATTGTTTCTAGCACCCACTTTTTGCTTGATATTCAGGCAGTGCTTCTTGTAGGTCAGAGCACGGTCCAGAGTGACTCCCAGGTATTTGGGTGCGCTGCAATGCTCCAGTGGGATTCCTTCCCAGGTAATCCTCAGAGCTTGGGATGCTTGTCTGTTCTTGAGATGAAAGGCACATGTCTGTGTTTTAGATGGATTAGGGATCAGCTGGTTTTCCCTGTAGTAGGCAGTAAGAGCACCTAGAGCTTTGGAAAGCTTCTGTTCTACCATCTCAAAGCTCCCTGCTTGAGCAGTAATGGCACGATCATCAGCATAGATGAAACTCTCTGTCCCTTCTGGCAGTGGCTGGTCATTTGTGTAGATGTTGAACATGGATGGAGCAAGCACGCTCCCCTGAGGCAGGCCGTTCTTCTGTTTCCGCCATCTGCTTCTCTGGCCCTGGAACTCAACAAAAAAGCTCCTGTTTTGTAGCAGGTTTCCTATGAGGCGGGTGAGGTGGTAGTCCTTTGTGATATTATACATTTTTCTCAGGAGGAGGCGGTGGTTCACAGTATCATAGGCTGCTGACAGGTCTATGAAGACAGCTCCTGTGATCTGCTGCCTTTCAAAGCCATCTTCTATGTGCTGAGTCAGGTTCAGCACTTGCAGCTTTTGCCTTTCCTGAAGCCAACTTGCTGTGGGATCAGACATGGGTTCATTTTTTCCGTAATTCTATGCAAAATAAGTCTCTCATGTTACACAGTTAATCATACTAAATAATAATAATAATAAGTCACAATAATAATAATAAACTAGTAATCATACTCAATAACAGCACTCCATGAAGTCATGCCGGCCACATGACCTTGGAGATGTCTATGGACAGCGGCGGCTCTTCGGCCTAGAAATGGAGATGAGCACCACCCCCCAGAGTCAGACACGACTAGGTTTAATGTCAAAGGGAAATCTTTGCCTTTACTTTGCTATAACCCAGGAACAGACATCATGTTACATAAAATGCTTTCCCTTCTGTCTGCTTTCCTTCTTCTCCTTTGCAGGTGAACTGCTCTTCAAGATCTGGATGGCTCAGGTGAGACCCCCATTTTCCTCCCAGAAAAGCCTGGCTCCCATCCCAAGCCTTTAATGGGGACATTAAGGTCCCCTAGATCAAAAAAAGACCTCCCCCATCTCATTTAAGTCAGACCCAAACAGCCAGGGTCTCCTTTTGCAGCTGTGCTGTCCTTCTCCGGAAACAGCTGTGGAACTGAAAGCGAAAGAAGAAGGACAAAGAAAGTGGGGGATTTCCTGGTCTCTTTTTATAGCTTTGGGTTCTGCATCCCCATCTACTCCCTTCTCTTTTTTGCAGAACAACAAGCACTACAGTCTGGGAGGGGAATACCAAGAGCGGCTGCAGATTTTCCTCCGAAACAAGCATCGGATTGACAAGCACAATGCTGGAAACCACACTTTCCAGAGTAAGGATCCTAATGAAAACAAAGAAAGACTCCAGAGCAAGCATGGGAACTTGGGTGTTTTGGACTCCAACTCCCCATTCCTAACAGCCTCAGGCCCTTTCCTTTTCCCCCTCAGCCGCTAAGGGCTGAGGGGGGAAAGGAAGGGCCTGAGGCTGTTAGGAATGGTGGGAGTTGGAGTCCAAAACACCCAAGTTGGCCCATGCTTGGCCAAAAGCATCCCAGACACATATCCCTTTCTCCTAGGAGCATAAATCGATGGAAAGGGTTCACCTGGAAGAGGCTGCTAAGTTCCCATCATTATCATTCTGCCCCTTTTTGTGTCCCCCCCCCCACTTTTTTGCATGAAGATAAATCCCAGCCATCCTTGAAGTGACTGGACTGACCTTGAAGGAGCTGGGTGTGGTGACGGCCGACAGGGAGCTCTGGCGTGGGCTGGTCCATGAGGTCACGAAGAGTCGGAGACGACTGAACGAATGAACAACAAAATAACAGGCCTCTTTCCCTTTCAGTGGGACTGAACCAGTTTTCAGACATGACCTTTGCTGAGTTCAGGAAGAAGTTCCTCTGGCAGGAACCCCAGGTAAAGTGCCTTTGTGTGAAAAATCCCAAAGCCAAGTGTAATAATAATAATAATAATAATAATAATAATAATAATAATAATAATAATAATTTATTTATACCCTGCCACCATCTCCCCAAGGGGACTCGGGGCGGCTTACATGAGGCCAAGCTCGACAGTACAGCAAATATACAACATAAAATGAAGGGTACCCCTTTAGTTAGGCACCCCAAGGCTGGTGACAGAAAGCAAGCAGTCTCCGTAGGTGAAGCAAAATCTCTTTATTCAAGTGTGGCCACACAGGGAGAAACAGCCAAGACAGACCAGTATCTTCAAAGAAGGCTGTCTCTCCCATTTGGATCTTTCAGTCACCTTATATACATGTCTTTTCGCTGTGTCATGGGTACACACCTCTCTTATCGGATCAACCATTCAAAAACATGTTTTTCTCATATTTTGTCACTTCAGTGTCTCTAACTGATAACCTTCTACAAATTACGTAAACACACACATTATTGTTACAGATAAGCATTTTGGGTGTTAACCCACCTTGGGTACTCCCTGGGCGTACTTGACAATAGAGCATCTTGTGTCTTCTAGTTATATTATCTCCTCTTGGCCTTCGGCTTCTGTAGGCCGGAGGAGAGGGACAAGCCTCTCTTTAGGTTTGCATTTCAGCATTTAAACACTTCTAAGTTCTGTTAACCCTTTCAAAAATACAAAGAGTAAAATATAATTAAAATGAAAATAAATACAAAAACAATATAAATGAACACACCAGACAATATAAAATATCAGTAATTGGGCAGGTCGAATTGTAAGGATTAAAAGTTTAAAACATTGGGTCAAGCGCACTGTGTTTCTTCCTTATTTATTATTAAATTTATTTATTATTATTATTATTATTATTATTATTAAATTTATTATTATTTATTATTATTAAATTTATTATTATTTATTATTATTATTTTAAAAAAATTCAAAATGCATAAGGTTGTGGGTAAACTACAACTCACATCATGCTAGGTTAACCTCAAAGCTAATATATCTATATTTTTTGGCTGGAGTTCCACTCTAAAAAGTCTGTGTTCCGACTTACATACAAATTCAACGTAAGAACAATTCTACAGGCCCCTATATCCCAGGATCTGATGCCAGATTATCTGCTTATTCCAGATTATCTTGCAGTGTAGGCTCATATATTCCAGTCGAAAGTAGATAAACTGGGATCATCTCCTGGAATATAGGGCAGTGTGGCAGGGCCCACAGAACCGATCTTGTTTGTCACTTGGGGACTATATGAACTATTCACATGAAAGGACCAGGAGTCCCCAGTGGCACAATGGGTTAAACCTTTGTGCTGGCAGGACTGCTGACCAAAAGGTCGACAGTTTGAATCCAGGGAGCAGGGTGAGCTCCCATCTGTCAGCTCCAGCTTCCCATGCAGGGACATGAGAAAACCCTCCCTCAGGATAGTAAAATATCTGGGTGTCCCCTGGGCAACGTCCTTGCAGACAGACAGTCCTCTCACACCAGAAGGAACTTGCAGTTTCTAAAGTTGCTCTTGACATGAAAAAAAAAACATGAAAAAACCATTTGATGACTGAACCATGAGCATGTTTACAAGTAGATTACACCATGTAACACAATTTTTTGTTTCTGGGTTATAAATGTCAGTTCCTAATTGGTTATATCCTAAAAATATAGGATGTTGATTAAACTTCAAAAACTGTGTCTTTGAAGCAGCACATTTTGCATAAATACATAAATAATAATAATTATTATTATTATTATTTATGTATTTATTTGACTAGTCATATGACCATTTCAAAATACATGAATAAAATACTAGGCAAAAAGAAGAGGACAGCAGCTGACCTTCTGTTTACAGTCAGAATCTTATTTTCCTGGTTCTTCTTTCAGGAAATGTGTTCTTTTCTGACATTTTGCAATAGTTTTTCAATGATTATCTATCTCATCATAAAGTCCTGACCAATTCAAGCCACAAAAACAAAGTTTTTGGAGTATGAATAACTTTCACAGTAAGGATTGCTCAACGAAACAGGAAACAGCACTTACAATCCAGGAACAGAACAATTTTTTTTCCACTTTGGTTACATAGTGTTATTCCTCTGCGAGGGGCTGGGAAGTGGAAGGGGTCCCTGGGAGGCCTTTCTGGCCAGTTGGGCCTGTGACAAAGGTCAGGTTTAGGGGCAGAAAAGGACATCTTTCTGGTTGCTTTCAGAACTGCTCCGCCACCAAAGGGAACTTCGTCCATCGCAACGGCCCCTATCCAAGTGCTATCGACTGGAGGAAGAAGGGGAAGTTTGTAACTCCCGTGAAGAACCAGGTAGGGGACACCTCCCAATGTTGGACCCCCTGGGAAAATACCTTTTTTGGGGGAACGGGGACCCTGCTTTTCCTGGAGACCTTGGCAAAGCCAACCAGCCCTGTTCCTCACCTGCTTTCTTCCCAACTCCAAAGGGCCCCTGCGGCAGCTGCTGGACCTTCTCCACCACTGGATGCCTGGAGTCGGCCATCGCCATTGCCTCCGGGAAGCTCCTAGAGCTGGTAAGGATCCCCGCTCAGATATATTTACTATTTGCCAGAGAATAGTAATAATAATAATACACTTTGTTTATATTTCACCCTTCTCCTCTAGAGGACACAGAGCGGATTACGGCATTTACATAAGGAGGCAAACATTTATTGCCTTTACAATCACATACAATAAGATACACAAACACAAACAAAGGTAGAGGCTTCTCCTTTCATTTCCGGCTTCTGGAGGTGGTGCTCATCTCTGGCTCTAGAGAGGTGCTTTCTCCATTTTCAAGCTGAGAAGCCTGCGTTATCACCTCCTAATTGTGTGGCTGGCATGATTGCTTGGAGCGTCTCTTGCCTTTTCCTGCCAAAGCAGTATCTATTTATCTACTCACATTTGCATGTTTTCGAACTGCTAGATTGGCAGGAACTGGAGCTAACAGATGGGAGCTCACCCCATCTCACAGATTCGAACTGCCAACCTTCAGGTCAGCAGTTCAGCCAACCTTCAGGTCAGCAAATCAGCAGCATAAGGATTTAACCTATTGCATCACCGTGGATATTTACTCGAATCTAATGCTTGTTTATTTTTTATTTTTTGCTAAATTACTTCGCCAAAATTAAGGTGTGCATCAGATTCATGGCACATGGTTATCTTAGTGCTGAGCCAAAGCAAAATGGGAAGCTGCTCCAGGAGCTCGTCTTTGAGGGACCTAATCTCTCATTTAATTGCATTGTCAGTCCCAGCTTCTGCCAACCTAGCAGTTTGAAAACATGCAAATGTGAGTAGCTCAATAGGGGAAGGTAAGGGCACTCCATGCAGTCATGCCGGCCACATGACCTTGGAGGTGTCTATGGACAACGCTGGCTCTTCGGCTTAGAAATGGAGATGAGCACCACACCCCAGAGTCGGACACAACTGGACTTAATGTCACTATGTAACCAAATCTGAAAATATTTTCTGTTCCTGGGTTGAAACATTATTTCCTGTTTAATTCTGCAGAACTTACTTTGAAAGTAATTGTTCTATTCCAGAAATTTATTTGAGTACTGTCTTCTATCTTATCCACTCTTCTCTGTCTTCTTTCCTTATCAGCCGGAAAGCTTCATGGGGCAAAATCCAGAGTGGAGTCTTATGTCCAAAGTTCAATTTATGCTTTAACTAAATTCTCAAAAGTGCTTTTCTCATAAATATTCTTTGTAAAGCTCTTGTCTATTTTGGATTTACTCTTATTAGAAGGTGTAAAATTAATACTGTTAAGAGGGTGGCTTTATCTGCCAATAGTTATGTTATAATGTGTACATTTTGGAAAAATAAATAAATAATTAAATAAATACAAAGCCAGGAGAATTTAAGCAGAATTGCAAGGCCTTTGGATTTGCAAGAAATGCAAAGCATGGCAATACAAAGGGAAGAAAAAGTTCCGAGGACCCCCATTTTTTCCTCTTTTGCAGGCCGAGCAGCAGCTGGTGGACTGCGCTCAAGCCTTCAACAACCACGGATGCAGCGGGTAAGAATCCTCAAAGCCTAAGAGTAGTAAGGGGCACACAAAGGCCATCTAGTCCAGCCCCATTCGGTCATTAAGACACCGTCCAATCCCTAGCGACAGATGGCCATCCAGCTTCTGCTTAAAAACCTCCAGAGGAGACTCCACTAGGTGTCAAGGTAATCTAGTGTTTGAAGGGATCCTTAAAGGTCATCCAGTCCAACCCCATTCCATTATAAAGACAGCATACACTGGACCTGCTACAGACCTCTGTCACTGATTCTGGGAGGTGCATTTCTCTGTTGTGTTGATGCTGATGTTGTGCTTTCTCCGCTCGCTGCTTCGCAGGGGCCTCCCCAGCCAGGCCTTTGAATATATTCTCTACAACCAGGGGCTCATGGATGAGGACTCCTACCCTTACCATGCACAGGTACAGGGCCTGCCTATGGGGCAAATGGGGCATGGAAGGGGCTATAAGAGCTGTCACACTCAAGGCCTGTGAGTGTGACAGCCCTCCTCTAAGAGGCCCACCTTCTCTTTTGTTTTGCACAGAATGGCACTTGCAAGTTCCAGAGAGAGAAGGCTGTTGCCTTTGTCAAAGATGTGGTCAACATCACGCTGGTAAGACCCTCTTCCTCCTCTTCCTCCTCCTTGTAGTTCTTCCAGGCTTTTAACTCAGACTTGCTTAATGGGAGTTCACCTTGCCTGCCTGCCTGCTATAAAAGCCCATGACCCCTAGAGGGCGCTCCAAGCCCATAATTAATGCTTCTCTCCCTGGGATTTTCACAAGAGACATCTAGTGACTCTCTCACCCATCTCCCCTTCCAAAGGAGCTATTTCCTCTGGGTATTACACTGGGGGTCCTTCTACACTGCCATATAATTCAGATTGTCAAAGTGGATCAACACAGTTTGTTACATTGTGTAATTGAATTCATTCATAGGACCTAGAATCATAGAGTTGGAAGAGACCTCATGGGCCATCCAGTCCAACCCCATTCTGCCAAGAAGCAGGAAAATTGCACTCAAAGCACCCTTGACAGATGGCCATCCAGCCTCTGTTTAAATGCATCCAAAGAAGGAGTCTCTACCACACTCTGGGGCAGAGAGTTCCACTGCTGAATGGCTCACAGTCAGAAAGTTCTTTCTAATGTTCAGATGAAATCTCCTTTTTTGTAGTTTGAAGCCATTGTTCCATTGCGTCCTAGTCTCCAGGGCAGCAGAAAACAAGTTCACTCCCTCCTCCCTATGACTTCCTCTCACGTATTTATACATGGTTATCATGTCTCCTCTCAGCCTTCTCTTCTTCAGGCTAAACATGCCCAGCTCCTTAAGCCGCTCCTCATAGGGCTTGTTCTCCAGACCCTTGATCATTTTAGTCGCCCTCCTCTGGACACATTCCAGCTTGTCAATATCTCTCTTGAATTGTGGTGCCCAGAATTGGACACAATATTCCAGGTGTGGTCTAACCAATGCAGAATAGAGGGTCAGCATGACTTCCCTGGATCTAGACACTATAATCCTCTTGATGCAGGCCAAAATCCCATTGGCTTTTTTTGCCACCGCATCACATTGTTGGCTCATGTTTAACTTGTTGTCCACAAGGACTCCAAGATCTTTTTTACACTTACTGCTCTCAAGCCACACGTCCTTTGCATGTCTCTCTTTCCAGTATGATGAGCAAGGCATGGAGGAAGCCGTGGGGAGGTACAACCCGGTGAGCTTTGCCTTCGAGGTGACAGAGGACTTCATGCACTACCAGAAGGGTGTTTACTCCAAGTAAGTGCATACTTGGAGTTCGGAAGGACAGAAAAGACACTCCCATGACTCCTATGAGAGGGACACAGACAAGCATATACTAGTGAACTGGGGTCCCAGCACAATGGGTCTGCTGGCCCTCTGCAAGGCTCATCTGCATTTGTTCCACTGGGAATGGTAACCTAATGACTCAAAATTTCCTTTTTCTGGCTGCCACAAGTTAAGATAGATTGGTTGAGACTTTATGACGAGATATTCATGGAGAAACTATAGCGAAATTTTCTATGGCAGGATGTCCCTCCTGCAGAAATGAAGTTTTTGGAGTTTAATAAATTTTTCCCATGTTTTATGATAGAACCAATTAGGAAATGACATTTATAACCCAGGAACAAACATTGTGTTACATTGTATTATTATTAATATTATATATGAAATTATTATTATAATATATTATATTATTATTTGTATACTTATTTTATTATATTTTATATTATTTTAAATATTTATTATATGTAATTATATTATATTTTATATTATGACTTTAGATACTTATTATATGTAATTATGTTTACATTTTGTATTTATAATTTATATGTAATTATATTATTAATATTATATATAATATTATTATTATTATTACTTATATATTATTATATTTTCACTATTATATTTTATATTATTATTTTAAATACTTATTTTATATGTAATTATTTATTTATTATTTATTATGGACATTTATACCCTGTCCTATCTTGACCTCCGCAGAGGGACTCAGAGCGGCTAACAAACTGGCACCCCATGGTGCCCACATCAAAACAATTTGAATAACAATATAGCAAAAACAGTATAAAACAGTATAAAATCAGTCAAACAGTCAATAGTCGCAGGTTTAAGTCATCATCCAATGAGCAGTCAATCATTTCCATAAATTATATTATCAATATTACATTTTATGTTATTTTAAGTACTTATTTGTATATGTAATTATATTATTAATATAGTATATTATTTTAGATACTTATTATATGTCATTATATTATTAATATATATATATATTATTACAGATACTTATACATAATTATATTATTAATATTACATTTTATCATTCTTTATATACTTATTTTTGAATGCAATTATATTAATATTAATATTATATTATTATATATATTTAGATATAATTATATAATTACATTTTATATTATTATACATGTAATTATATAATTACGTTATATATGCTTATTATATTATTATAATATAATTATAATGAGCTGGTCCATGTGGTCACGAAGAGTCAGAAACAACTGAAGAAATAAACAACAAAATTATTATAATTATTATACGTTATACTACTGTTTTATATACTTATTTTTATATGTAATTTTATTATTAATTTTATTATATTATTGTTGTTATTTTATATACATATTATGTTTATACATCATTATATTATTATTATTATTATTATTATTATTATTATTATTATATTTATAATCCAGGAACAAAAATCATGTTGCATAATAGTGCTATCCTTGACCCTGCTTAGCCATACTGACTGGTTTAGATTTCATTTGCTGACCCTTTTCATGCTCTGCTATCCAAACTCCTTGTGGTTTCCCTTCTGCAGCCACCAGTGCGATCAATCTCCAGAGAAAGTGAACCACGCAGTGCTGGCCGTGGGATACGGGGAGGAGGAGGGAAGCAGCCTTCCTTACTGGATTGTCAAAAACTCCTGGGGGCCCTTATGGGGCATGGATGGGTAAGGCACCTGCACATCCCATTGGTGGAGCCTTGTGGCATCGCCTTCTCTGGAGCATCCCAAGGAGGGTGGCCATCTGTCAGGTGGGATTCCTTCCTGGCTGCCTGGCTGAATGGGGTTGGACTGGATGACCCTCTAAGTTTCAATCATCATTTTGGGTAATAATAATGCTGACGTTGGAGTCTCCTTCTCTAGAGGTTTCTAAGCCAAGGCTGGATGGCCATCTGTTGGGAGGGCTTGGATGGTGTCTTAATGGCATCAGCATCAACACAACAGAGAAATGTACCTTCAAGAAGCAAGAGTAGAGGTCTGTAGGGAGTCCAGTGGATGGTGTCTTTATAACGGAATGGGGTTGGACTGGATGATCTTTGGGGGTCCCTTCCAACTCTTAAGATTCAATCATCTTTGATGATAATAATAATAATAATAATAATAATAATAATAATAATAATAATAATGCTGATCTTGGAGCCTGCTTCTCTGGAGGTTTCTAGGCTGAGGCTGGGTGGCCATGTGTCGGGAAGGCTTGGATGGTGTCTTAATGACAGAATGGGATTGGACTGGATGATTTTTGGGGGTCCCTTCAAACTCAGATGGGATATATATTGCTTTGACATCTAGTGGAGTCTGCTCTGGAGGTTTTTAAGCCATGGCCAGGTGGCCATCTGTCGGAAGGACTTGGATGGTGTCTTAATGACAATAGGATTGGACTGGATGACCTTTGGGGGTCCCTTCAAACTCAGATGGGATATATATTGCCTTGGCACTCAGTGGAATCTCCTCTGGAGGTTTTTAAGCCAAGGCTGGGTGGCCATCTGTTGGGAGGATTTGGATGGTGTCTTAATGACAGAATGGGGTTGGACTGGATGACCTTTGGGAGTCCCTTCCAACTTAGATGGGATATATATTGCTTTGACATCCAGTGGAGTCTCCTCTGGAGGCTTTTGAGCCAAGGACGGGTGGCCATCTTTGGATAGGGCTTGGATGGTGTCTTTGTGACAGAATGGGGTTGAACCGGATGGTCTTTTGGGGTCCCTTCCATATGTACGAGTATGTATCTATCAATCTGTTATCCATCATCATCATCATCATCATCATCATCATATAATCCTACCGCTGGAGGGGGGGGGAGCTCTATCTATCTCAGATGGGATATATATTGCTTTGACATCTCCTCTGGAGGTTTCTAAGCTGAGGTGGGATGGCCATCTGTAGGGAGGGCTTGGATGGTTTCTTTATGATGGAATGGGGTTGGACTGGATGGCCTTTAGGGGTCCCTTCCAAATCTAAGATTCAATTATCCTCATCTTTAATAATAATAATGCTAACGTTGGAGCCTGGAGGTTTCTAAGCTGAGGCGGGATGGCCATCTGTCGGGAAGACTTGGATGGTGTCTTTATGACGGAATGGCGTTGGACTGGATGGCCTTTAGGGGACCCTTCCAACTCTAAAATTCAGTCATTATCATCATCTTTGATCTTTGATTATGATAATAAAGCTGACGTTGGAGCCTGCTTCTCTGGAGGTTTCTAACCTGAGGTAGGATAGCCATCTGTTGGGGGGGCTTGGATGGTGTCGTTATGATAGATTGGGGTTGGACTGGATGGCCTTTAGGGGTCCCTTCCAACTCTAAGATTCAGTCATCATAATCTTTGGTAATAATAATAATAAGGCTGACGTTGGAGCCTCATTTTCTGGAGGTTTCTAATCTGATGCAGGATAGCCATCTGTCGGGAGGGCTTGGATGTTGTCTCAATGACGGAATGGGGTTGGGTTGGAAGGCCTTCAAGGGTCTCTTCCAACTTTAAGATACCATGATGTGGGAGGGCCTTTCTAGGAGGATACTTTAATGCCAGACCATACCTTTCTTCCTTTTTTTTCAGGTACTTCTACATCGAACGAGGGAAGAATGCCTGTGGCCTGGCAGACTGTGCCTCCTACCCGGTGCCTCTTGTTTGAACCCAGATTTCAGAGGGCAAAGAGTCTATGAAGCTGGACCTGAATGGAGAGAGAGAGTGCACCTCTCCCAGACTCCTAGACTTGGAAGGGACCTCCAAAGGCCATCCAGTCAATCCCCTTGCCATAAAAATTGCACAATCAAAGCCATCTCTTTCCTGGAGAAGCCCCTTCTTCTCTGTACTTCATTCTCCCCTCCCTGGATTGTAATGGGCTGATGAATCCGCTTTGGGCTTTCTGGGTGCATCTACATGGTAGAACTAATGCAGTTTGACACCACTTTAATTGCCATGTCTCAATGCTATGGAAGCCTGGGAGTTGTAGCTAGAAGCAAAGGGTTGAAAGAAACCCTAAGGGTCATCTGGACCAACCTCCATATATGTATGTCTAAGTCTATCTCTATATATCTATCGATCTGTCATCTATCTATCTATCTATCTATCTATCTATCTATCTATCTATCATCATCATCATCATCATCATAGAATCCTACAGTTAGAGGGGACCCCAAAGGTCATCCAGACCTACCCCCATATTTCTCTCCCTCCCTCCCTCTCCCTGTCTCTCTCTTAGAAACCTATAGTTAGATGGAACCCCAAGGGCATCCAGACCAACCCTCACATGTATGTATGTATGTATGTATTTATGTCTATCGATCTATTTTCTATTTTCTATCTATCATTATAGAATCCTACAGTAAAGGGCCACTCAGGACAACCCCCATATGCATGCATGTATGCATATATATGTCTGTCTGTCTGTCTATCGGTCACAGAATCCTGCAGTTAAAGGGGACCCCACAGGCCATCCAGACCAACCTCCATGTGTATGTATATATCTATCCCTGTATTTACTTCTATCTATCTATCTATCTATCTATCTATCTATCTATCTATCTATCTATCTATCTATCTATCTATCTATCATAGACTCCTACAGTTAGAGGGGACCCCAAGGGCCAACCAAACTGACCCCAATATTTATGAGCATGTATCTATCAATCTGTTATCTATCTATCGTCGTCATCATCATCATCATCATCATCATCATCATCATCATCATATAATCCTACAGCTGGAGGGGGAGCTGCATCTATCTATCTATCTATCTATCTATCTATCTATCTATCTATCTATCATAGAATCCTACAGTTAGAGGGGACCCCGATAGCCAACCAAACTAACCCCCCATATCTATCTGTCTGTGTCTATCTATCTATCTGTCTATCTATCTATCTATCTATCTATCTATCTATCTATCTATCTATCTATCTAATCATAGACTCCTACAATTAAAGGGGACTCCAATGGCCAACCAAACCAATCCCTATATGTACGAGTATCTATCTATCAATCTATCATCATCACCATCATCATCATAGAATCCTACAGCTGGGGGGGCTGTTTGTATCTATCTATCTATCTACCTATCTACCTATCTTCATAGAATCCTACAGTTAGAGGGGACCCCGATAGCCAACCAAACTAACCCCCCATATCTATCTGTCTGTCTGTCTATCTATCTATCTATCTATCTATCTATCTATCTATCTATCTATCTAATCATAGACTCCTACAATTAAAGGGGACTCCAATGGCCAACCAAACCAATCCCTATATGTACGAGTATCTATCTATCAATCTATCATCATCACCATCATCATCATAGAATCCTACAGCTGGGGGGGCTGTTTGTATCTATCTATCTATCTACCTATCTACCTATCTTCATAGAATCCTACAGTTAGAGGGGACCCCAAGAGCCAACCAGACCAACCCCTGTATGTATGTATGTATGTATGTATGTATGTATGTGTTATCTATCTATCTATCTATCTATCTATCTATCTATCTATATCTATCTATCTATCTATCTATCTATCTATCTATCTATCTATCATCGAATCCTACAGCTAGCGGGGACCTGTTTGTTTCTATCTGTCTGTCTGTCTGTCTGTCTATCTATCTATCTATCTATCTATCTATCTATCTATCTATCTATCTATCTATCTATCTATCTATGTATGAATCCTAGAGTTAGAAGGAACCCCAAGGTCCATCCAACTCCTTTCTGCCATAATGGAAGAAAAAAAATCAAGCACTTCCTCTTTCACCTCCTCTGCCAAAATGGGCTGGTGCCTAACTAAATTGGAACTCCTAGAATCCCATGGCTGTCAAAGCAGTATCAAACTGCATTAACTCTCCAGTGTAGATACACCCTGAGACTAAACATTACAGGATCTGTCCAAGGTGCTGAAGCGCAAAATCACTTCACAGCCCCGAATCCTTCCTATGAAGCCCAGACTCCAATTGGGCTAATAGGGCTAATAACCAGAATAATTGTTGCATAATTGAAGCTTCTTTTTGTTTTTTGTTTTAAAAAAAATCAAGTTATACTTTCATTGAAATATGATTATTATTATTTGGTAATGACATTCTAATGTTTAACTATTAATTATTAAAGTGCTTTCCTACTCGATGCTGCTGCTTCTTTTATTTTAAATCATTAATTTTTTGGGGTGGGGATAAAATTATTTTTGCATACAGCTGTGCAATTTTTATAATCATCAATTAAAACTTGTTTATATCATGAAAAAGGACTTAAATATCTTTATACAGTTAGCATTCCTTGCAGTCCAGGCTAGTAATCTCAAAAATTAGCATAGGCAAATTTATTTATTTATTATGTTAGAAGCAAATTGAGAATACAATTATAATGTATTAAAAACCACAAAGAAAGTTAAAAATGGCATTCTGCTAAATGTCCTTTAACCAGAAGCTGGTCACTTGGAGTGCCTCAGGTGTCACTGTAAGAAGGTCCTCCATTGTGCATGTGGCAGGGCTCAGGCTGCATTGTAGTAGGTGGTCTGTAGTTTGCTCTTCTCCACACTCATCGTGAACACTTTAAGATTGGCTCTGCATCTCGTGGTGCCAGAGCACAGTCTGTTCAGCGCCTTCCAAGTCACCCAGTCTTCTGTGTGCTCATGAGGAATCTCTTATCTGGTCTCAGCCACTGATTGAGGTTCTGGGTTTTAGCCTGCCACTTTTGGACTCTCGCTTGCTGAGGAGTTCCTGCGAGTATCTCTGTAGATCTTTGGAAGCTGTTTCTTGATGTAAGGTGTTGGCATGCTGGCTCATATATAAACAGAGGATGGGTCCGAAATGTCAATGCCTTGGTCCTTTCATTACAGCTGATACTTCCCGGTGAATGTCAGGTGGTGCAATCATGGATAAGCAGTATAATTTCTCCAGCAATGTAGGGTGTAGACATCTTGTGGTAATGCAGCATGTCTCATTAAGAGCCATATCCACAGTTTTTATATATATATATATATATATATATATATATATATATATATATATATATATATTAGAAAGTTTTTCAATTACATAAAAGGGAGAAAAGCGAAAAAAGGAAGGAAGGGGGGTTGCAAAGGGGGCTGGGAAAGTGGAGGGAGAAAAGGAGGGAAGGTAGGGGATTGGTTGTAATAGAAAAGGGAGGTAGGGTAGGATCTGGGGGAAAACAAGGGGGGTACGGGGATTTTTGACTTCCCATCTTCTCATTTCTGGGATGTTTCTTCTTCTTTTGTTGCACTTCTTATGTTCTTTATTTTCTTCTTCAAGAGTTGTAGGGATGAGGGCTCTCTCCCTCTATCATTTATATCCAAATTTCCATTTTTCTTCTTCCATAAATTTAGTTAACGAACTCCAATCTACCACTATTTTTTTTGTATGAGTTGTTGTGTAAGGCTGTCTATATTTCTGATTTCTATCATATTAATTAACATTTTTTTAGACTAGGGGTTTCTTTTTCTCTCCAGTAGCGAGCATAGACTATTCTGGCTGCTGATATTAGGTAGTTGAATAACGTCTCTTTATTTCTATCCAAATCGAAATGTGTTATACCCAGAAGATAGTATTCTAGTTTAAGTTGAAGTTTAATTTCAATAATTGTTCAGATCCCTTTATGTATCTCCCTCCAATATTTATTGGCTATTTCACAACTCCACCACATGTGGAAGAGCCACATCCACTGTTTTAACCTGGTGAGGTGTATTCCACACTGGATATGCATATTCAGCAGCAGAGTAGCCAAGCACAAGGACAGAGTGTTTCATCTATGCTGACGATCGTGCCATCACCACTCAAGCCGGGAGCTTTAAAACGGTTGAACAGAAGTTTTCCGAAGCTTTAGGCGCTGCCTATTGCAGGGAAAACCGACTGATTCCTAATCCATCTAAAACACAGATGTATGCTTTTCACCTTAAGAACAGACAAGGCATCTCGAGCTCTGGGGATTACCTAGGAAGGAATCCCACTGGAGCATTGCAGCACACCCAAATACCTGGGACTTACCCTGGACATGCTCTGACTTACAAGAAGCACTGCTTGACTATCAAGCACAGGCAAATGACAGCTTGTATCAATTGAAGACCTCCCCCCCCCCCCCCCCCCCCCCCCCCCCCCGCAGTCCTCAGAATGTGTGCTGTCGTACGCTGGGCCTGTACATCAGATGGTAGACAGGACAAATTCTGTGTGCCCAACGGGACGCCGGGGCTGCCTCAGATTAAAGGCCTTTGGATTTCCTTAAAACACAGAGTCTTTAGATTGCTTAAAGGTTCAACAATGTTCTTTATTAAGGAAAACAAACAGGTACTTTAAAGCTTTCTTAACAGTCTATAGCAGGGGTCCTCAAACTAAGGCCTGAGGGCCAGATACAGCCTTCCAAGGTCATTTACCCGGCCCTCACTCAGGGTCAACCTAAGTCTGAAATGACTTGAAAGCACACAACAACAACAACAACAGCAGCAGCAGTAATAACCCTTTCTCATCAGCCAAAAGCAGGCCCACACTTCCCATTGAAATACTAATAAGTTTATATTGGTTAAAATTGTTCTTCATTTTAAGTATTGTATTGTTTTTACGTGTTTTTGGTGGAGGCTCCTTCTTTGGAAGCTTTTAAGCAGAGGCTGGATAGCCATCTGTCAGGGGTGATTTGAATGCAATATTCCTGCTTCTTGGCAGGGGGTTGGACTGGATGGCCCATGAGGTCTCTTCCAACTCTTTGATTCTATGATTCTATGTGCAGTGTGCATAGGAATTAATTCATGTTTTTTTTTTCAAATTATAATCCGGCCCTCCAACAGTTTGAGGGACTGTGACCTGGCCCTCTGTTTAAAAAGTTTGAGGATCCCTGGTCTATAGGCTCTTTCAATCTTGTCCACAGGGAACAAGCACTATATTCTTAACTGTAACTAATGGGGAAATCCTTAACTTCTAATCTGGGCAGTCTGTCATTGCCTCTGTTGGCATGGAGCCCCTACACCTGGTACCAACTGCTTCTGGCTTCCGTGAGAGACCCTTACCAAGCAGAGCTTTGTAGACTTCCGGGGGAAAAGGAGTTCAGGTTTCAGTGATGGCTGGCTGAAGTCCCTCAGCAAAGGAGCTGTAAGGCTGTATGATCTTTGGTCAAGCTGTGGGGCTGTATCTCCCCGGCCAATCCGCAGGGCTGTATAACCCCGGCCAAGCTGTAGAAGACGAAGCTTTCTACAGGAGCTCTTGGTTTTATCTCCTGCATGAAAGCTTCTCTGTGTGGACTGAACCCAAACTGGCTCCTATTCCCTCCAAAACCCAAAAAGGGGACGGGACCAGGGAACCTAACTATATTTTTTTTAGTACTTTTTATTGAAGTTTTTGATATGAATACATCAATAGGATGTTAATCATTGACATATTGGTTGTATCTTAAAAGCTAGGGAGGGGGGTATAGTGGGGGTAGGGAGGGAGGGAATGGATAAGGTACCTATCTACTGGGGGAAAAAGGGGGGGAAGGATGGCAGGGAAATTGGAAGGGATGGGGCAATCCTTATCTAACGGGAAGAACAGGGGGGGGGGAGTGCTTGTGATTTGGAATGTGGGACGTGGAGTGTATTAGTATTGTTAGTTCTTTTTGTTTACTCATTGTTTCCCCCCATACTTAGTTAGTACAAGTGTTGTCCTCTATGCTTGTCTTCTATCTTCTTTTATTTTTCCCTGTACACCATTTTCGTCCTTAATTTCCTTCTAGATAATTTCTGATTGGAGACCAATCTGTTTTGTTTTCTCTTGCAGTTTGCTTTGTTCTTATATGTTGCGTCAATGTGTCCATGTTCATTATGTCCATTAACTTTAGTCTCCAATCGTCTAGCTTTGGAATTTCCTTGTTTTTCCATTTACTTGCTAATACTAGTCTTGCTGCAGTAGCCATGTGGAATAAGAGCCTATCTTTATTCTTATCTATCTCAAAGTCCAGAATTCCTAGTAGATAATATTCCGCTTTCTTTTCTATTTGTAGTTCCGATAATTTGGTTGTTGTTCCATGTACCTCCGTCCAGAATTTTTTAACTTTTTCACACATCCACCAGAGATGTAGAAAGGTGCCTTTCTTCTCTTTACACTTCCAACACCTTTCGTCTACATTTTTATAATACTTGGCTAATTTGTTTGGTGTTAAATACCATTGGAACATCATCTTTATCCAGTTCTCTCTTAGGCTGTAGGAGTTGGTCCATTTTAGTTTTATCTTCCATATTTTTTCCCATTCCAATGTGTCGATAGTATGGCCCAGGTTACCTGTCCACTTTGCGATGTAGCTGTCTATACTGTTTCTTTCTGCTTTCCAGCTTAATAGAGGAACCTAACTATAATTCCACTATAATCCCACTGGAGCATTGCAGCGCACCCAAATACCTGGAAGTCACTCTGGACCGTGCTCTTACCTACAAGAAGCACTGCCTGAACATCAAGCAAAAAATGTGTGCTAGAAACAATATCATACGAAAGCTGACTGGCACAACCTGGGGATCACAACCAGATACAGTGAAGACATCTGCCCTTGCGCTGTGCTACTCTGCTGCTGAGTATGCATGCCCAGTGTGGAACACATCTCACCACACTAAAACAGTGGATGTGGCTCTTAATGAGACATGCCGCATTATCACGGGTGTCTGCGCCCTACACCACTGGAGAAATTACACTGCTTAGCCAGTATTGCACCGCCTGACATCCGCCGGGAAGTAGCAGCCAATAGTGAAAGGACCAAAGCAGAGACATCTCCAGCTCATCCCCTGTTTGGGTATCAGCCAGCACGCCAACGACTTAAATCTAGAAATAGTTTTCTAAGATCTACAGAGACACTCGCTGGAACACCTCAGCAAGCGAGAGTCCAAAAGTGGCAGGCCCAAACCCAGCACCTCAACCAATGGCTGATACCCAATGAGAGACTCCCTCCTGGGCACACAGAAGACTGGGCGACTTGGAAGGCACTGAACAGACTGCGCTCTGGCACCACGAGATGCAGAGCCAACCTTCAGAAATGGGGCTACAAAGTGGAATCCTCGACATGCGAGTGTGGAGAAGAGCAAACCACTGACCACCTGCTGCAATGCAACCTGAGCCCTGGCACATGCACAATGGAGGACCTTCTTGCAGCAACACCGGAAGCACTCCAAGTGGCCAGATACTGGTCAAAGGACATTTAACCAACTACCAAATTCACAAGATGTGTATTTTTTTTTGTCTGTTTGCTTTGTTCTGTTAGAAATGTAATATATAATGGACTGGTTGCTCTGACACGACAAATAAAAAAAAAATAACTATAATTGACAGGTGGCTTGCCCTATGATTGCAGCCAAAAGAAGCCACCTATCTGCAGAGTCCCTGAAACTTAGGACTATAGCAAACATTCAATGCAAAGCAAACAAAATTGGAGCTCTTGGTACAGTTGTACCTGCACAGAATGGATCCGTCCTTTGGTCATTGAGGCCCTTTCTACACTGCCATATCATCCAGATTTATCAAAGCATATAATAATTCACAATATCTGCTTTGAACTGGATGATGTGAGTTTACACTGCCATATAATCCAGTTCAAAAGTAGATAAATTGGATTTTATATGGCAGTGTAGAAGGGTTCTCCCCCTCACCCAAGGAAAGGAATGGTACAGTCCATCTTATTCCTTTCCCCCTATTTACTCTCTGACGTCACCTCCTCCCCGCGCGCAGGAAGGCGTGGAAAAGCCCTTTCGGCAGCCAATCAGGAGCTCGGATACCTCAGAAGGCGCCGAATGTGAAGCAGGGCGGAATCGAGGTCTGTTTCGGGCCTAGTCGTTTACGAGAGGCCGGGGGATGCGAGGCCTCAAGCAGAGTTACTGCATTTCTTCCGCGTGTAACTTTCTAAAAGGTTGTTTCCCGGGGTTGCTTTTTTTTAAAGTGGTGCAATGCTTCCCAAACGCATCCTCTCGTGTTTTGGACTTTTGGACTCCAGTTCCCAGAATCCCTTGTCATTGGCCAACGCAGCTGAGGCTTCTGGGAGTTGAAGTCCAAAAGCTAAAAGGGGGGAAAGACTTGCTACCAGGTTAGTTTTGAATGTAGTATTTTTGGCGTAAGTATCACCATTACTATTATTATTTGTACTTTTCTTTTACTCTGGATCGATTGTAGGTTGGTATAGTTAAGGTAGGCATGTGTTTTGTTACTGTGTTTGCTTTTAATTTAGTTTTGCAGGATGCTGCTAGTTAGACAGCAGAATAGTTTTAGTGATATATATGATTTTTCAAATAAATCTACTTGTTTCTGTATTGAAAAATCTACAAAATTGAATTTATTTACTCTATCAGCAAATTGAGAATACTGTTATACTGTATAGAAAAACCACAAACAAAGTAAAAATCATGGCATTAGCTATATATAAATAAAAATGTAATGTTCGTTTGTGGGATTAACATAACTGCAAAACCACTGGATGAATTGACACCAAATTTGGACACAAGACACCTAACAACCCAATGTATGTCCTTCACTCAAAAAATTGATTTTGTCATTTGGGAGTTGTAGTTGCTGAGATTTATAGTTCGCCTACAATCAAAGAACATTCTGAACCTCACCAATGATAGAATTGAACCAAACTTGGCACACAGTTCTCCCATGATCAACAGAAAATACTGTAAAGGTTTGGTGGGCAGTGTCCTTTGGTTTTGGAGTTGTAGTTCATCTACATCCAGAGATCACTGTGGACTCAAACAATGATGGATCTGGACCAAACTCTACACGAATACTCAATATGCCCAAATGTGAACACTGGTGGAGTTTTGGGGAAATATAATCTTGACATTTGGGAGCTGTAGTTCCTTGGATTTATAGTTCACCTACAATCACAGAGCATTCTGAACCCCACCAACGATAGACACAGAACCCCCATGTGAGCCACAGCAACGCATGGCAGGGGACGGCTAGTATATAAATAAAAATGTAATGTTCGTTTGTGGGATTAACATAACTGCAAAACCACTGCATGAATCGACACCAAATTTGGACACAATACACCAATCAGGCCAACGAGTGACCATCACTCATAATAATACTTAGAAACCCAGCAGAAGAGACTTAAAAAGCCAAAAAACAAAAAAGGCATTACAACACTTGCGCAAAACCACATATATGCACAAACATATATACACACACATATACAAAAACTGGGCCACAGCAATGCGTGACAGGGGGTGGGTAGTACTAAATGTCCTTTGACCAGTAGCTGGCCACTTGGAGTGCCTCTGGTATCGCTGTAAGAAGGACCTCCACTGTGCATGTGGCAGGGCTCAGACTGCATTGTAGTAGGTGGCCTGTGGTTTGATCTTCTCCGCACTCGCATGTCGTGGACGCCACTTTGTGGCCCCATTTCTTAAGGTTGGCTCTGCATTTTGTGGTGCCAGAGTGCAGTCTGTTCAACGCCTTCCAAGTTGCCCAGTCTTCTTTGTGCCCAGGAGGGAGTTTCTCATTCGGTCTCAGCCACGGATTGAGGTTCCAGGTTTTAACCTGCCACTTTTGGACTCTTGCTTGCTGAGGTGTTCCTGGGAGTGTCTCTGTACATTAGTGGTTCCCAACCTTTTTTGGAGCAGGGACCACTTGACCAGGAACTACTTTGATTAGGGACCACTCTCCAACATTAGTTAAAATTGGTTTTTGGCCAACTTTAGATTTGGTTTGGTTATTTGGGGTGCTGATTCAGAAAACTGCATTGGGTAGACCACATCAGTTCTAGTTTCTGATACAGAACATATGCCATCCAGTAGTTGCCATCTGCTCGCCCACAGAAAACCATATTTAATCATCTTGAACTGATACCTTTTGTGGCTCGTCAGCCTCTCCACTCCTGACATCCCTGTTGTGTTGGCATTATAAGAGGTTTTACTAGACCAGTTGCTCTCATTGCCACGTGGTTTTGAGGTAACGGTGTAGTAATGGTGAGGCCGTGGACCATATTTTCGTTCTTGGGGACAACTGGTGGTCCATGGACCACAGGTTGGGAACTACTGCTGTAGATCTTAGAAAACTATTTCTTGATTTAAGGCATTGGCATGCTGGCTGATATACGAACAGAGGATGGGCCGGAGATGTCAATGCCTTGGTCTTTTCATTACAGTCTGCTACTTCCTGACGCATTCCTGGTTGTGCGATACCTGCTAAACAGTATAGTTTATCCAGTAGTATGGAGCGTAGACATCTTGTGATAATGCGGCATGTCTCATTAAGGGCCACGTCCACTGTTTTAATGTGGTGGGATGTATTCCACACTGGAATGAATGAAATGCACAATTATTAAAACAGGCCCATATTATGCAGTTCACTGCTGTTAAATGGCATTATATAGGTCAGGCATGAACCAACTTCAGCTCTTTGGGTGTTTTGAACTTCAACTCCCACAATTCCTAACAGCCTCATGCAAAAGGAAGGGGCCTGAGGCTGTTAGGAATTGTGGGAGTTGAAGTCCAAACACACAGAGGGTCGGAGCTTGCCCATGCCTGATATAGACTCAGACAGGTTAATGACAAATTGTAAAATTGCATCTTATGTTTAATCTTTATTTTGTGTATTTTAACATGTATTTTGCAGAAATACATTTAATACATGTTTTTAGATTAATGTGTGTTTTAGCCATGTTGCCGCTTGAGCTGTGAGGAGAGGCGGGCAAGAAATAAAAAGTATTATTATTATAATATATGTGTACATTGATTGCACTATGTAACAAAATTTGAAAAAAAGCTTCTGTTCCTGGTTTGAAATGTTGTTTCCTGTATAATTGTGCGGTTCTTATTTTGAAAGGAGTTGTTCTACTCCAGAAACTTTGTTTTTCTTGCTGCCACAAACTAGGTTGAATTCATTGAGACTCAATGGTGAAACATTCATTGAGAGCAAAATGTGTTGCAGGATGTCCCTCCTTTTCCATCTATTTAAATGATATAATGAATAAACCTTTTCCATGTTTTTTATAATAAAACTAATTAAGAGATGACATTTTTAGCCCAGGAACAAAAATTGCATTACACAGAGCCATAAGGAGAGGTGGGTAAAAATAAAATTTACTATTATTATTATTGATGATGTTATTACTATTGTAATGATGTTGTTGATGATGATGTTATTAGTATTTGGCAGTGCTGATTCATCCTGAAACACATGCTTCTGCTGCATGAGGCACTGGAAGAGCATTCAGTATAGATGATAGCCTCACATCTTTGTCCATCGGCTGCTTCTTCTGAAAATAACCAGAGTCTTCTGTGTATTGTTTCAATCTCACCTGTTTTCTTCTCCTTTGGAAATAGGATGGCATCTGTACCCCAAAACAACCTCCAGGAGCAGCTTGAACTTTACTCGGCTAAGGGGACCCTGAACAAACTGGCGCTTCAGAAACCCAAAGCCATGTAAGTGATGGTTACCTGGGGCTCAGCATTTCAGCCGATGCACAGCTAAAGGGGCAACAGCCCACCTTTTCCAGCCATTAGGTGTCTACTGTGTATTTATTATGAAATGCTTTGGGAAATGTTTGTTTTCCTTCTCCTCCTTTGCTGTCAGAGTTTATATCAGGGCAGGTTATTTGTGGTTGTATTAGATGTAGTTGGAACGGATCTCCTGCAATTCCTCGCATTGGGGCAGGTGGGAGTTGCAGTTGCAGCATTTGAAAGGCAACTACACATACACAGTCACAGCCTTTATGGGCATATTCCAATAAAATCACAACACAGGCATGGAAAACAAGAGAAAGTCACAGAAAAAAAGGGAAGTCTAATTAAGAGTGGCAAAAAAATATTGGAAAGAAATTCAATAAAATATTGGATATAAAACTACAATTGAAACCAGAATACTTCTTATTAGGAATTACAGGTTTTGATTTAAACAAAAATAAAGTCATGCTATTTAATTACTTAGTGACAGCGGCCAGAATAACATGCACAAAAATGGAGGACGAAAGAAATAACTTTAACAGAACACTGGATGTCGAAAATAATTGACATAATGAATATGAATAAAGTAATCCAATTAGTTTCTGAACAACCCATGTGGAAATAATAACAAAAAAACCAATGGATTGGTAATCATTAAGAGACTATATGTTATAAGAAAAAAAATGAAATTGATAATAGAACCAAAATGAGGATTAAAAGAAAAATTGTTTCCCGAGGAATATGAATGAAGAGGGGTTAGCAGACTTATGAGGAATTAAGAAAGGACAGTGTAAACCACAGTGGAGAAGATTGAAAATCAACTTTTTTTTCATTACACTCCTTTCCCTCCCCTTTCCCCCCACTAGATTTGCGTGTGGTTTCTCTCTCTCTCTCTCTCTCTCTCTCTCTCTCTTCTCTTCTTCACTTTTACTCAAACCTTTCCTCACTACCCTATTATATCCCAACTTTTTATACTGTAAAAATTGAAGTCTTATGTTTTAAATTAATAAAAATTATATATAAAAAAGACTTTCCTAATTTCAAGAATAAAATTTGCAACAGTCTCACAAAATAGTGCATCAGACTTGTTCAAAAGATACTGGAATTTTATAACACCCGTGCCATTGAGAGCACTTTGAAAAAATGGAATTCCTGTATTTAATGTGTATATTATTATAGATTTATTTGTACATAACAACACAGCACACATGCATATTAGGTCCAAGTCTCTGGGATTTGTCTCTGAATATTGGGGTCTTCCCAAGGGCCTAGGATATTATTATTATTATTATGTTTAATTCTATAAACACGCATATTAAAATGTAATTCTACAAAATACATATGAAAATTTATATTTCTATAAAATACATATTAAATACATAGGATAGAGATTGAAACACAGGACACAAGTTCAAAATTCATGCTTAAAACTGGCTGAAGTCAATGACTAGAAGTTGTCTAAGTTGTTTCTTTTTCCTTTTTGTATGTGTATATATATTTATATAGGGGGTTTACATTCAGAAAGAAAACCGTATTTGATAACGGGAAAACCACAGAATGTTTAAGTGGGACGAAAGGTTGGCCCTTACAGGACAAGGATACTAACTTTTCCCTGAAAAAAACCAACGGACCTTTATTTGGCCCTAAGGAGAAACAGGCCAAAATCGTTGACCTTTTTGGAACAACACAGAAAGGACAAGAAGGAAAACAAAGTTGCCCAAATGACCCATCACAGAGTTCTTTGGGCCGCTTCACATTTTCCACGAAAGAAAGAGATGCGGGCAGTCAACCGGAGGACCCCAAAGCAGACCACAACTCTTCATACAGTTCAGTTATTAATATCGACAATGTCTGGGATGACATTGATGACTTTGAAATTGCCAGGCAGGAAAAGAAATGCTCAAAATCCCCTGCTTCGTTGTCATCAGGTGCTCTGCTTGCAGAAAAGAGCAAAGCTCCGAAAAACCAAAAGCCTTTAACCAGCAAACAGTCAGTGCCTTTGGTCAGCGGGAAAGGCAGCCAGTTGTGCAATGAGGGTTTTGATAATAACAAGAGCAGCACAATCCAGATTCCTGATGATGATGACGACGACGACAACGGAAATGCTCCAGGAAGCCAGTCTGTCATTTGCCTTGGCCCAATAACCAGCCATGGTGGAAGCCTTTCAGATAAAGATCTTCCACTAGGAAGTCGCTCAGGAGGAAAACAAGTGGAGCCTTTGGAAAGTGAGTAGTTTTCCTATCTCTGTCTATTGATTATCTATTTATCATCATCATAGAATCCTACATTTAGGGGGGGGGACCCCAAGGGCCAACTACACCAACCCCCATATGTATGTTTTTATGTATGTATGTATGTATGTATGTATGTATGTATGTATGTATGTATCTCTCTCTATCAATTTGCTATCCATCTACATTTTTTTGGATTATGTGATTTTAATATTTATATGTTTTGGAGTTAGAGACAAACTGAGAGATCAGAGTTGGCAGCATAAACCTCAGATTGCTAAGGAAAGCATGAGAGAGAAAAAGAAGATATACCTTTTTCCCCATAGTAAAAAGTTACTTGACTGAATCTGCTAGACTGAATCTGCTAAACAGAATTATTGCTATTAGTAAAAATCCTTTGTTTTTTTTGCTTCTCATTAAAGTACAGAATGACAGAGGGGAGAAACCAGGAAGTTCCTGCAACGACCCAGAGGTGTTCAATGAATCTGAGACTGAAGATTATGTTGACTTCGTTCCACCTTCCCCAGAGGAGGATGAGGTCCCCTCTTCAGCGTCTTCCTTTAAAAGTGTCAGGTAGGCTTATTATTATTATTATTATTATTATTATTATTATTATTATTAACTTTATTTATACTCTGCCTTTCTCCCCATGGGGACTCATAGTGGCTAACAATCCCAATCATAGAGGGGCTTATCCTGTCTCTGTGGAAAACTATGAATGGAAATCTTCCCCAAGATCTTGGTGGAAGTGGCTCCTTTAAGCTATTCATGGAGCTGGAACTCTTTTTATAAGTGAAAGACCAGAAGATGGGGAGGGATTGGATAAAATAAGAAAGAAATCTGTAAACTAGGGGATACGTAGAATTTTATGTTGTCTGCCTAGAGTTCTTAATGACACTTTTTAAAAAATGTTAGTTATATATTCAAAGAATCTGCTGTTGAGAAAACACGGTCTCCTCAAGCATTGAAAAGCAGTCTTCCTGGCTCTAGAGAAACCAGCAGTGGAAGCAGAAAGGCTCAGGAAGGTAAAATAATAATAATAATACTTGACATCATAATAACAACTGTCTTACCCTCCTCTCCCTACAGCTAATAATAATAATAATAATAATAATAATAACAATAATAATAGCTACAACTGGAAAACCTTACACGTTATGAGGATTTAAATATAGAACTGCAAAGCCAGTCAAGGTTGTCCCAGTGGTGATCAGCACACTGGGAGCAGTGCCTAAAGATCTTGGCCTGCACTTAAAAACAATCAGCAATAACAAAATTACAATCTGTCAGCTGCAAAAGGCCAACCTACTTGGATCTGCACGCATTATTCATTGATACATCACACAGTCCTAGACACTTGGGAAGTGTCTGACGTATGGTCAAATACAAAAGCCAGCATAGTGATCTTGTTTGCTGTGTACTAATCTTGTTGTGTATCAAATGATAACAACAGCAACAGCAACTTTCTTACCCTCCTCTCCCTATTGCTAACAACAACAACTGTCTTAACCTCCTCTCCCTATGGTTAATAATAATAATAATAATAATAATAATAATAATAATAATAACAACAATAACTGTCCTACCATCCTCTTCCTATATCTAATAATAACAACTGTCTTACCCTCCTCTTCCTATGGCTAACAACAACAACAGCCTTACTGTCCTCTTCCTATGGCTAATAACAATAACAACAACAACTTTCTTACTTTCCGCTTCCTATGGCTAACAACAACTGTCTTTCCCTCTCACTACTGCTAATAATAATAGCAACAACAACAATTGTCTTACTTTAATCTCCCTATGGCTAATAGTAATAACAGCAGCTGTCTTTACCTTCTTCTCCCTAATAAGTCCTTAGAAATGACTTCAGCTGTTTTCTTTTGGACTTGTTCAGATACAAACATCATGTTCTTTGCAGCTGACTAAATTGCAACCCTAAATAACAACTACTTAAACTTCTTGCTGGGTGGCTATGCGTATCAGTTGTCACACAAAAACCATACAAAATTGTCCCCCTGGAAACTATATGTTTTCCCCCTCCTCTGTTACAGGTATATTTGAATCAAAATGGACTCTGTATCTAGTAATGGTGGGTGTTTAGTATATTTTCCTTGTTTGGAAATTCTGATGAAGGAGGTTTTATTGAAGTGTGATGTTACCTTTCAGGTAAACCCTTTCCTTCAGAGCAATCCCTCTACAGTGTCATGGAGGAGATCTGCAAATTGGTAGATTCCATCCCAGAAAAGGATCTGAGGTCTTTATCATGTGGAAGTGAGCTCATTCGGCACAGAGATTACAGGTCAGTGGCATTTGAAATGGGTTTAAGTGCTTTATTTCTGAGAGGTCATTTTGCAACCATTTGGATACAACTGAAGTAGTTTGTACATCCTGTCTGTTGTTTTCTTTTGTCCTGGAAGGAGCAAGTTGAGCGTAATAATACGAAGGTTATTGGCACTCCATCATACCCTGCACAAGCTTGTAGTCCTCATCAAGGACTTAGATAGGCAGATGAGTTAGTTAACAAGGAAAGGCCTTTTTGACCTCTTTGCCAGCCTGTCACTGTGTTCTCTCTTCCTGTCACCTTTCTTGTTAGACTGATACTTCTCAGAAACGTGCCTCCTTTTTCTGAACGCATGTTAAGTCCTACATTTTGGTTCTTCTCCTGTGAGCATGGAGATGTCTGCTCTGACTCTGCTCCTTTGAATTGCTGAAGCTCAATTACTCTACAGCTGGCACTAGAAGTTTCTGATCTGCCAAACTGCTGTTACTGATGTTGTTGCTGCTTTACCATTTTGTAATACTTTTTTCATCTTTGGGAAATTACCTTCCAACAAAAGCTGGATGAGGAAAGAGAGAAAGACATACATGAGTTGCTAAAACAGTTCATGTTCTTTGTGTTGTCGAAAGCTTTCATGGCTGGAACCACTGGATTGCTGTGAGTTTTCGGGGCTGCATGGCCATGTTCCAGAAGCATTCTCTCCTGACGTTTCACCCACATCTATGGCAGGCATCCTCACCACCTCTGAGGATGCCTGCCATAGATGTGGGCAAAACGTCAGGAGAGAATGCTTCTGGAACATGGCTATTCAGCCCCGAAAACTCACAGCAACGCAGTTCATATTCTTCTATGCAGGCCTAACCCAGCCAGTTTTAATCTCTGTACTGTGTATTTAATATGTAGTTAATAGAAAGGCCTTTTAATAGATATCTTTTATATTACTACATTTTAATTTGTGTGTTTATAGATTTTTTTTTTGCAATGTTTGTGTGTTTTGATATGCCATGATCCACCTTAAAATTATTATAATTATTATTACTAATTCCAGAAGGCAACTCTTAAATAATACCACTAATGGAAGTGGAAGGGATACAGTTATACCTCTGGATGGAAACAGGAAGGCTTTGTCCAGGTACGATGGCTCTCTGGATAGCGGTGTTTCCTTTCGTCTGGAAGAAGAAAATGTCAACAGTCCTCCTGGAGGAACAGGCACTTCTACACTGCCTTCCGTGAGACAATCTGGCATTCTTGAGCGCCATCACAACTTTCATTCTACCCCTTTCGTCGTTCCTGCTGTTCAAGGCTCCAGTAATTTAAGCCTGTCCAGATTTCCAGGGAATTCTTCCTTGGAGAGTGGCATCTCTCCCTTGCAAAATGCATCATTATCTTTCCCCAAAAGAGGCTCCACCAGTGAAAGGATATGGTCTGAAAACTCAAGAGAGAAAGGCTCCATGAATCCAGAGATGAAATTTGCAGCTGGTCAGTTCATTGGGGAGGATTTGTTTTTGTTTTTCTCCTTTTACAATATTTTTATTTCATTTTCAAAGTTTTTATAACATAAGGGAAAAGTGGGAAGGGGTGGGAGATGGAAAAATATGATATATAGGTTACGGAGATTTAATGTATTGTTGAAGGCTTTCATGACCGGTATCACAGGGTAGTTGTGTGTTTTCCAGGCTGTCTGGCCATGTCCCAGAAGCATTCTCTCCTGACGTTTCACCCACATCTATAGTAGGCATCCTCAGAAGTTGTGAGGTCTGTTGGAAACTAGGCAAGCGAGGTTTATATATCTGTGGAATGTCCAGGGTGGGAGAAAGAACTCCACAGATAATTAAATCCAATTTTCCTAGTTTCCAACAGACCTCACAACCTTTGAGGATGCCTGCCATAGATGCAGGCGAACGTCAGGGGAGAATGCTTCTGGAACATGACCATTCAGCTCGGAAAACACAACAACCCATATATAGATTTTAGATATTGGTAGGGTTTATTAAAATGAGATATTAATTTCTCTTTGAGTGGTGTTGAAGTCATGGGTGGTGGGAGGAGGTTGGGTTTGATGGACAGATTTATTTGTATTATGTGTATTTTATTTTTGTCCGTTTTGTTTGCATTCTCTATACCACTTTTACACAATCTATATAAATAAAAATGTAATGTTCGTTTGTGGGATTAACATAACTCAAAAACCACTGGACGAATTGACACCAAATTTGGACACAATACACCTCTCAGGCCAATGAGTGACCATCATTCATAAAAACATTGAAAAACACAGCAGAAGAGACTTAAAAAGCCAAAAAACAAAGAAATACATTACAACACATATGCAAAACCACACATATATACGCAAACACACATGTACACACACATATACACAGACTGGGCCACAGCAACGCGTGGCAGGGGACAGTTTGTGTATATATATAAATATATATTTAAAGTAAATGAAGAGGGGGTCAGTTTAGGGGCCTACCGACTGTTAGGAATTATGGGAGTTGACGTCGAAAAACACCAGGAGGGAGTGCCGAAGTTTGCCCATGCCTGCTTTTAACCCATTCTTACTTTATGAAATTCACTTTACATTTCATGGTCTTGACAGATTCTTTGGCAAACGGATCCGTGAACTTTGACGATGACAATTTCGACATTGATGACTTTGACGAATTAGACGAGATAGTACAGCTTTCGGGTGCGGAGCAGCCTCTCCAGGCTCCCTGCCTGCCTGCCGCTGCCCCATTTATGGGAAATGGCTCCCTGGCATCCGTCGCAGGACGGAGCCCACTTTCAAGCACTGTTCTTCCCAGAGCGAACCAGCATGCGCTTGCCAAGACTGGCTTGGGTAAATTATGCTAATTCCTTTTCCCCTCATTTATCATTGCAAGTCTGTCATGCCAAAAAAAGCTATTACGAAGCATGTAATTACCTAATTTGACGTATTGCTGAGCGCCCGTGGTCGCCATGGAAATTTTTTTGTCCCTATTGGCTTAATTCATTGCCATCTCACTGTCGCTAACACTGAAGTGATTATCATGCAATTTCCCCAGGAATTAAGATTTAAGCTCTTTTTTTCCTTCTTTTTTCTCTTACTGCATATTATTGTTTAATAACAAGGAAACATTGAAATGTTTTTGCCTCTTCAAAGTGATTTTTTATTTATATTTATATATAGATACACATACATACACACACATATTTGGTTATGTACATAAATTACACATTCAAATTTTTGCAACTTCAAAGTGATATATATATGTGTGTGTGTGTGTGTGTGTGTGTGTGTGTGAATGATTTTGTAAAGAAATGTAATACATTCAAATGTTTTGCATCTTCAGTGATATATATATTATATTATATTATATTATATTATATTATATGGTTATGTGGAGCCTCCGGTGGCACAGTGGGTTAATAATAATAATAATAATAATAATAATAATAATAATACTTTATTTGTACCCCGCTACCATCTCCCCAAGGGACTCGGTGCGGCTTACATGAGGCCGAGCCCAACACAACAATACAAGCAATAATAACAACAATACAGCAATTAAAATAAAAACATAGACAATAAAACACATTATCAATAAGACAACACACAATTAAAAGTGGTATGGGCATACCAAATCACCTTGTCTCTCTCCTGAGGAATCTGTATAAGGACCAAGTATCAACAGTAAGAACTGACCATGGAACAACAGACTGGTTCAAGATTGGGAAAGGCGTACGGCAGGTTGCATACTCTCACCCAACCTTTTAACTTGTATGCAGAACACATCATGCGATGTGCGGGGCTGGAATGCAAAGCTGGGGTGGAAATGGCTGGAAGAAACATTAACAACCTCAGATATGCAGATGACACCACTCTGATGGCCGAAAGCGAGGAGGAGCTGAGGAGCCTTCTAATCAAGGTGAAAGAAGAAAGTGCAAAAGCTGGGTTGCAGCTAAACGTCAAAAAAACCAAGATTATGGCAACAAGAATGATTGACAACTGGAAAATAGAGGGAGAAACCGTGGAGGCCGTGACAGACTTTGTATTTCTAGTGCAAAGATTACTGCAGATGCATACTGTAGCCAGGAAATCAGAAGACGCTTACTTCTTGGGAGGAGAGCAATGTCCAATCTCGATAAAATAGTAAAGAGTAGAGACATCAGACTGGCAACAAAGATCCGCCTAGTCAAAGCCATGGTATTCCCTGTAGTAACCTACGGATGTGAGAGCTGGACCTTAAGGAAGGCTGAGCGAAGGAAGATCGATGCTTTTGAGCTGTGGTGTTGGAGGAAAGTTCTGAGAGTGCCTTGGACTGCGAGAAGATCCAACCAGTCCATCCTCCAGGAAATAAAGCCCGACTGCTCACTGGGAAGATACTAGAGACAAAGTTGAAGTACTTTGGCCACATCATGAGGAGACAGGAAAGCCTAGAGAAGACTATTATGCTGGGGAAAGTGGAAGGCAAAAGGAAGAGGGGCCGACCAAGGGCAAGATGGGTGGATGGCATCCTTGAAGTGACTGGACTGACCTTGAAGGAGCTGGGGGTGGTAACGGCCGACAGGGAGCTCTGGCGTGGGCTGGTCCATGAGGTCACGAAGAGTCGGAGACGACTGAACGAATGAACAACAACAACAATAATGCAACATTAACAATAAGACCACACAAAACTATGGGAAGGCCAAATGTAAAATTAAAATTGAAAATAATGCTGGAACGTGGGCGAAAAAGTGATAGTGCGTTTGTGAAAAACATACAAGCACTGAGCTGTTGAGCTTGTTGACTGAAAGGTCGCAGGTTCGAATCTGGGGAGCGGCATGAGCTTCCGCTCTCAGCCCCAGCTTCTGTCAACCTAGCAGTTCGAAAACATGCAAATGTGAGTAGATCAATAGATACTGCTCCGGCAAGAAAGTAAGGGTGCTCCATGCAGTCATGCCGGCCACATGACCTTGGAGGTGTCTATGGACAACGCCGGCTCTTCGGCTTAGAAATGGAGATGAGCACCAACCCCCAGAATCGGACATGACTGGACTTAATGTTAGGCGACAACCTTAAAATATGGTTATGCATGGTAAGTAAATTATAAAATTGTCAGTCATTATTACAATTATTCCCCATATATTCTCATAGCATTCTAATGATTCTTGTTTTCATATCTTCTACATTTCTATACTTATCTACTACTTATAGTAAAAGTAAAGGTTTCCCCTGACACTAAGTCTAGTTGTGTCCAACTCTTGAGGGTGGTGCTCATCTCCATTTCGAAGTCAAAAAGTCGGCGTTGTCTGTAGACATGTCCAAGGTCATGTGGCCAGCATGACTGCATTGAGCGCCGTTACCTTCCCACCAAAGTGGTACCTATTGATCTACTCATACTTGCATGTTTTCAAACTACTAAGTTGGCTGAAGCTGGGGCTAACAGCAGGAGCTCACCCTGCTCCCTATATTCGAACTGGCAACATTTTGGTCAGCAAGTTCAACAGCTCAGCAGTTTAACCTGCTGCGCCACCAGGGGGCCCATAGTTATGTACATAAATTATAACAAGGACGCATATATATGGTTGTGTTAAATAAATTATAAAATTGTCATAGTCATTATTACAATTTTTCCCCATAGATTCTCAGACCATTCTAATGATTCCTGATTTCATATCTTTTACATTTCTATACTTATCTGCTATTTATAAATATACAATTTTTCTCCTTCCTCCATCCGGGAACAGTTATACCTCTGCTCTTTGTTTTATTTTATTTGTTTGATTGTGAAGAATGTCTGATTCACTTCATTATATTTAAGCTCTTGGTGTAGCGCAGAGGAACCTTTCCCATCCAGTAACACTGCTCTGAATGTGTGCAGATCACAGCTTCCACCATTCAGCATGGTAAAGACCTCATTGACAAAAGAATGGTGGGAATTGTAGTCCTAACATCCAGAGCAGTTGCCAGGTTTGAGGAAATTAGATAAAGGTAAAGGTTTTCCCCTGACATTAAGTCCAGTTGTGTCCAACTCTGGGGGGTGGTGCTCATCTCCATTTCTAAGCCGAAGAGCCGGCATTGTCCGTAGACACCTCCAAGGTAATGTGGCCGGCATGACTGCATGGAGCGCTGTTACCTTCCTGCTGGAGCGGTACCTATTGATCTACTCACATTTGCATGTTTTTGAACTACTAACTTGGCAGAAGCTGGGGCTAACAGTGGAAGCTCACCCTATTCCCCGGATTCGAATCTGCGACCTTTCAATCAGCAAATTCAGCAGCTCAGTGGTTTGACCCATTGCGCCACTGAGGGCTCCATTGAGGAGATTACTATGAATTAATTGTGTGTGTTGTATTTGTGTGTGTGTGAAATGATATTTTCTGTACAATCATTCATATATTTCGCTTTTCTCCTAGTCCCAATGGTGGAATCCCCCTCTGTCAGGAACCCCTCCCTGGAACGCTTCAGGGGCTGCTCGTTCCCCCATTCCAATGAAATGATGAAAGTTTTCCACAAACGGTTTGGTCTGCATCACTTCCGGACAAACCAGCAGGAGGCCATCAACGCCGCTCTGCTAGGCGAAGACTGTTTCGTCTTGATGCCGACAGGTGAGAGATGGGGAAGTCACTTCGACAGGCTCTTGTTGTTCTTGTTGTTATGTTTTCTCTCCACGAGGAGACTTCTTACGCAACAGGCCCATCTCTGGGCTTTTGGCATCAGCTTCTGTTGTACAGCTTTTAGTGTTATACCATATATAGGTTAACTGTGAACTGCTTCGAGTCACCTACGGGCTGAGAGGGGTGGTCTAGAAATGTAGCAAATAAATAAATAAATAAATAAATAAATAAATAAATAAATAGCAGCCTCTTAGAGGTAGCACCATCAAACTGAAACTAAACTATGTAGCATGATTTTTTCCTATAAAATAATAAGTATCAATAATAATAATAATAATATAAAATCAAATATTAATAATAATATAAATTCATATAAAATAATAAGTATATAAACTAATAATTTTAACTATAATATTAGTAATAATACAACTACATATAAAATAATAAGTATATATAATAAATTAAAATATAATATTAATAATAATATAATTATATATAAACTACTAAGTTATAAAATAATAATTTAAAATATAATATTAATAATAACTCTATGTAACATGATTTTTGTTCCTGGGTTATAAATGTCATTATGTCCTGATTTGTTCTGTCATAGAAACATGGAAAAAAAGTTTATTAAAGTGCAAAAACTTTGCATCTCATAAGAGTTTTCCTGTAACACTATGAAACACAATTTTAGTTCCTGGCATAATTATCAGTGTCATTTCCTAATTGGTTCTTTCATAAAAACATGGGGAAAGTTTATTAATCTGCACAAACTTTGCATCCCAGAAGAGTCCTCCCATAACACTATGTAACACAATTTTAGTTCCTGGCTTATCAATGTCATTTCCTAATTGGTTCTATCATAAAACATGGGAAAAGTTGATTGTTTTTGCAGGAGGGACATCCTGCAGCACATTTTCTCTAGTTTTGTCAGTGAATACCTGATTGAGTTTCAACCAATTCCACATAGTTTGCGCCAGCCACAAAAATTAAGTTTCTAAAGTACATTAACTGCTTTCAAAGTAAGGACCACACAGTTAAATAGGAAATAATACTTTCAAACCAGGAACAGAACCTTTTTTCCAAACTTTGTTACTATTTTGTTAAATAGTGTTATCCTCAGAGTACATCAATCTGCAGGCATGAAAAAAGCTACAAATGGGAGGAAAAGAAAATTAGGCTAAATGTGTAATATTTATAATATTATAATGTAATACAATATAATACTAGTAATAATAATTCAATATTATAATTATAATTATATATTTAATTACATGTAATATTACTAATAATATTACAATATAATGGTATAGTGCAATATAGTAATATATACTGATATTGTACTTTTCTAATAATATAATATATTGTATGAAAATATATATTGTAAGCCGCTCTGAGTCCCCTTCGGGGTGAGAAGGGCGGCATATAAGCGCCGTAAATAAATAAATAAATAAATAAATAAATAATTGGTTTTCAAGCTGGCTAGAAACATCGAAGCTTTTGGACACCTTCTCTTTGCTTTGTCTCCACATTTATCTATTTTTAAAACCTTTATTGCTTGCTTTTTCTTTCTTTCTTAGGAGGCGGCAAGAGCTTATGCTACCAGCTGCCAGCCTGCATTTCGGTGGGAGTCACTATAGTAATTTCCCCCTTGCGTTCCCTGATCGTGGATCAAGTCCAGAAGCTGACATCGATGGATGTGAGTTTGAGTCCGTGGCTTTCTATTTTACCTTTTTAAAAAGTACATTAGAGTGCCAAGGTGAAAGGGTGGCAGACAAACGTGAGCATGGTGACCAGTACTGATTTTTCATTTTTCCTCTTTTTTTCCTTCTTTTTTCTCCTTCCCCCCACTTTTTATTTTCTTTTTTTTCTTTCCCTCCTTTTCCTTCCCCCCCCCTCTTTTTTGTTCTTTTCTTTTTTCTGCTTTTTGTCTCCTTTTTCTTTTCTTTCTCTTCTTTTTCTTCTCCCTCTTCCTTTTTCCTTCTTTCCCCCCTCTTTTTTCTTGTTTTTCTTCTTCTTTTCTTTTTTATCTTTTCCCTTTTTTCTCTTTTTCTTCTTTTCTTTTTTCATACTTTTTCTCCTTTTCTTTTTTCTTCTTATTTCCCCCTCTTTTTCCTTCTGTTCTCTTCTTTTTCTTTCCCCTCTTTTTTTCTTCTTTTTCTTTTCTTTTCCTTTTCTTTACATATTGCATGTGTGTGTGTAATTGAGTTCAGTATGTGTCATGAATAATAATAATTATTATTATTGTTATTTTATTTCTTAGCCGCTTCTCCTTGAGGCGGGTCACAGCATAATTAAATTTATTTATTTATATTCTGTCCACAGGGGATTCAGGGCTGATTTCAGTGCACATGGACATGGCAAACATTCAATGCCATTTAGACATACAACATATATAGACAGGCACAGAAGCAATTTAACATTCCAGCTTTTTCCGGCTTCATGAGGGTATGCTCGGTTTCGGCCACAGGGGGAGCTGCCGCTTCACTGTCCACTTATGACACCGGGTCCTTTGATTGAGTACTTCCTCATTCTTAGGCACGCTGCTGGAAGGTTTTATGGTGCTGTAAATTAGTTAAATTAGCTTCCCCTCATAAAGCGATACTTAAATGTCCTACTTGGCAGATGCAACTGTCTTTTTGGCTACATAGGTCAACAGCAAGCTAGACTATTAATGGTCGGGAGCTTACTCCAACCCGGCTGGCTTCAAACTCATGACCTCTCGGTCAGTAGTGATTTAATGCAGCTGGCTACTAACTATCTGCGCCACAGCCCGGTCTAATTAAAAACCATAAACATTGTAAATTCTATAAATATTATATTAAAAATGTAAATATTAAATGTATTTCTATAAATACATATTAAAGCATGTTTCTGTAAAATACGTATTAAAATCCATTTGTCTCTTGCACTCCAGTTGCTGTGAAAAGTTGAAGCTTTTCTTCTGTCGTAGATTCCTGCGACGTACCTGACAGGAGATAAGACTGATGCGGAAGCCTCCAGGATATACATGCAGCTCTCCAAGAAGGACCCAATCATCAAACTGCTCTACGTTACTCCAGAAAAGGTTTTGTATAAGGCTGCAAACAATTGGGAATATAAAGCCATCTGACCCCAAACCTGCTAAGGTTTAATCTCTTTAATTAAATCTCTATGGTAAACAGAAGACACAGCGAAAGTTTAGGAAACTCATACAGCCCAAAAGTTTCCGGGCTGTCTGGCCATGTTCCAGAAGCATTCTCTCTGGACGTTTCACCCACATCTATAGCAGGCATCCCCAGAGGTTGTGAGGTTTGTTAGAAACTAGGCAAGTGGGGTTTATATATCTGTGGAATAATGTCCAGGGTGGGAGAGAGGACTCCTGTTTTCTTGAGGCAAGTGTGAATGTTGCAATTGGCTACCTTGATTATCATTGAATGGCCTTGCAGCTTCAAAACTTGACTACTTCCTGCCTGGGGGAATCCTTTATTGGGAGGTGATAGCTGGCACAGATTGTTTCCTGTCTAGAATTCCTTTATTTTCTGAGTGTTTCCCTTTACTGTCCCGATTCTAGAGGGTTTTTTGTAATACTAGTAGTCAGGGTTTTTTTTTTTTCATTTTAATTATTTCCTCCTTTCTGTTGAAATTGTCGACATGCTTGTGGATATCAATGGCTTCTCTGTGTCATTTGACATGGTAACCTGACATCCCAACAAAGGATCCCCCCCCCAGGTAGCAATCAGCCAAGCTTTGGAGCTTCAAGGTGGCCAAATGCAACATTCACACTTGCCTCAAATGGACAAGAGCTCTTTCTCCCGCCCTGGACACTCCACAGATATATAAATCTCACTTGCCTAGTTTCCAACAGACCCCTCAACCTATGAAGATGCCTGCCATAGATGTGGGCAAAAAGTCAGGAGAGAATGCTTCTGGAACATGGCCATGAAAGCCTTCGACAACACATCTTCTCTTTGTTTCGACTCCTCTCTTTTTCTGGCTTTTCTGCTGCTTCATGGTGCATGCCACGCTTCTCCTAACTCTTAACGCCTTTGTGCATTTTCTCTAGGTCTGCTCAAGTGGGCGGCTGATGTCAACTCTGGAGAATCTGTACCAGCGGCAACTTTTGGCTCGTTTTGTGATTGACGAAGCCCACTGCGTCAGCCAGGTAGGGGAGCTCCTTTGTGCTTTTTGCAATGGGGATGTTGCCTTCCCAGCCGGACTCTCATTGTCATAACCATAAGTCTTTTAGTTATGACTGTCCTTTTTACTGGAAATGACCTTTCCTTTGTTTTGCTTCATTTGGCCAGTGGGGCCACGACTTCCGCCAAGACTACAAGCGGCTGAATATGCTCCGCAAGAAATTCGCCTCAGTCCCCATGATGGCTCTCACGGCCACTGCTAACCCCAGGGTGCAAAAGGACATCCTCTACCAGCTGGAGATGCTTAAGCCGCAGGTGTAAGTTGGCTCGAGGCCTAATGGCGTTTGGATGAAAATAAATCCCTCTTCGTAGGGAATTTTGGGAAGGGACTGATGATATAAATATGTTTTAAATTTCCTTATTTTTTCCCTTTCGATAGGTTTAGCATGAGCTTTAACAGACACAACTTGAAGTATGATGTTTTGCCCAAAAAGCCCAAAAGTGTTGCGTTGGACTGCTTGCAATGGATCAGAAAATATCATCCCTGTGAGTTGTTAATAATAATAATAATAATGATGATAATAATAATAATTGTCAATGTTGCAATCCCAGGTGACAGCAGGATCGAAGAGAAACAACTGGAAAAGCTGACACAATATGAGTATTTAAAGATCAAACTGCAAAGACTCTGGCACAAACCAGTCAAGGTGGTCCCAGTGGTGATCGGCACACTGGGTGCAGTGCCTAAAGACCTTGGCCTACACTTCAAAACAATCGCCGCTGACAAAATTACCACCTGCCAGCTGCAAAAGGCCACCTTATTGGCATCTGCACGCATTATTCACCGATACATCACACAGTCCTAAACACTTGGGAAGTGTCCGACGTATGATCCAATACAACAGCCAGCAGAGTCACCTTGTCTACTGTGGACTCATCTTGTTGTGTTTCTAATAATAATAATAATAATAATAATAATAATAATAATAATAATAATAATAGAACTGCAAAGACTCTGGCACAAGCCAGTAAAGCTGGTCCCAGTGGTGATTGGCACACTGGGTGCAGTGCCTAAAGACCTTGGCCTGCACTTAAAAGCAATCGGTGGTGACAAAATTACCATCTGTTAGCTGCAAAAGGCCACCTTACTCGGATCTGCACACATTAATTGCCGATACATCACAGAGTCCTAGACACTTGGGAAGTGTGCAACATGTGATCAAATACAAAAGCCAGTGATCTTGTTTGTTGTGTCCTAATCTTGTTATGTATCAAATAATAATAATAACAACAATAATAATTCTTATCTACCTCTCGATGCACAACATAGTTAAAACACATAATCAGAAAACATGGTGTAAAATACATATATTAAAACATTTATTTGAGAGAGATATATTACAATATACAGAACCAAGATAAAATCGAGTAAACATAGGACGTGAGTTTAAAATTCATTGGCATCTCCCTTTCTTCCTTTGGCAGTGTCTATCCTTGCAAACTCAGCTAACAAGTGAGTTCAGAACATTAGAAAATGCTTCACTTTTTGATATTGCTGAATAGAGAAATGGAAATTAGGGCCTTGAGAGTGTATTCTGTGCCACATTCATGATAAGAGGATGATGTAGTTGCTTTGGGGCCTTTTCTGGATTAGAAAATGATGCCCAAAAATGGGGTGCAAGGGTCCCAGGGGGCTCTAGCATTGCTCTTCAGAGGCTTCGCCAGGAGGCTGAAACCTGCCTCTGTTTTGCAGATGACTCTGGAATCATCTACTGCCTCTCACGCTACGAGTGCGACTCTATGGCCAGCAGCCTGCAGCAGGCTGGCCTGTCTGCACTCGCGTACCACGCCGGCCTCCCTGACGAAACCAGGGACATCGTGCAGCAGAAGTGGATCAATCAGGATGGATGCCAGGTACAATGGGTGGAACTGTATCAGAAATAGCAAATTAGTTGAAAATTAAAAGAAAGAGGTGCTGATATAGAGGTAAATATTGAAGACTGTAAACAAGAGAACGCAAGGACGAATGCGGAACTATAGTGTGTGCCTTCAAGTCCTCTTTGACTTGGGCTGACTCCATGTTAGAAAACTAACCTAAGTATACTCAAGTATAAGCCGACCCGAATATTAGCCAAGGCACCTAATTCTACAACAAAAAACTGGGAAACTTACTCCAGTATAAGCAGAGTCAATAAGTTTCCCAGTTCCCCACTTCCCACCCAAGTTTCCACACACTCATCAGGTGGAGGCTGCCATCTTGAGCGCCAAACCAGGCCTCCACCAACCAGGCCCATAGCTGCCGGGAACAGGCCAAGGTGCAGCCGCCTCTGGGCTCAGTGTCACCCCGTGGCAAGAGGAGGAGGGGAGGAAGGCACGCAAGGGTCTCCCTTGCTCTTTTGGCAGCTTGTGCAGGCCTCCTTCTCTTCTTGCTGTGGCGACAGGAGGATGGAGGGAGGTGCATGCGGGGTGAGAAGAGAAAGGGAAGCCCCTGCTGGCCTTTACATCACACATGGACCTTCCTTTTTTGCCATACGTATGGTCCTCCCTCTCTCTCCTCGTCGCAGAAGGAGGAAGGCAGCAGTGATGTGGAGGCTAGCATGGGGAGCACAGTTGAGCGCCGATCTGGGCTCCCACCAACCAGGCCCAGAGCCGGACTCGTGTATAAGCCAAAGGCTGAAAAACCCGACTTATACTAGAGTATATATGGCATCTGTCTTGACTCCACCAGGACTGTGGCGCAGCTGGCTGGGAGTCTGCTGCATTAAGATCACTACTGGCCGAAAGGTCATGAGTTCGAAGCCAGCCCGGATGGGAGTGAGCTCCCAACCAAAATTGTTTTTGGGGTTTTTTGGGAGGGTTTTTTTTCGTGTCAGGAGCAACCTGAGAAACTGCAAGTCGCTTCTGTTGTGAGAGAACTGGCCGTCTGCAAGGACGTTGCCCAGCGGACGCCTTGATGATTTGATTTTTTATCATCCTTGTGGGAGGCTTCTCTCATGTCCTTAAATGAGGAGCTGGAGCTGATAGAGGGAGCTCATCCGCCTCTCCCCGGATTCGAACGTGCGACCTGTCAGTCTTCAGTCCTGCCAGCACAGGGGTTTGACCCACTGCGCCACCGGCAGCTCAAAATTGTGTAGCTTGTTGTCGACCTTTGCAGCCCAAAAGACAGTTGTATCTGTCAAGTAGGAAATTTAGGTACCACTTATGTGGGGAGGCAACTTTAACTAATTTATAAGGGCATAAAAAATCTCCTGGAAGTATGCAAAGAATGAGGAAAGTACTTCATCAGTGTCACTAACGGACGATGAAGCGACAGCTCCCCTGGTGGCCAGAAGCTGGAATGTTAAATTGCCTCTGACTGTCTATATATGTTGTGTGTCTATGGCATTGAATATTTGCCATGTATATGTACATTGTAATTCACCCTGGGTCCCCTGCGGGGTGAGAAGGGCGAAATATAAATACTGCAAATAAATAAATAAGTCTCATGCGCCATCAAATCTAATGCGCATCTCCATTCTCAAAACCCTGAAACCAAAGAAAAAAGGATTTGCTGATGAATGTAATTCGCAGCAGCAAAAGGTGCCCTTTTTTAATATGGCCATTAGAGTTTCTGCCTGCTTAGAATTCTTTAAAAACAATTGTATTGGAGTACCAAAGCTTTCAGCAATGGAAAAAAACCTTGAGATGCATCCTTCACAGAATGAATCACTTTCACAGCCTTGGTTCCACGTTATGGAATCATGGGGATTGTAGTTTTACAAGGCCTTGAGCCTTCTCTGCCAAATAATGTGGACAGATCACTGAACTACAGATCCCACAGTGGCATGGCCATTAAATGAAAGATGATGTCCCTCAAATAGGAGCTCCTTGTGTTCCTGAAGCAGCTTCCCCTTTTGCTTTGGCTCAGCACTAAGATGACCGTATGATGCAAATCTAATATGTATCCTAATTTTGGCAAGGTGATTTAGTCATAAAAAGTGTTAGATTTGAGTAAATACAGTAATTATTTTGTTTTGTTTTTTGGGCCCTAGCTCCAACATTGCGACTTTTTACGTGTTTCCGTTCCGTTCCAGATCATATGTGCTACCATCGCTTTTGGCATGGGGATCGACAAGCCCGATGTGCGCTTCGTGATCCATGCCTCCCTCCCCAAATCCATTGAGGGCTACTACCAGGAGTCAGGAAGAGCCGGGCGCGATGGAGAAATGTCCCACTGCCTGCTCTTCTACAGCTACAGTGACGTTACTCGCTTGCGGCGCCTCATCCTGAGTAAGCAGTGCCTGCTTCCGCCTCTGATCCTGGCAGGGGAATTCCAGACAAGAATCAATTAGGGCCAGCTAACACCTCCCATCAAAGTATTCCCCCAGACAGGAAATAGCCAGGCTTTGAAGCTGCAAGGCCATTCAATGCTAATCAAGGTGGCCATTTGCAACATTCACACTTGCCTCAAGCAGACAAGAGTTTTTTTTCACCCATCCTGGACATTGTTCCACAGATCTATAAACCTCACTTGCCTAGTTTCCAACTGACCCAGTCTGAGGATGCCTGCCATAGATGCAGATGAAACATCAGGAGAAAATGCTTCTGGAACATGATCATACAGCCGAGAAAACTTGCAGCAACCCAAAAATAAAATAAATCAGTTAAAACCAATTAAAAGTCTATTCATAACTAAAAGCACAGCGGCTTTCCTTTGGCGCCTTCCTCTTTTACACATAGATAAGCTGAAAATGTCTCTGCTGCCTTCTTATATCTATGAGGCCTTTTGATAAATCTCCCTCTTTCTCCTTCAGTGGAAAAGGACGGCAACAGCCACACACGGCAGACGCACTTCAACAACCTCTACAGCATGGTCCATTACTGTGAGAATGTGGTGGAGTGCCGGAGGATACAACTTCTGGCCTACTTTGGGGAAACAGGCTTTAATTCTAAATTTTGCAAGGAATATCCTGACGTCAGTTGTGACAACTGCCGTAAGGTGCAGGTAAGTATGTTCTGCTCAATTGAGTGGCAGTTTCATTGTATTTCACCTGGGCTGGGACAGTTAGGAGGCTGAAGAAACTAAGCACAATTTGCAGATGATGACTTTCGGGATATTCTCTGGTGTCTTTTTTAATTGGAAATCATTCCTTAATAACACTATGGAACAACATTTGCCAAAAATTTTGTTCCTGATTTGAAAGTAGTATTCCTTTTTAATTGTGTGGCCCTTACTTTGAAAGTAGTTGTTCTACTCCGGAAACTTTGTTTTTGTGGTCGCCACAAACTGGGTAGGATTGTTTGAGACTCAATGATGAGATATCCATTGAAATACTTGAACACAAGGTGCTTCAAAATGTTCCTTCTGCAAAAAAAATAAAATAAAAAAAAAACATTTGTGCAGTTTAATAAACTTTTTCCATGTGTTTATGATACATCCAAGTAGGAAATAGAGGCATTTATAACCCAGGAACAAAATTGTGTTATGTAGTGTAATGCCTTCAGATAATATAATAGGCATGGGCAAACATTTTTGCCTTGGGGCTGGGCTGGGAGGGGATGTAAGATTTCTCAGTTCCAGCTTGTGTTGCTTTGGATCAGTCTTCTTTGTAAAAACACACAGAGATGCACAAGGGCTGAAGATACCAAATGTCTTTATTGTTCGGAATACAAGAGTCTCGCACTACTGCCTGTCTATATAGGCCTAGCTACAATATCATAAATCACTAAGCGTCCTGGTGCCTGGAGGTAGCCCCTTTCCACATTCCAGAGCCCACTTTCCCCCCACCTTAGGGCAATTGCCTTTTATGGCTTGTTCATATGCCCTATCCTCCCTTTTGGTCCATGGGGCCATGTGTTCTGTCAGAAAGGCGGATAGTTGGATGGCATGAGATAGAGATAATGACATGGAGAACCGTTTGCATGCTGGGCAAGGTGGCCCGCAAGGGGCAGGGGCAGGAGGGGGCAGAGTAGGGCCTGGGTCATTCTCAGGTTGTACTCCCAGCATAAGAATGGGACTGCTTGCCCCATTCTTACGCCAGGAGGAAGGTGGGACATGCAGCGACTGCCCTGATCTTTGGGCTGTCCTCTTGGAATTATGCCAGGAGGAGGGTGAGACAGTGTTTCAGAAGGCTCTCAGCCGCCACGTGCCTTCCTTCAGCTGTGCTCCTGGCATAAGGATGGGGCTGCTTGCGCCATCCTTATGCCGGGAGGAGGGCGAGACACGCAACAGCTGAAAGTCCTCTCAGCTGCTGCGTGCCTTCCTCCTCTGTCTTTCTGGCATAAGTACATGGTAGGCCACTGTGTCCTTTTGCCAAGAGAGCAGGAAAAATGAGAAGGGCCTAAGGTAAGCCCCCGGGCCTTAATTTGCCCATGCCTGTTATATAAAATGTCATCATTGGTGTGCTCGTATCAAATTACAGAATGAAGTTTTGGTTTGAAAGCTAATATCCAGAAGGAAACTATGGCATTGCAAATTTCCCTATTGATATTGTTTTTAGGATTATAATATGAAGAACGTGACCGAAGAAGTGAAAAGCATTGTTCGGTTTGTCCAGGAGCATTGTGGCGGAAAGGGAAGAAGAAATGGAGGGAGGTACACACTCAATATGATGATCGACATTTTCTTGGGTAGCCCCCCCCCCCCCCCGCCCAAAAAAACCCCTTCAGTATGTACTGTTGGTCACCAGGATTCTGTGTCCCAAGTTTGGTCCAGACTCATCATTAGTGGGGTTCAGAGTGCTCTCTGGATGCAAAGTGAACTACAATTCCCACCTGGGTTGGTCAATCCCCTCACAAACCCTTCCAGTATGCTCTGTTGGTCCTGGGGGTTCTGTGTACCAAGTTTGACCCAGATCTGTCATTGGTGGGGGTCACAGTGGTTTCTGAAAGTGAGAGCCAATAGAAAAGCTGTTGCAAACATATTCCACCTTCCACATACATTAATTCACTTTTATCATATCCATAGATAGATAGATAGATTAATATTCTGAAGGCCTGCCAGGGAGGTTTTGGCATAGAAAGGAGAAACCATCCTGGATGATGTATTTCATTTTGGAACAGGTACCAAAAGCGCCAAAATCAAGACTGGCATCTATGCCAAAGGAGCAGCCTACTCACGCCACAATGCGGAGCGGCTCTTTCGGAAGCTGGTATTGGATAAGATTTTGGACGAAGAGCTGTATATCACGGCAAACGACCAAGCCGTGGCCTATGTACACACAGGAGAAAGGGCCCACGAGGTGCTCAGCGGCTGCCTGCTGGTGAGTAGCAGCTCCAGCCTTCCATTTGTTATGATTATGATTATGATTATTTCCAAAGTGTAGACTTTATAATATAACTATTGGTTTATAAAGCCACTCATTAACAGCAGTCATTTTACACCTTCTGATAATAGTAAAAGACAAGTCAAGTTATCAAATTCTGCAAAGTTTAGTAGTTTGGTCAGCCATTCGCTTACAGATGGAATAATACTTTCTTTCTATTGTCTGGCATAAACTATTTGGGCAGCTGTTACAGCATCATTAGACATCATGACTAGAGCTGATGGGAGTTGGGATGTAGTTACATCTGGAAGGCTGCCGCTTGTTCTGTTTTGTCAGGAGAATGGGGTTTGGATTTAAATGCAAGGCTTGTGGATATAATGTCTAAAATGAACTCTAACCTTCCTATAGTGTCAGAGCCACAAAGTGGTTGGGTTACAATTTCCATCATTCTCAATATGCCTGATGGAAAACACTATGCAATGGAATTTGGAAAAAAATCCTGTTCCTGGTTTGAAAGTGTTATTTCCTGTTTAATTGTGCGGTCCTTATTTTAACCATCAAGTTTGCAGATGCACCAAATTGGGAGGGATAGCTAATATTCCAGAAGACAGGAGCAGAATTCAGAATGAACTTAGCAGATTAGAGAGATGATTGGCCAAAACTAACAAAACTAACAGCAACAAATGCAAGAGACTCCACTTAGGTAAGAAAAACAAAATGCAGAGACAGAATGGGGGACGATGCCTGGCTGACAGCAGTATGTGGGAAAAAAGATCTTGGAGTCCTTGTGGGGAGGAAGGTGAACATGAGCTAACAATGTGATGCAGCAGCTTAAAAAGCCAATGGGATTTTGGCCTGCATCACTAGATCCAGGGAAGTCATGCTACCGTTCTATTCTGCCTTGGTCAGACCACACCTGGAATCATACTTTGTCCCTTACTGGGCACTGCAACATAAGGGAGATATTGACTGGAATGTGTCCAGAGGAGGGTGACTCAAATGATCAAGGGTCAGGAGAACAAGCCCTATGAGGAGCTGCTTAAAGAGCTGGGAATGTTTAGCCTAAAGAAGAGAAGGCTGAGAAGAGACAAGATCAAGATGTGAGGGGAAGTCATAGGGAAGAGAGAGCAGGCTTATTTTCTGCTGCCCTGAAGACTTTAATTCAATGGAACAAGTGGTTTCAAACTACAGGAAAGGTGAATCCACCTGAACATGAGGAAGAACTTCCTAACGGTGAGAGCTGTTCAGCAGTGGAATTCTCTGCCCTGGAGTGTGGTGGAGGCTCCTTCTTTGGAGGCTTTGAAACAGAGGCTGGATGGCCATCTGTCAGGGGGGCTTTGAATGCGACTTTCTGGATGGCCCATGCTATCTCTTCCAACTCTATGATTCTATAATTCTATGAAAGTAGTTATTTTCCAGAAACTTATTTTTTATAGCTGCCACAACCTAGGTTGAATTAGTTGAGACTCGATGATGAGATATTCATTGAAAAACTATCACAAAATGTGCTATAGCATGATGTCCCTCCCACAAAAACAAGTTTTTTAAAGTTTAATAAACTTTTCCCATGTTTTTAGGATAGAACCAATTAGGAAATGGCATTGACAAACCCAGGAACAAAAATCATAGTGTTACATAGTGTCATGAAAAGTGATGAGAGTTCTCATTCAATCCTGTTTGGAGATCCAAACTTGGTCACTAAACTAAAGAGCACCAACCACTATGTAAAATAGTAACACTATGTCATTCCACTTGTTGTTCTTCCTCCAGGTTGAGTTCTGCGAGACAGAAAGTGCCAGCAGCCTCCGGAAGCACAGGGCGTCTGTCATCAAGGTCTCCCAGCGGGAGGAGATGGCCAAGGAGTGCCTCTCGGAACTCACTGCTGTCTGCAAAAACCTGGGCAAAGTGTTCAGCGTTCACTACTTCAACATTTTTAACACAGCCACACTGAAACGAATAGCAGGTGAGGGGGGCTCTTGTGGGGAAATGATAATAGAATCCTAGAGTTGGAAGAGACCCCCAAAGGACATCCAGTCCCTTCTTTCTGCCATGCAGGAAAAGCACCATGAAAGCACTCCCGACAGATGGCCACCCAGCCCCTGTAGTAATATGAAGAGGGAGCATTCTGTATACTGTAGCAAAACAACAACCTTTTCTTTCTCTTTCTTTTTTCCCTTTTATTTACACATAATAAATAATTTACACAAATTATTTTCAACTAACACTAATACAAAACTTAAAATGAGTCAGTTAAACAATTGGTCATATATTACTATAGATTTAACTCCCTAGGTGCACCCACAACCCATGGGACATGTATTCATCCTTAATATTATTGATTCTTATACTGACCTCTTCTCCAAAAGGCTAATACGGTATATGTTGATTTGGTTTTATTCCTTTTTCTTTGACAAGTACATATTCTAAGAATTTACCTGATGTTGCCTTGAGTCCCCATGGGGAGAAAGGTGGGGTATAAATAAAGTTCATAGTAATAATAATAATAATAATAATAATAATAATAATAATAGCCTCAAAACAATTAATTTTGTTAATTCCTTTTTGCATTTTATTTCACACTAACCGTCCCCTGCCACGCGTTGCTGTGGCCCAATCTGGTGATGTGGAAAATAAAGTAAAGAGAAAGTGTTGGTTTCTAATATATGTAATTTCTTTATGCTTGTGTTGATGTCTGAGATTGTCTGGTTGGCCTACTTTGGAACATGCAACATATAATTGTCCTTGTTTAGGAGTCCCTTTCACATCTATCATACTATGTGTGTGCATGTGTGTATGAATAATATCTATCTATATCTATGGCTGGATGGCTCTTTGTCAGGAGGGCTTTGATTATGTTTTCTTGCCCTGATGAAGGGAGTTGGACTGGATGGCCTTAAGTATTTTCTGTTGGTCATGGGGGTTCTGTGTGGGAAGTTTGCCCCGATTCTGTCATTGGTGAAGTTCAGTATGCTCTTTGATTGTAGGTGAACTATAAACCCCAGCAACTACAACTCCCAAATGTCAAGGTCTATTTTCCCCAAACGCCATCTGTGTTCATATTTGGGAATATGGAATTTTTGTGCCAAATTTGGTCCAGATCCATCATTGTTTGAGTCCAAAGTGCTCTCTGGATATAGGTGAACTACAACTCCCAAACTCAAGGTCAATGCCCACCAAACCCTTCTAGTGTGTTCTGTTGGTCATGGAATTGTCCCAAGATTGGTTCAGTTCCATCATGGGTGGAGTTCAGAATGCTTTTTGATTGTAGATGTACTATAAATCCCAGCAACTACAACTCTCAAATGACAAAATCAATTTTTTGAGTGATGGTCACTCATTGTGTTGTCTTGTGTTCAAATTTGGTGTCAATTCGTCCAGTGTTTTTGAGTTCTCTTAATCCCACAAACGAACATTACATTTTTATTTATATAGATGTCAGACTCATTCAAGAGAAATATATTGCTTGTGTACCAAGAACACTGCAAGCAGGAGGATACAGTATAATTAAAAATACAATGTTATACCATCATGTTGCGGCAACACCTTGACATTTCTTGGGCTCTGTTCTTCCAATGGCTGCTGATCTGTTTACAGGCCCAGTTCAGTGTTGTTTGTGCTGTATATACAATTCTATGCCACTCACAAACCCATTTACTGGAGGGCCATACCTTCCCTGTGTTGTTAATACCTGTTTTCGTCACGCATGCGTCGCCTCCTTTTAAACAGCTCTCATTTTTGTCTGCAGAGACGTTATCTTCAGACCCAGAAGTCTTGCTCCAGATCGATGGCGTCACAGAAGACAAGCTGGAAAAGTACGGAGCAGAAATAATTGAAGTGATGCGAAAGTATTCTGACAAAACATTGCCAGGTGATGTGCAACTTCAGTTCCATCTTTAAGTACTCACATGTATTAAAATGCACAGGTTTAACTTTTTTTCAGATGTTAGTTTACCTAGATTGTCAGAAATTTGCAGAAGCCAAGTGGGGAACCTCTTAGATGAAATGGTCAGCGTCACTTGTGGCAGTGTGATGTCACACAAGCCATGCAAATCCATACTTCGGTCACGTTTGTGGATTCGAATCCCCCCAAATGGGCATGAGTTTTGGGCATAGATGGGACTTGCATTCCAAGGGGACATTTTAAAGGGCTGCTCAGATCCCACCGAAATATATATTATGCAGGCTATCCAGAATATTTTATTAAAAGGGTTCCTTAGACTTTCTTCCCTTTTGTAGAAATTGTGTTTCCTGTACTAAGAGAAAAGGGCTGTACGGTTTCTGTATGCGCCTCCCAAGAACCTTGAACTCTGGATGGCGTGTTTTTAACTTTGAATTTATTTTAAATATGTTGTAATTTTAAACTATTTTAAGGTGAATTTGTTGTTTTGAGGCATTATGTATGTGCCATTGTAAGCCGCCTTGAGTCCCCATGCTGGGGTAGAGAAAGGCAGGGTATAAATATGGCAAATAAATAAATACATACATAATTGAACACTAAAGGGTTTGAGGTCTGTCTCCACAGAAGAATGCCAGCCTCCCCTAGCCACAGATTCTGGGAGGAGGAATTACTGTGCTGAAGAGGCTGAAGAAGAGATAGAGGTAACGTCCGGCTACTTCCAGAGCAAACCCAACCGGGGAAAGAAGCGGAAAAAGCCACAGTTCTTCCGAGAGTCGAAAAGGAAGAAGCCTGGGCCTGGAAGACACCAGCCACATGCAAAGGGGTGAGTTGTTTTTGCTTCTTAAAGGCTGTATCCCTGGTTTCACCTCCCACAGCAGAGGTAGCTAAGCTTCCTTTATGTCATTACTAGCATACTGTATATATTCAAGTATAAGCTGACCCGAATATAAGCTGAGGCACCTCATTTTCCCACAAAAAACTGTGAAAATGTATTGACTCGAGTATAAGCAGAGGGTGAGAAATGCAGCATCTAGTGGTCAATTTCAAAATAAAAATAGATCCTAATAAAATGATCTTAATTGAGGCGTCAGTAGGTGAGATATTTTTGAATATTTACATAAAACTGCAATTTAAGATAAGACTGTCCAACTCTGATTAAACCTTCTTCAATGTAAATGTGCTTACGTATCCTTCCGATAAGAATAAAGAGAGTAAAATAATAAATGTAATAATATTAATAGAGTAAAATAATAAATGTAATAAAAAGAATAATAGTAAAATAGTTAATGTAATGTAATGTACATTTACTTAAATGTAAATAAATTTACATTTATTACTAAATATAAATAGTAATAATAACAGAGTCAAATAATAAATAATCTTGACTCAAGTATAAGCCGGGGGGGGGGGGGTTCAGCGTTAAAAAAGGGCTGAAAAAACTCGGCTTATATTTAGTATATACACAGTATCTACTTGGCATTGCCCAGGTATCAAAGGGGTCTCTGCCTGCCGGCTTTCATCCCTTTATCGTTCCCTCCCCTCATACCTTCTCCACTTTCCTTTATTATCCTTTCCTCTCTTCCTCTTGCTTTCTTCCCCTCTCTCTTCTTTTTCTCTTTCTATTCTTCCCTTTCTCCCATCTCCAGCTTTGAGAGGGCCTCACAATGTCTCCACGGCAACATATGGCTCCCTTTGTGTCTCTTTGTTTTCTTCCTCTCCAACACAGGTCACTTTTATTTCCCAGTGACATTGCAGAGGGCCACTTTGCTGAGCAACAGTCAATCCAGTGACATCACGAAAGGCCATGTAGCAACAGGCCTTTGTAGTGTCAACAAACATTTATATATATGATAGATTGATGGATAGATAGATAGAAAGATCAGGTATGGGCACATTTCGGTCCTCCCTCCAGGTGTTTGAAGTCCAAAACACCTGGAAGGAGGGCTAAAGTTTGCTCATGCCTGTGATAGATGATAGATAGTTAGTGCTGGGTGGGCTGGGGAGAGCATGGAGTTGCTTTAATGTTAAGCAGTTGCATGCACCGACTGTGATGCTAACCTGCACACGTCACATCTATCAGACCATTTGGGATAATAGGCTTGTGTGTAAGGCTGAGCGCCTAAATGAAACGAGCCAGAAATGCTCACCCAGAAGAGGAGGCGGTAGTGAGACGGGAGAAGCATAATGAGCTGTCTGTCTGTACGACAGATTCCCACTTTATCAAGTTTATGAATTAATGTTTAGTGAAAATGTAGAGCACGTCAAGAGCTCAGGATTCTTTGGTAGGCGTTTAATAATATCCCGTTGAGCGGGTGACATTGTGTTTCCCTTTCTTTGGTTTCTTAGGAATTGTAACGGCTCCAAAAAGGCACCGTCCGGCCCTTCTTTGAACGCCTCTCCCGTCAGACCAGGAAGCGGAAGAAGACCTGGATTCATGGCATTGCCGAAGCCCCAAAGCCGGCAGTACCTGAAGCCTTCTTACTCACTCCTCTAAGGCTCTTGCTGCACTTGACCATTTTCCACGGACATGGAGTGCCAATTTTGTTTCATCATGAATGTATATGTTACCCATTAATGTTTTAATAAAGACCTTTGGACTGTACTGTAGGAGGGGGTGAAGAATAAGCATTGGCACTATTCTTTTCAGCCCTTTTTCTCTGCCTTTTCGTCCTGCCAATCCTCGCAGAGCAAATGTGGATAAACGCCGCGTTGCTGCCTTTTGTGTCAGTAATGAGAACACGAGTCCTGTCACGGCGCGTTAAGAATACACATGTTACCTGAAGTGCCGAGCAAACGGAATTCATTTAAACATTAATCGGCGGGAATATCAAAGCGGGCAGGTGACAGGCTGTGGGGCACCGTTGGAAGAGGCGGCTGCCATTTCAGAACTCTAAACCAGAATCTATATATGTGTGTGTGTGCGTAGGCAGTCCCCAATTTACAAACATCCCACTTGCAAATGACTCTTTGAGTTAACAATGGGGCTGACACAACAGGAAGTGAGAGGAATCCACCTTTTTGAAGGGAAATCCACTCTTGGAAGAGTTATTATTATGGGGAAAAGGGGTCTCCACTGAAGCTTTCTTTCAAATCCTTGTTTCTACAATAAGCTGGGCTTTAGCACCAGCTGCAGCAAATCTTGCCCACCAAAAGGTTGACAGTTCGAAGCCCAGGTCAGGGTGAGCTCCTGCCATTTAGGCCAGCTTCTGCCTACCTAGCAGTCTCAAAAACAGCAATATGAGTAGATAAATAGGTACCACTTAAGCGGGGAGGTATTTAAGGCACCCATAGGAAATGCAAGAAAAATGCCGGCAATTCAATCAAGAAGGAAGTTTATGCACAAAGCTCTTCGGCAGGGAAAGTGGAGCAAAAGTGCCTCCTGTGGCCGGAACCGAGCACAGCTTCCAAGATGCTGAAGATGGGAAAGCCTTTATTTACCTCTATCTATGAACAATTGTCTGAATTTTCAATATATAACAACATTGAATGTTTGCTGTTTATGTGTTCTGTGATCCGCTCTGAGTCCCCACAACAAGCCAAATTTTCCAAAATCCAATTATTACAGGGACAGAAAGTGAGGTGGAATCTCCTGAATAGAGGCACTGAGACCATAACAGACTCCAGACTCCACAGGGATGTTAACAATTAAATTAATTAAACCATGAATATAATAATTTTTTTTGTGTCAGATACACTCATAAAATACCCTTCCCAAAAAAGTAACTTTTGCCACAGAGTGTGGAAAACACTAGAAGGGGCAGATTTTACTTGAGCCAAATTCAAGGTTATGACCTATAAAGCCCTAAACCGTTCAGGCCCCGCCTATCTTCGCGATCGCATCTCCCTCTATGAACCGGCGCGAACTTTAAGATCTTCCGGGGAGGTGGGGACGAGAGAGAGGGCTTTCTCGGTGGTGGCCCCCCACCTCTGGACCACGCTTCCTGGAGAAATAAGACAGGCCCCATCCCTCCCTCCCTTTCGTAAGAGCCTTTGAGAACGACTAGTTCTAGCTCTGCCCCAGATATTGTAGAAATTGGCCATATCTTTTTCTACCAATTACCCAGGTCACTTTCTTCTATATGGCCCTGGAAATGTACAGCCTAATTTCCTGGGCCCTCTAAAATTGCATTAACCCGTCCCAGCCTTTTAAACTGCCTTGAACAGGCAGGATTATTTTAAACATATGTGCTATTGTGTTTTTTTAATGCTTATTTTGTCTTGTTAACTTTATGTTCATACTGTTCTCTGTGTATGTATTCATTATGTCACTTGGAAACCGCTCTGAGTCCCCTTGTGGAGATAGAGCGGTGTATAAATAAAGTTTAGTTGTTGTTGTTGGGTTGTTGTAGGTTTTTCCGGGTTATATGGCCATGTTCTAGAGGCATTCTCTCCTGACGTTTCGCCTGCATCTATGGCAAGCATCCTCGGAGGTAGTGAGGTCTGTTGGATGTAGGAAAAAGGGTTTATATATCTGTGGAATGACCAGGGTGAGACAAAGGACTCTTCTCTGCTGGAGCTAGGTGTGAATGTTTCAACTGACCACCTTGATTAGCATACAATGGCCTGACTGCGCCCAAACTTTTGTTGAGAGGTAATTAGATGTCTCTGTCTGCTTCCTCTCTGTTGTTGTGCTGTTGCAATTTTAGAGTTTTTTTTTAATACTGGTAGCCAGATTTTGTTCATGGTTTCCTCCTTTCTGTTTAAATTGTTCACATTTGTCCACTTTTGTCTTAACAAAAGTTTGCCCCAGGTACAGTCAGGACATTGTATGCTAATCAAGGTTTCCTCAACAGAAAGGAGGAATTTCAACAAAAAGGAGGAAACCATGAAAATGAACAAAATCTGGCTACCAGTATTAAAAAACTCTTAAAATTACAACAGCACAACAACAGAGAGGCAACAAACAAGGACATCTAATCACCTCTCAACAAAAGTTTGGTCTAGGCACTTTTTTTTTTGTCGTGTCAGGAGTGACTTCTGGTGTGAGAGAATTGGCCATCTCCAAGGACGTTGCCCAGGGGACACCTGGATGATTCGATGTTTTATCATCCTTGTGGGAGGCTTCTCTCATGTCCCCGCATGAGGAGCTGGAGCTGGTAGAGGGAGCTCATCCGCCTTTCCCCGGATTCGAACCTGCGACCTGTCGGTCTTCAGTCCTGCCAGCACAGGGGTTTAACCCACTGCGCCACTAGGCACTGTCAAGCCATTATATGCTAATCGAGTTGGTCAGTTGAAACATTCACACCTAGCTCCAGCAGACAAGAGTCCTTTGTCCTACCCTGGTCAGTCCACAGATCTATAAACCCTTTTTCCTAGTTCCATTAGACCTCACTACCTCTGAGGATGCTTACCATAGATGCAGGCGAAACGTCAGGAGAGAATACCTCTAGAACATGGACATATAGTCCGAAAAAACCTACAACAAACCAGTTGTTGTTGTTGTTTCATTTTTTGGACTTCATCTCCCAGAATCCTTCGTCATTGGCCAAAGCGGCTGAGGCTTCTGGGAGCTGAAGTCCAAGAAAGGAGGCGGAGCCATGATGGTAGCCTTTCCCGCTTTTTTCCCAGGCCCCTCCCACCACGCTTTCTGGCTCCGCCCACCACACAGGAAGAGAGAAGGAGGCAGAAGGCGGGAAGCCGTGAGAGAGGAGAGACGGCATTATGGAAGCTGCGAAGTCGTCGCCTGAGTCCAAGGAAGTCAAGGTACCGTGTTTACCTCAGGGATATCCACTCAGGGGGAGGCCTACCCCGCAGGGCGGTTGTGAGGAGAAAAGTTGAGCTTTTTGAAGGGGAATTAGGCCTCGAAAACGGAGCCAGGCTCATATTGGGGCCTCCTCAGACCACAGGCCCCAAACCTCTCCCAAACAGTCGCTTTCCAACAATGTGTGCCTCCTTTAATGGGTTAATACAGGTTGTTTTGCAAGTAACTATGGCCCATGTCTTTCAAACTTCAGCCAGTTACTTTGTGGACGACCTTGCAGAACTGTTATTATTATTAGTCCTTTTTTTAAAAAAAAAACAACATTTTTATTGTTTACATATTGTTTATATAAAGAGATTCTTAACTATACTTTCTATCTTGCTGAACAGATGTTATGGTGGTTGCTGTTATTACTTTTATTATTGCTGTTATTTACTGTTCTAGTTTTAGAGTTTTTTTGTAATCCTGATAGCCAGATTTTGTTCATTTTCATGTTTCCTCGTTTCTATTGACATTGTCCACATGTTTGTGTATTTCAATGGCATCTCTGTATTATCTGACATGGTGGTTGTTAGAATGGTCCAGCATTTCTGTGTTCCCAAAAAATATACAATGTCTAGGTTGGTTCATCAGGTGCTCTGCTATGGCTGACTTCTCTGGTTGAATTAGTGCCTTAATAATAATAATAATCATCATCATCATCATCATCATCATCCTTTATTTGTACCTCACTACCATCTCCCGCAGGACTCAGTGCGGCTTACAAGAGGCCTCAGTGGCGCAGTGGGTTAAACCCCTGTGCCGGCAGGATTGAAGACCGACAGGCCGCAGGTTCGAATCCGGGGAGAAGCGGATGAGCTCCCTCTATCAGTTCATGCTCCTTGATTCGTGTTTGGGCAGTGCTGCATTTGAGACAACATTCACACTTGCCTCAAGCAGAGAAGAGTTCTTTCTCCCACCCTAGACATTATTCCACAGATATAGAAACCCCAAGAGGCCAAGATGAAGTACTTTGGCCACATCATGAGAAGAAAGGAAAGCTTAGAGAAGACAATGATGCTGGGGAAAATGGAATGAAAAAGGAAGAGGGGCCGACCAAGGGCAAGATGGATGGATGGCATCCTTGAAGTGACTGGATTGACCTTGAAGGAGCTGGGGGTGGTGACGGCCAACAGGGACCTCTGGCGTGGGCTGGTCCATGAGGTCACCTAGAGAAGACAATGATGCTGGGGGAAATAGAAGGAAAAAGGAGAGGGGCCAACCAAGGGCAAGATGGATGAAGTGACTGGATTGACCTTGAAGGAGCTGGGGGTGGTGACGGCCAACAGGGAGCTCTGGCATGGGCTGGTCCATGAAGTCACGAAGAGTCAGAAACGACTGAACCAATGAACAACAACAATAGAAACCCCACTTGCCTGGTTTCCAACAGACCTCTGAGGATGCCTGCAATCAATGTGGGTGAAACATCAGGAGAGAATGCTTCTGGAACATGGCCAGGCAGCCTGGAAAACTAACAGCAACCCAGTGATTCCACCCATGGAAGCCTTCGACAACACAATAACAATAATAATATGCTGCTGAGCTGATGTTATTTATTTATTTATTTCTGGCATTTGTATCCGCAAAGAGACTCAGGGCGGCTAACAAACTGGCACCCCATGGTGCCCACAACCAAAACATAAATATACAATTTAAATAACAATATAGCAATAAAACAGTATAAAGACAATCAAACAGTCAACAGTCGCTGATTTAAGTCATTGTCCAAGAAGCAGTCAGTCAGTTCCACAAAAGCCGTCACGTCAGGAGGTCAACCTAATCTACAAAGGCCTGACTCCATAGCAAGGATTTCACTTGTTTCTGAAAGGTCAAGAGGGATGTAGCAGATCTAATTTCACTTGAGAGGGAGTTCCACAGCCGAGGGTCCGCCACAGAAAAGCTCCTGTCTCTTGTCCCCACCAAACACGATTGTGATGATGGGGGGGGGGACAACAAGCAGGGTCTCCCCAGATGATCTCAGAGCCCTAGGTGGATGTTGTGGATAATATTATTCTTACTATTATTATTCTTTATATCCTGCTGGGCTATTGTTGTTGCTATTATTATTATTATTATTATTATTATTATTATTATTATTATTATTATTATTCCTTTCATGCTTTTGGGCTGGTGCTGTTGTGGTTGCTGTTATTACTGTTATTCTTCTACTTTATATGCTGTTGTGCTGGTGTTATTGTTATTGCTACTGTTGTTAAATATTCTTGTTTTTAATATTCTGCTTTCCCCTTTAAAGGAGTTTTTGATTTCTACTAGTTTCCAAATCACTTTCTGATGGTCAGTTCTTGGGTGTAGGTTGATTTAATAATAAATAATAATAAACTTTATTTGTACCCTGCCACCATCTCCCAGAGGGACTCAGGTCAGCTCGCAAAGCACTAAAAGGTGCAACCACACAAAATACAGAAAGTGTATTAGTGCTTCTTCTGAGGTTGGACTAGTAGCCTCTTAGCTTCCTCACCTTATACATCATAAAGGTTTTGAAGTTACATCAGTTAAGGCTTTGTTTGTATGAATGGCAGCATTGGGTATATTTTTGGGGGACCAAGTCCTGTTGTGCATTTATAACAGGAGTTAGAGATTGCAGGCTTTGGCCTCATTTATATTGTCATATAATGCAGTTTCAAAACGCATTGTATAATTTTAATGGTATACTCTGCTTTTATGTTAAGCCACTTTGAATCTCCTGTGGGAAAGATAAAGTGGGGCATAAATAAATGTAATAATAACATTACATGGCAGTGTAGATTCATGCCCACCACAATGTAGTTAAACTGCATTACATAACAGCTCTGGTTACCCAAATTTGAGCCTACGATTTCTAGATTAAAATTTCAGCTGCACAATGTAATAAAACATTTGTGTTAGGCTTTGCAAGACACTTGAGTGTTTTGTAGATACAACTTTTGTGTGGGTCGCAGTTCCCAGAACCCCCTTCTGAATACAGGCGTGGATTTTGAATGTTTAAACTCCTTTGTACTCAGATAAAATCTATTTCCCTAACTCTTGCTGCATTAGGAAATTGCTCTTCTGAGACACGTCAGTTAAAAAGACTCCTGTTCCAAGATTTCCACTTTTACATAACGTTGTCAGCACGATGCAACTGGAGACGTGTTTCAAGTCAGAAGTAAAGCGTTAGATAATGTCATTTTTTTTCCTTCTTCCTCCAAACATGTGCTCAGGAGAGAACTCCCCAAGAAAATCCCAGCCCTTGCCTTCAAGAAAGACATTTGAGAAGTAAGCTTTTGATGAGACAAGTGAGAATTCATCTCACGCCTGTGCAATTGAACAGCAACAGAGAAGGAGGTGGAGGAGGAGAGCACAAAAGGCATTGGGCTCAGAAGCGTTTGTTGGAACAGTTTTCCAACTCTGAAGCATGTTTAAGCGAAGAACCAACAGCCAAGAAAGCCCGTGATCATCATGCTCTGGGGTCCCAGAACGACGAGGAGGAAGCCTTTAGCAGGGAATCTCCGGAACGTGCCCCTGTTGTATCAGAAGACAGCAGCAGCGATTCGGAGGATCCAGAGAACGTCAGGAAGGATTGCGTAAGTGCCTGCCATTTGTTCTTTAAACAAATTACATACTTAATGACTTCAAAAATGCTGTTAGAAATCGTCTCACAAAGTGATCCCTTTTTATTGGTTGCAGGAAGATGGGTCCCCAGAGCTGTCTGCTTATGAGAGAAAAAGGCTGAAGAACATAACAGAAAATGCAAAATTTTTTGCTTCTCTAAAAATGTTTGAGGTTAGTTGTTGTTTTTTAAAGAAGAAAAAATACAATCTTTGGGATTTAATACTGTTTTGCTGATTATGGTAACTGCCATATATATTATATAGGGCTAATAGTGGTCATTGGCTAATGTGGCTAAATCGATCATGACTTCCAACAATGCTTCTGAATCCAGCGTATCACTAAGAACAGTTTTTGTCTGGGTTATTAATGTCATTCCTAATTGGTTCTATCATGAAAACATGTGGAAAAATTATTAAACTGTAAAAACTTTTGTTTCTATAGGAGGGACATCCAGCAGTACATTTTGCTCTAGTTTTTCAGTGAATATCTCTTGAGTCTCAACCAACTGAACATAAGTTTGTGTCAGCCACAAAAATAACGTTTTTGGAGGAGAACAACTATTTTCAAAGTTAGGACCGGGCATTAAAACAGGAAAGAACACTTTCAAACTAGTAATAGAAAAAAATCAAATTTTATTGCATTATATTATGATATGGGGCTAATAGTAAACATTATTAAATAATCTGTAACCTTCAGCTAATCTTGGTCATTGACTAATGTGGTTACATTGATTATGACTGTCAAGCCATTATATGCTAATCAAGGTGGTCAGTTGAAACATTCACACCTAGCTCCAGCAGACAAGAGTCCT